TCTGAGCCGGGCCCTCCATCACACGCCCCTCTGACTGTCCTCATCTGCTCCCACGACTGCGAACGCGTGACAGCAGTGTTCTGACAGAGGCTGTTCAGTGACCCGTCAGACCTGCTGTGACTTGCAGGCAAAGCCTGATTACTATGGCTGACTTGAAACAAAGCCATATTTATTACCCAGTTTCCCACCCTTAGGATACGAAGTTTCATTAAACACTGCTTCTTCAAACACAGTAACGCACATTCTGACTTTTTATTCAAGTGGACGTTTCCTCACTGTGTGAAATTTAATGCAGTTCCATGTCTTTTTTTTCCTTCATTCTGATTAAAATCTATTCTTCAGCTTTCAATTTAAATTCCGTTTACGATTTAAATCCCCCAACTCAGCCACCAAGACATTGAACCTGTGCCCCCACCCCCCAGGCCACCATGAACGCTCGGCCCCAGAAGATCTCCGGCTCGCTCACGCAGTCAGCACCCGCGAGCCCTACCAGCAAAGGAACACACATTCACCAGGCGGGGTATGTTACTCCATCTCTATTGTCACCATTCATTGATAGCCACTAGCATTAGACATATCTATTTTCCTGAGGTGGATAGTTCAGGTCCAGGTAGTAAAAATCCAGAACAAGAGTTGAGTACTCTGTGACTGTTTGTCTATATTCACCTGGTTGGTTGGTCCGGATGTTTACCTTCTGGACCTGAACACACGTCTATCCCAACTCTCTCCACCCTTGTTGTCCTTATCTTCACTGACGTATCACCCTCCCCCGCTGTCCTTCCAGGGGCTCCCCTCCCATGCCCAGCGCCAGCAGCTCCAGCCTGACCAACGAGGTGCCTAAGCCCCCCGCCCGCGAGCTGCCCCCCGCCCGGCCGCCGTACACCCCCCCATTTTCCGGCCAGGCCCCCCACTCGCATCAGTTCCAGCGCCATCGTAAGATGTTCGACAAAGGCCCCGACCAGGTGCCCCTGTCTCCCCGCCTTGCCCCCGTGCCGCTTCCGTGGGACACGCTTCCTTACGCGCCTGTCGTTGATGCGTCTCCATGGTGCTGCTCTTCCTGCATCCTTGCCACGTTTCACTGGTGCCTTCCTTCCAATATCTTTAGCATTGTTACTATCCACCCCCCGACCCCCCCCCCCCCCCCACAAAAAACTCTGTTTCTTCCCTCCTGCACTGGCTCCCCCAGCCTTTAGAAGAGAGAACGCTCTCACAGCGTCTCATAACGATAAAAACGTTGCACGTGTTTGTTTCCAATATGTTGATATGATACCTGTTTTACCAACATGGTGTTCGCACATGACTGGTAGGTAACTGGTCGGAAGGGGAGGGTGGGAGGTGGGGGCAGTGCACATGTCCCAAATTAAAACGAGTTTAGACTGTTTGTGATGGACACAGACTGTCGTTTGGAGTGGCACAGGGCCTGCAGGCTTTTCCTAGATGACCAGAGAGCAAAGGATCATGGGAGGCACCGCCAATCCCACCAAGGATTGTAACCCTGACTGTGTGTGACGTTTTTTTTTGACCATTTGTGACGATGCCTCGTCTTGGGGTGTGTCCCCACCCCCGCAGACCGCAGACGACAGCGACGAACCTGGTGGACACCGGAACTTCATCAGCACCACCATGCAGACCGGCCTCTGCGACTGGAGCGCCAAGTACTTCGCCCAACCCGTCATGAAGGTACCCCCGGCCCCTTCACCCGTGGAAACCCCCCCCCCCCCGACTGTGTGGGCCAGATCACAGGGGCTGCTTTATGTAATAGGCTGTTTGTGATGCGTTCTCTAGATGCCCTGTTCCCTGTGTATTATGAAACGCCTAGGGGGGCGTCTATGAGAGTAATAACAGCAGAGATTGAGCACTGTAGTAAGCCAGGTATTTCAGATTGATCTCTCTCTTCGTTCCCAGCATCATTAGGCCTGCTATAGCTATTTGTTTTACGGCAGAACTTCATTTAATGCCGTCTTGTCGAGTAGCCTGTGTGTTTGTTTATAGAGACATGGTGTTGCGGGTAATTTGTGTTTTGGTATCTAATTGTGTGTGTTTAGGCTGCATGTGGGTAATTTGTGCGTCTGATTGATTGTGTTTGAGTTAGTATGTGTGGGTGCAGACTGATTAAACCCACAGACCAGTCACGCTACAGCCCTGATGTATCACTGCCTGCCATTGGCTCTGCCTCCCTCCCACCATCCTTCTATCCGTCTCTCTCTGGCCGCATCGCAGCCTCCTGAATGCCACGGCTCTGTAGATTGCATCCCCCTCCCCCGGCATCCCAGCTCTCGTCTTTACAGACCTGTCGCATGGAAACCGTTTCCATATCTAACGTCAGTCTGCAGTGCTGGACCGCTGCCCTGACAGTCGGAGGTGGAGGTCCGGCGCTTTAGCCCCTTCAGGCCCTGCCCTGTGGGCCGATGATCTCAGTACTCTCAGTACTCTCAGTACTCTCAGTACTCTCAGTACTCTCAGTACTCTCAGTACTGTCGGTGTTTCCCTGGGCGTCCTCTGTGTGTCTCTTCCTTTCTGCTTCTGTTATCGGAGCAGGAGGGGGAGGATGGGAAGCGGCTATTGCAGGTCTGCGAGGCGTGCGGCGTTCCAGGCGAGAATCTCGTTTTCACGCTGCGTGTTCACGCCGTCTCGCCCTCTCCCTGCGGTGGCGGGTCCCTCCACCGGTTTCACAGAACTCCGCTGAAGGCGTCGGTCGGCCGGAAGCTGCAGTCACGACGACCCGTCAGCACGGGCATTGCCGCTGATAACGGGGTGCTCTTCCTCCCTCTTCCTCCCTCCCATACACTACCTTATTGTAACTAACTCTAGGGGGCTGATTAATGCAACCCTCCCCCCCCCAGCATCTAATACCGGCGGGATGATTAAAATCTACACCCAAAGGGGGAGGGGCCATGTTGGGGGGGGGGGCACCAGAGCCCATTATAGACCCGCACATGTTATTACCCAGCCTGGCGCTAATGCTAACACGCGCCGACATTTCGGATGTAAAGGGTCCTCCGGCTAAAATATGCAGTCTGATCCTTCCCACTCAGCGTAATTCATTTCCGCTTAATATGGAAGTATTAAGTATCCTTCTCCGCAGGATCTAATACTGTACCGCTGAGAAGGTGCTTTTCTAACATAGCGCACTGTGTAGGTTGCGCAGGGGAAGGACAGGGCATTCTATACAGTGAGACTGTTGGGAAATGATCAGACTAAATGCTAATATGCTAGCTTAGCATATCGGACCCTGTCCTGGGCTCGTCCCACATGGAGTTCCCCCCTATATCATGGGAACCCTAAATCATTACCGTCTAGTTACCGTCTGAGAAGAGTCTCAGTGGCCTGCTGGAGGGAGCATCTGCCCCACACCCCCTTCATTTACCTCATTTCCACACCTTACTGCACCAAGGAGTTTCTTGGAGAAAGAAAAGAGAACACCCCCCCCCCCCCATTGTAGGCACTGGAGGCACTCCTTTACAGATTCTGATCACCAATCAAAAACGGAAGTAGCAGAGCCATAATGGGGTATTAAAATATGCAGTTTCCTGATTTACGCCTGTTACACACTGCAATGATAGAGCCGTAATGGAGTAATGACTCACAGCAGCGGAATGCCTTACCAGCGGTCTTCTCACTGTAGCTAGGTGCTGTTTGGTGACTCTCCCACCTCTGTGTGTGTGTGTGTGTGTGTGTGTGTGTGTGTGTGTGTGTGTGCGTGTGTGTGTGTGTGTGTGTGTGTGTGTGTGTGTGCGCGTGCGTGTGCGTGTGCGTGCCCTTCTCTTTATGGATGCATATCCGTTTCTGCTTATGAAACCTGTTGCTTGTTTTCATGCTGTGGTCTGCGGTAATATTAATTAGGCTCGAATGCAGGCCCCGCGCTCCACACTAAGGTCCCAGCCGGCAGGGAACGCGTCCCATTGGCCGGCTACATCCTCACGCTCGCACCCTCAGCCTCTTGCTGCTTCTGGCTCCTTTGCAGATGCCCGAGGAGCACGATGTGGAGAGTCAGGTGAGGAAGGAGAGGGAGTGGAGGTTCCTGAGGAATGCCCGGGTCCGGAGGCAAAGCCAGCGCATCATGCAGAGGGGTGAGGGAGACAGCGGCGTGGGGGGTGGGGGAGGGAGGGGCTGTGCTGTCAGACTTGCGTTAATTGGAGGCCAAAGCAGCCCAGAGCGAGTCTCTGGCAGCCCTTTGGAGTTGAAAGACTCCGGGGGGGGCTCCCTTTCCGGCTCCCCCGTCTGATGTCAGCATGGTAGTCAAAGAGAATGCCTGAGATGTCCACGTTAGCCGCCGCCCCCCCCAATGCCCCCCCCCTCCCAGCACAGCACGCTGTTGCAATGGCGTCAGTGCTCCGGTCCTCCCTCATGCTTCCCCCTCAGACCCCCACCCCACCCGGCTTCGTGCCGAGCCTGTGAGATACTTCGCTGCTGCCCTACTTTCGTTCTTCTTCAGCTCCTGCAGAGACTCATGACTAGAGATCAGAATATTCTGGAACATTAAAAATGGAGTGACTCCTTCTCTGTATCGCTTCTTTTCATTCATGAAATCCCAAGGTTGTAACGTATGAACATGAGGCATTTAAGTGGAGACCCCTTAACGTTTCAATCTAATTTCTTTGCTGCATTTAAAGCTATCACATGTTGTCGTTATTAGTTGCTGTTGTAGTTTTGACTTAGAAATCTTTGATGAGATTGATAGGGAAGTGTGACATTTGGGTAGCTTTCAGCAGTAGGTGGAAGTTCTCGATGGTGACTCCATAGTGCACATCACACGGGATCAGACTTGGGGTCCTCTTACAAATGTCAGTATCTACAACAGGATGTGGCTTTAAGTGCCGCTAGTCCATTTAAAGGAGACGGGTAACGTCCTATATCTTTGCACGTGTGTGTGTGTGTGCGTAGGCATCACTCGCCTTGATGACCAGATCTTCATCAACCGCAACCCTGGGGTGCCCTCAGTGGTCAAGTTCCACCCCTTCAACCCCTGCATCGCGGTCGCAGACAAGGACAGCATCTGGTGAGCAGTCTGTCAGACCTGTAGCCCCCCACCCCCCAGGCAACATGTGATGTCGTAGAGCAGCGGTGATTTCACATGCAAGCAGGCATCCGCTCTGCTTACTCACAGTAATGACTCCTGGATTCTCTATCCCCCCGCCCCAACCCCCAAGCTTCTGGGATTGGGAGAAAGGCGAGCGGCTGGACTACTTCTACAATGGGAACCCCCGCTACACCCGCATCACGGCTATGGAGTACCTTAACGGGCACGACTGCTCTCTGCTCCTCACGGCCACAGGTGAGGGCTTCGAGCCGCTATGGGACGGTGCCCCCTGCAGGCCATGTGAGTGTACGCATCCCGAAAGGACTGAATCGCTGTCTCCTTTGACCGTCAGCTTAAACAAAGCGTGGAAGCGTCCCCGCCAAACAAAATCACATGCTGGCAGCTTTTTACGGGAACGCTGAGACGGCATGTTTGGAGTCTTTTAACTCCTCTCTGTTTACCCAGAATCAGGTCTTTTTTCTCACCCTGCAAAGGGGATGGAGAGGAACTGGGGGTTGATCCTCATTATGCAGTGAGCGTCTCCCTCCCCCTCCCCATGGTATTGTGTTGGTGGTCTCATCCTCATTACTCAGCTCATGTTTGATCCTCCGCGTGGCTCTCAGTGGTGGTTTTTCCTCTTTAGAGCCCCTCCTGGATCTGTGGCTTGGACCTCGTCTATATTTTTTTTTACCTTTGACCTCTGAGAAAGAGGTTTAAGATCTTCCACACGGTGCCCTCATTCACTCACTCGCTGTTCCCCATTTAGAAACATCCGTGTCGTTGGCTATGTTGGGAATTAGTATTCGTTAAGCAGGACGATGGTTTCTGACAGTACGTTCCGGCACGCTGTGCTGGTATCCCTGCAGCCTTTGGCAGCTGGCGTTTGTGATTAGAAACACAAAGGGTCAACATATGTGTAGTAAAGGAAACGGTGAATATGGATGTGTTAGCCTGTAATTTATTTTTAAATCATTATGTAAAATTACTGTTTAAAATTGAAATTTTTTATTTTAATTTTTTTAATTTTCAAAAATGTACATACATTTCGGTGCAAAGTTGCCCTCTAGCACCAGTTTAAATTCTACATCTCTTTTTTTCAGCAGAATTTTAGCATAAGTGGTTTTTAAGGGGCTATAGGCTGGGGGGGGGCGGATCCTGTATCAGCAGGTGATATCAGGAACGATGGCTATGCCCAACTGGGCAATAGACCCCTTACCTGGAGGTGCTGGGGAAAGTGAGCTGTAGTAATAGGCTGCCTACCAGCAGGGGGTAGCGTTTTACACCGCTGGCAAGGCTGTTACAGCTGACTGATGGACGTTGTTACATTACCGTGCAGTGTTATCAGAACAGTAGAAATCATTTCAACTCAAATTTTGGCCAGTCCCTGATAAAAATGGCCCATGACGATTCAGGGAATGCCTTCAGCACTGTCCGTTTCGGTCTTCGTGCCACTTTTACTGGGCCCAGCTGACCCGCTCTTCACTTCATCATGTCCAGGCCAGCACTGAGGCCTTGGGGAACAGCAGCCAAGTCCTGGGCTTTTATTTTGATGTTTTCGTTTCACATACCTAGATGGGTTATTCCATTTGGTTTCGAGGGGTGTTTCCCCATTCCCCCAGTGCCCTAGAGTGGAATAGGCTGTGCTGATGGGGTTTCCACTTACAGGTGGCTGCGCCTCTTCCTTGAGGATTTGTTTCCCCGCTGGTTTGGTTGGTGTAGTTTTGACGGAAGAATCCAGAAGCCATTCGGTGTCTCGCTTGTGGGAGGTGGAAGAGAGATCCGCTACGTTGGCAAAAGTCCCAACTCTGCCAGATAAAGGTCTCCACTTTAATGTAAGAGGGGGAAACTTTTCCTCATAGTTTGAGTTTTTGCAGCTTGATACCGATCTTGAGCAGAAAACAATCATGGTGACCTTTAGCCAGATGAGCATTAGCCTCGTTACACCAAGCTGCCAGTTGTTGCCATTCCTGAGTTAAAAAGCCCAACATTTCTCACTTGGGCAAACGCCAGTTCCTGGCTGAGACTGTGAGCTGAGCAAGCAGGTTAGACAAGTGAGCATCATGGGTCCCTCTGCAGGCTGTCTCAGTTCGTTATTTACCCCCCCAGATAAACCTGAGCTGGCCAGAAATGCAGGTGATTACATTTACTGCTGTGTTACTCTTCAGCACAGAGGCATTTTCACGAAAGATGAAAGCGTCACAGGCCTAACGCGCTTATAAATAAATAAGTAGCTCTCAAAAAATAATGCCCGGCCACATTTGTAAACAGTGTCTGTACCTACTCTTAATCTTCACATTTTGGACAACTGAATCCAGTAAATGTGGTTTATAGCTGCAAATGGGTGCAGAAATGTCAGCATTGAAGGAAACCAAGTGATTCATATTAAAATTTGTGTCCTGCCCCACCCTGGACTGAACCCGGTCACTTCAGTCTTCCAGCGCCCCAATTTTGCCACTTTTAGTGATGCAGAGAATATGCTGTGCGCCACAGATTTGTTCTAGAACCTTCGCTGTCTCTGATTTCACTACAGCACTTGGAGTCAATGCAATCTGTGCCTTGCTCTTAAATATATTAGCCTAAGGTTTTGAGCTCTCTAATGGATACAAATGGATACGTTTAAACTTATTTAATTATCATTTTAGTGGCACCAACCCTTTTAAAACCTGAGCACTGGTTTTTGCCAAATAAATCATTTTAATTTGGTTTACTTTCTCTCATAATTTTGAATTTGAAACCTATTTTGTCATATGAGGAAGCCTATTTAATTTTTTCTGATCAAAAGCTTCCATTGTCAGCTGTAAAGTATATAATGGCTAAAATATGAATTCAGCCTTTTAAAACCATTTAGCTATTTATGTCAGAAGTGTTTTGAGCTTTAATTTTTTGTAATATTATGAAGGATTGTCAACCCCCTGGCAATATAAGAAAATGGGTAATTGTGTTTAAAACTGACGTGCAGTGGAATTTGGATGGCGGAATGAAGTTTTAGATCCAGAATGTGGGACTGATGGGTAAGATCTCACAGGACCTGCTGGTGTGGTTGGGTTAAGGGGCTGATGGGTAAGATCTCACAGGACCTGCTGGTGTGGTTGGGTTAAGGGGCTGATGGGTAAAATCTCACAGGACCTGCTGGTGTGGTTGGGTTAAGGGGCTGATGGGTAAAATCTCACAGGACCTGCTGGTGGGGTTGGGTTAAGGGGCTGATGGGTAAAATCTAGTGGGACAGATCCCTCTGCCTGTTAGGAGTGGGGGGGGGGTGGCCTGTCAAGGGCCCGTCCAGCTGACGTACCTCCCTCTACCATCCCAGATGACGGTGCCTTGCGGATCTGGAAGAACTTTGCTGACCAGAAGAACCCTGAGATGGTGACGGCCTGGCAGGGCCTTTCAGACATGCTCCCCACCACCAGAGGTCAGAGTCCGCGCCCCCACCGCAATCACCGGCCCACAGCCAATCCAGCAGCCCAGGCCCGTTGTCCAGGCGAAGGTCCGGTCAAACCACCTTTCCACAGACCCAGAATTCCAGACTCCAGGAATCATTTCCTCTCTCCTTACAACCATTCTTCCATTATTCTCTTGCTTCAACCCCCCCCCCCCCACCCCCATCCCATCTGCATTCTCAGCATCACATCCTTGGGAAATCCTTCTGTTTTGGCACTGCCAAGCCATCGGCGGGAAGTCAGTGTGGCAGCATAGATGGATAAACGCTAATATAGCATTCCACACGCCTTGGAATAATTCAAACTGCTGTTTGATACCTATTTAATCCTGTATAAATCCACGCTTTACCCGGAACCACAGGACAATGTAACTGTGTTAACATGAACCATTCTGCTTTTTTGGGGGGGGGAGTAATAAAGCCGGGGCATTAACCAGGTCCAGAGTCAGAGCCAGAGGCCAGGGGCTTCCCTGTTTTATTGGTCTGCTTGTCCTTTGCAGTCCTGCTGGAAACAGACAGATCCCATTGCAGCCGAAAGCAGCTGTCCTCACGCCCGCCGGATGCCATAGTGCCGCCGGTGACATATCAGAGGGTGCTCGGGACGCCCTTGGCTCTCGAAAGGGTGGGGGGCGGAGGTGGCTCAGTTGTGCTCCCCTGATTTTGAAAGGTCAGGCCTACCTGAAAATTAGCGCCCCCCACCCCCACGGTTTAAGAGACAGGGTAGGGGGTCTTTAGACTGGGAGCTCAGGAGTATCGAGATGTTAGAGAGACCTTGGGGTGGGTGGCGACGACCAGTGCAGAAATGAGGCTCTTTGTCTCACACACTCACATACACACACACACCCGTAAAAGCTTCTCAGACCTGCCTTTTCTTTCTTGTGTTTATTCATACCTTTTGCGTCTTCATTTTGCATGCCTTATTTTTTTTTTTATTCCTGTTTGTGCTGATTTGTTTTGTCCCCGTGTAAAAAAGCACAGTGCAAAATGCAGTTTCCCACACCGCAGTCATTCCGCTGCCAGTTACCCGGCATCACTATTTATGCCCGGCTCTTTGCCATCATCAGCCGGAGCGGCCGAATCGTTAAGCGTTTCTCCACGTGAGATTGATGGTGCCGATGGCTGAGATTTATAGCCGCTCTCTCCACTCGCAGCCTTTCCAATTAGCTTTTGATTAGCTCAGAATGAGCTTTGCAGTAGTGCACGCTTGTGACGGGACTCTCCGCCCCAGCGGCATGCTGGGAAACTGCAGCTTTGTTCCTGCTTTTTCATGAGCGTGGGTTCTGTTGCTAACGGAGTGGTTTCCTCCGGCTGATGTACTGACCCGCTTGCCCCCTACCCCCCCATCCCCCACCCCCCCCCCCCCCCCCCCCCCCCCCCCCCGTCTCTCCCCCCCAACAGCCCTCTAATGTTTGTGTTTATGCTGCATTAAAACAAAGGCAGTTTGCTGGTTTTCCTCCTCACTTTGCCCTCCTTCATTTTTTTTTCTTCAGTACTGCACCCCCTCCCTTGCGCCCCCATGTTTACTACACTTATTTCAGTCCCTAGGGAAACCAGGCCGGGATAGAGGATATACCGCTCGACTGTCGCAGATAGAAATATGGCCATCTCTCAGGAGGACCTCACAAACACCATTAGCCCTTCTTCTTAATATTTAGGTCTCTCTGCCTCAGCAGTATTGTTCCCCAGTCCCCCCCCCCCATTTCTCCATTCCCTTGGACAGTGTTTTTCATAAATCCCACAATGCCCTGCTCTCTTCAGAAGCCTGCACCCCTGTATGCCAGCAGTGTGTGAGATGGTGAAATGATGACATGGGGGGGGGGGGGGGGCCTGTGGTCTGAAGCCCGATTTGCATGTGTTTACCCCCCCCCCCTTTCCATTTTGAGTGTCTTCTCTATGCTCTCCAGCTAATTACTTGCGGTTTTGGAGGCAGTCAGTCACGTGACTGATCGTGGTGAATGGAAATGCACACCCTTAACCATTGCCTGCCTCATCATCCCCCGTGGGGGGGTGTGGTTAGATGAAGCAGGCCGGGTCCGGGGAGAGAAAGGCTTCTACATATTATCAGGGAGTTGGGGGACGGTGGGGGGTCCTACAGTTACACGGCTGAAGCCAACCTGACTGCACTAGCACCTGTGGCCCTCTAGGGGGCAGACTAGAACTGATGGTCTCTGAAATGGAAGTTTGCCCCTAGCCTGAAGTGAGAAATGCTGTTGGCTCTGTGGTGTGTTACCTTTTTCACATGTAAGCAGAGCTGCAGAAACAGCAAGTTTTCTACAGAGACCGCGCGCCCTCTCTCTCCCTCTCTCGCCCTCTCTCTCCCTCTCTCTCCCTCTGATTTATGTATTTCCTTAGATGTCACAATGTCACCATTGATTTCCAGCTCTGGCCAGCCTCAGCACCGGTGCTGCGTACAGGAATGCTGTTTATTCCGCAGCCTTAAGTTCATCTCGAGTGTGCAGGTCCAGGCCTGGAGTGGGCCAGGCTCCCCCCCCCGCCACCCCAGAATTTAATTTCTTCACAGTAACCTCATGTTCAAAGCCGCTGCTCCGCCTTTCGGACGCCAGGCGGGACGTGGATTTTCCTGGAGGCTAGAAGCACTGGGCCTGACAGCGGCTGAGAGTTAAACTGGCAGAAGTTGATTCTGAATGATGGCCGACTCCCGCTGTTTCAGACGCACGTTTATGAGATCTAACAGCCTCTGTAGGGCTTCCCGCCTGTATTGTGTCCCTAACCTGGGACAGCTGTTTGTTCAGACCCAGTCCTGTACATGAGGCCATCTCTGCTGGGGGGGGGGGGGGGCTAGCGTCCCCTGTGCTTCCCGGTGTGTAAATAAAGGCGGTTGAATCAGAACCTATGTCCGAAATGAAGCAGATTGGCTGGTAAGAGAGCAGAGGCGATGGCGCTGTGATCCTGACGATCCTACGGCGGAACTTGGATTGCGGGTGCCAGGGGGCGCTGTCAGGCCACGCTGTGCATTTCCAGAAACACCCCACGTTTGGCGGCTTGCAGGAAAGCCAGAATTTGCCATATAGTAGGTTTGCTGTGCCACCTTGCCCCTAACCCCACTCCCCCTGGCCTGTGTGATATTGCAGGGTCTGATGGGAATGCAAACCTAATTTAGATCCAGCATTATTTGTGGATGGAGTCCTTATCACTGCTGGATGTGGTTTGCCCCTGTCGGGGTTCCACTTTGCCCCCTCGGTTAACACTGCAGTTAGGGGGCACTGGTGCGCTCGCTCTCGGCTGGGCGTGGAGGCACTGGGTGGCCTCGCCCCTGTCGTAAACCGCGTTGCAGTGAAACACACCACTGGGAGGTGCACATGGGCCAGACGGCATTATATACATCACACACCAGCGCCGCCCTGCTGTCACCCAGACAGATTTTTTACACACCTCATCTCTGCAGTCTCTTTAAACCGGGGAATATTTACTAACTCATTAACAGTTGAATCAAGCCGCAAAAAAAAAAACAGACCAAAAGGGACAGAAGGTTCTGGAGACGGTGTTCCATTTAACGAAAAACTAGTCATCATCCACTGTTATTAAACTTTACGTCGGTTTCGTTTATAAAATCATTCAGTACTTTGGTTTCTAATTGTCATTTAAATGCCATATTCAAATGTAGCTTGTATTGTGAAGAGTCTGAAGTGACTTTTACATTCTTCTACGCTGATGTGGTCTCGGTCTGCCTCGCACGCCGGCACACTGACGTCCGTGTTCCCTGGATCCATTGTCTTGTGCGGCGTGTAATTTTCTTACTGAAATCGACTCAGGCCACTGAGGTTCCCCATCCGTGCTACCAGGCTGCAAATTGCCACAAAGGCTCTATTAAAATTAAGTAGAAATTGGACTGAATGATGAGAGCGAGAGAGAGCGAGAGAGAGGGAGCTGTAAACAAACACACTGCATAGTAATGTTAGCGCTTTCCTCAGTCGCCGTGGTGCGGTCCGGGAGATGCAGGTCACTGTCTCGCTGGGTGTCACCCCTTTAAAAGTGACACTCGTTTAGGCGGAGCTGTGGTGTAAAAACAGATGGCGCTCCGTATAAATGGCCTCAATAAAAACCAAAGGGGCGTGTATGTAAATACAGCAGGATGCAGCAGTACAACTTCCCCGGGCGGGAGGGGCCGTGAACCTGTCGCCCTTCCGGCTGGCCTCACAGGGGGCAGCAGCGCTCGGCTTGACTGGGTTCACGCCTGCGATCCGGTCAAACATCCTTTTGACAGTGGTTGAGCTATGGCGCCACCCACTGGCTTGGAGACTCTTCCAGGTAGAATTTTTTTTTCTTATTAATGAAAACCTTCATAATGCCTGTAAATTGAAATTCAGCCCCTCCCCCCATCCACATTTTCTACTAACCTGGTCTCTGGTATTGTTTCTAGAAGTTTCTTCTAGCTCTGCCGATGGCGTGGCATCTTCTGTGGTGTAACAGTCTGTCACAAAGGACTGCCCCCCCCCCCCCCCCTTTCCTGCTCAGGTGCCGGGATGGTGGTGGACTGGGAGCAGGAGACGGGACTGCTTATGACCTCAGGGGATGTGAGGGTCATCCGCATCTGGGACACGGATAGGGAGATGAAGGTTCAGGTGGGTTCTCAGGGCGGGAGGCTGAGGACGGAAGCTGCCGGCTTATAGTCAGGGAAAACAGGGCTGTGCCATTCTCACAAATGTGGCGGGGATGAGATGCTATTTCCCGGTGACGGGCATTACCATTTTGCAGACCTTATATTTCAGGAAGGCTTTGACAATCATACATTTTATACTGTCTGTCTTGGGGGACAGTTTTGCACATTTTAGGAAGAATTTTTTTTACATAAATTTAGTTGCAATGTTGATATAGTCACACTGGGATTTAAAACCAGTAAAATCGCTTCAGGTTAAACATGAGGGTAGAAACGCAGTGCGTTTAGGAAAATTCACTGGGGTGATAACTGCAGTGTTACACTGCCCCCTCTGCCCCACTAGGACTTCCCCACGGGGGCGGATAGCTGCGTGACCAGCCTGTCCTGTGACCCCCACCGCTCGCTAATCGTGGCCGGCCTCGGCGACGGTTCAGTGCGCGTCTACGACAGGAGGATGGGCCCCAACGAGTGGTAAGATGCAGTCCATCTCTTCCCCACATGGGGGCGCCATCTGGGCGAATAGGCTGCTGATCAGTGAGCACACACACCGTAGAACCTCCCCTAGTGTCCATCGTGGCACACTTATGTGCACACCATGTGTTTGCACACCTACGCATGCAGGCAAACAATGTATTCCAGACTGTCCTCTATGCCGCTCACACACTTCTCTTAAACCTCCTGATTAAAAAGTAGCACAATTAAGCAATAACCCATCGCATGAATCTTTAACTGACGCTAATCTAACAGTTCCCAAAGGCAAACTGAAGTGGAGGTATTAGTTCTGCTCCCTCCTGTTTTCGGGGGTCTGTCACTGTCAGAAGGGAACTGCACTATGCATGCGCTATCAGCGCCACCCGGTGGTTTCATTTGGGAATTGCAGCCGCCTTGAGGAAGCCATTAGTAGCAGACCCCCACCCCTCACTGCAGAACAGAAGACCAGGAATGATTGTGCCTGTGTGTGCTTCCCTTGTATGCATGTATATTTTATAAGGCCCAGTTCCTGCTTTTCTCTACTTGACTCAGTCTTCCTGTCTGCGTCCACAGCCGCATCATGACGTACCGCGAGCACGGCGCCTGGGTGGTGAAGGCCCACCTACAGAAGGAGACGGAGGGCCGCATCATCAGCGTCAGGTACACAGCCCCCCCTGCACCCCCCTGACCCCGGCTCACGGGCTTCGCGGCGACAGCCGTCATTCGTCTGTAATCTGGAGGCGCTAAAGACTGACGCAGCGTCAGATGGTTTAGGAAAGACTGGACTGGCAAGCCGCCATACTGTCAGAGGCCACAAGGAGGCAGTCACATACTGGGTAGCTGTGGGAGGCTCTCAGTGGCTGGATCCCACTAATCCCCACTCCTGGGATTACTCCAGAGGCATGCTGGGGGATTGATGGCAGCCTAACTTGGTCTAGCAGCAGGGATCTCTTCATGCTTCATTGGACGCTGCTGTAGACGGCCTCCCGTAATGAGCGAGTGTCCACCTGTCACACGAGGACAGTCTGCCTTTCTCATGGCACCTTTGTTCCATTGTTGCCGAGTCACTGGTAGCAACTGCACAGTCATGCGCCCTCTGCTGTCTGCTTGTGGTTCCTTCCCCGTTTAAGGGTCTTAATCTTACGGTGCGGCTGCCAATTCCCGGCACAAACGCACCCATGGGGAACGATGAGGTCACAGTGGTATGGATGAATGTTAAGGGATGTTGAGAATTTTTTATTTATTTTTTTTTGGTAAACTGATCATCCAGTTGCAAAAAAAATCATTAAGAATGTGGTTTGTTTGTGTGCGTCTGCCCATCTTCCATTCCTGCTGTCCATCCCAGCGTAAACGGAGATGTCCGGTTCTTTGAGCCAAGGATGTTGGACTCGGTGAACGTGCTGCAGACAGTGAAGGGGTTGACTGCCTTGGACATCCATCCACAGGCCAACCTCTTTGCCTGGTGAGTCATCCGGGGGAGGCCAGCATGCGCTGTCACACAGTGTTAGCATATTCCTGGGAACAGAGGTGTCCGAATGTTTCTCAGGCTCTGAGATCACTTTGTTGCTGAAGAGTTTTGGACAGAGTCCTGCCGGCTGCTCTGTGGTCATGTATGAGTGCTGTGGGATGGGAGTAGGGGTTCATTGCTGGGGGAACAAACTCGGCCCCATGAAGGCCTGGATGTCACTGGCGTTGACTGTCCCCTCCTGTCCCCAGTGGTTCCATGAACCAGTTCATCGCCGTGTACAGCTCCAATGGGGACGTCATCAGCAACATCAAGTACTACGATGGCTTCATGGGCCAGCGGATCGGGGCCATCAGCTGTCTAGCCTTCCATCCCTACTGGGTACCGAGTTTTTGCATCAAACTGGTTTTTCTGGGTGCCCGTCGGTTTGTGTGCCTGTCGCTGGTTAGCTGGCCGAATGTTTGTTCCTCTGTCCGTCTGTGACTGGTCCGCGTGTATTGGTAGCACCACCGGAGCATGATTGGATGAAATCACAGGTAATGAGACAGCCCTCCGCAGCCCAAGTCAGACTGCACCCGTGTCTGACTCCGCCCCATTCGACCCCACCCGTGTCTGACTCCGCCCCATTCGACCCCACCCGTGTCTGACTCCGCCCCATTCGACCCCACCCGTGTCTGACTCCGCCCCATTCGGCCCCGCCCGTGTCTGACTCCGCCCATGTCTGACTCCGCCCATGTCTCCCCTTGCAGCCCCACCTGGCCGTCGGCAGCAATGACTACTACATGTCCATCTACTCAGCTGAGAAGAGGCTGAGATAACGTCAAGCAGCCCCCGGAACTACCGTGTAAATGACTTCTGATGTACATATGCAATTGTTACCTTGAATGTCTAGTGAAGGCTGCTGATGCTTATGTTATAATTATTATTATTGTTATTATTAATGTTATTATAATTATGGGCTATTTGATTGTAGACTTGGCTGTGCTGAGGAGTGTATATATTTAATTGCTTATATTGTTAATGGAGAGTTTAAGGTGGAGCCCGTTCGGCTGTGCCGGCCTGTGGCTGTCAGCGCTGGCACAGCTGGAGCATATGGGGGGGGGGGACTGAACAGCAGCTTCCATCGCTGCCCCTCCCCCAAGGCCGGCCCTGCTGTTTCCTCAGTGTTTGGGTTCCAAGCCTTCTCAAGCCATCGTTGGAAGTGGAGCCCGATGGCTTCTTCGGTGGACCCACTGGGGCCGGGATGCCGGGGGCTAGAGCCTGCCTTCTGCTTTCTGCCCCCACCAAACACATGCCCCGGCCCACACCTGGCCATGGCCCGCCATCTGCTGTACCCCCTCACCCTAAACTTACACCCCCACCCTCTGCTGTGCCAAATGTGCTAATCTAGCCAGTGCTCCTTTCACCCACCTCCTTTAGTCTGTCTGCAGTGCACTGAATGTCTACCTTTCTGAGCCTTTATCCAGCCCTGCTTGCGCTGTAAAGCAATAAACAAGGTTTTGGTGTGTGGAGGCGGGTCTGGCGTCTGCCCTTATGGCCATTAAAGAGAGCTGCGGCATTTTAAACTGAACAAGGATGACCTTCCTCATCTGTCGTGATTCCGGAGTTAGCGTTGGCTCTGAGCTCCCTGCTACTGCCCTCGCCGTCCGAAATATTTGAAAGCTGGATGGTGTGTAGGAGGGGGACTCTGTTAACTTCTGGTTAAGCAGCTGAGCTGCTTTTGGCGCCCTCTGGGGGTCTGGAGGTGTCCTACACACCTTGTGCACCACTGCCTGCTATCTTCTTGCTCCCGACACAGTGACACACCTTAACCACGGACTCAAGACTGCAAATAACACCAAGATCTGAGCACTGGATGTGGGGCGACCACTGCACAGGCCTTCGTAGCGCCAGCTGGACCTTACAGCAGGCGTCTGCAGACCCCCAGCCTGCCGCCGTCTCCTACCAGGCCTTCTGCTACCTGGGAAGATGATGTGCATCACAGTACTTGTAGCATCACATGGGTATTAATTTATTTCAGTTACTTTTAAGCTAAGGTCTTGATTTTAAGTGCAGGAATTGATTTCATAGCAGAGCAGCGAGGTGAGGAAGTGCCCGGTTTTAGACAGAGTGGCAGAGCGTAGACTGTCCAGCCTGGGCCCCCTGAAAACACTGGGTGCTGTCACCTTTCCTTGGGATCTTCTGACTCTGCATCTCCACAGGTCCCCGATCTTTCTGCTACCCGTCTGAGCATTACCTTTAAATTCATGAATTATAGTCTCCCTCGTTCAGTTTCTGCAACTGTAGACGCAAAACTGTACAGCAGAAACGAGACAGAAGGGGCTTTTTAAATACCTTAACCGTGGATTAACCACGCTGATCCTTTCAGCCAACTGAGGGCAAAATCCTTGCCTGGTTGTAACGGTGTTCTAGACTTGCTTACTCCAAGTGATACAGTGTTCCTGATGAATGTAGGAACATGTTTTGTTTTTTTTTTTGTTTTCATGATGTATGATTTCTGGTATGGCTTTTATTTTTAACCCTTTTCCGCCTTTGCAATTTTATGTTTTTAATACATCTGTCAATGGCATCCTCGGTCCATGGGGTAAATGGGCTGTGAAATGGTCAACGGGGTCCTTGTCTGTCCCATGGACGTGCTGCCTCTGGCCCGCTCTGCTCAGCTGTGCCCTTTGAGGAATTGGAGGATAACGCTAACCGCCGAAATGAACACTGAACATTAATGATAATGGACTGCACTATCAGTCTTGCCCACTTCCGCTCTCTGGTTCCCCCCAAGGGAAGGAGGTGTTATTGCAGCCGCACCTCTTCGGCAAACCGGCAGCCTACTCAGAAACGCATCTTTAACATCTCGCTCTGAGTTTTAATATTTTAGACAAAGACTTTAAAATAATAGAATGAAATGAAAACAATCAGGTGTTATCTGTGACTGTAGATTGCTTTGCCAACCATGGTTTATAAGACAGAATAAAGACATTGAAATAAACCAAATGCACAAAACCAAGTTTCTGCTTTTTAATCCTCTTCTCTACCTTGACAGACTTTTCGAAGCAACCATGTACATGCATTAGTTTTCTGTCCCTGTACTGTATATGACTAATGGAATTCTACCAAGAGGCTGCCACAGGATGTCAGTATGAATATGGCCAGCAGGGGGCAGTGATGCTCCCGTGGGAAGACTGCACAAAATATGTGGCAATGATCAAAGTACATCTCATCACATTATAAAGAAAGTAAAAATGGTTTGGCTATGTAGGTGTATAATAATAAATTACAGTCCGCAGTATATAGCAGCATAATACCTGTCACTTCCATATTAGGGGGTTTGAATTCCCTGCTCTGTGTGTGTGAAAGAAATCGGCATGTTCCCCCTGGGTCACGCATGTTTTCTTCAGGTACTCTGCGGTTTCCTCCCACAGTCCAAAAAATATGTTGTTAACCTATTTGGTGTTTGTGTATGTTGTGGGAGTAGAATCTGTGATGTTGCAAGGCATGCTGGGAATTGGTGTCAAGTGGAGGTAGCTGACTTGTCTGTAAGACAAAGTTGAGGTGTATGTGTGTGTGGCATAAAGCTTAAGACATATAACAAGCAAATGTTAAGAGGACGCGGTGTTTGCAGAGCTGTAAGTTTTATTTATAAAACAGAGGTTGACCAAAGAACTGTATGACAGTGTTTCCCAATCCAGTTCTCAGGGATCCACAGACAGTCTACATTTTTGCTCCCTCCCAGCTCCCGATAGTGCACTACTTTAAAGACCCCCTAAGCCAAATAATGTTTTTATTCATCATTTTTTCCCATCACTTTGTCCCCCCTGGACTGAGGACCAGTGATGACCATTTCAGGTCCAGAAGATACAGATCCAGACCAAATTGTTTTTTTATTTTATTTTTATCAACCAGTTGACCATAAAGAGTCACAGAGTAGCTACTCAACTGGTTGGTGAAAACAGTTGTAGGTTCTGGACCTGAAGTGCCCGACATTGCCAAGGATCCTGTTAGCAGATAATTTAAAACTATCCAGAAATTTCATGTACTCCCTTCTTAGGACCTGGACAGAGAGTAATTCAACCAATCTGTAGGGTTATTTGTAAACTGTAGACTATTGCTAAAAGCATTTGATAAAGGCTAGCAGTATCTTAGGTTACAGTGGCAATTGAAATTGGTGACCAAGAGATGTTTTTGTGATATACAAATTCAAAGTTATTCTGACATGAATAGAAGATACAGTAAAATCCAGTTATAATGGACTTCAAGGGACCTGGCAAAACAGTCTATCTCCCAAAGTCCATTATATCCAGAGTTGCTGTTTGCCCAGAACACAACTACAGGACACCATTTACTCATGCCACACCCCAGCAGACCCACTTGTGGTATAGATTATTATATTGTACATGTAGTAATACAACTTTACCTGACCAGATGCGTGACTATTAGTAATCCCGACTACGTACGTATCTGCGCTGTATATCACCGGCACGCCACGCGCCTTGTAGGCGGAGCCTGCATGTCCGTTATAGCCGAACAAAACTACAGCTAAAAGCAGCCCTGGGGACTGAATTGTTGGTCCGTTATAAGCGAAATTCCATTATATGCTAGCCCGCTATATCCGATGCTTTTTCTGCATGTTCTTAAAGGTGCACGGCTGGGACCAGCAAACCTCGTCAGTTATAGACGAGATTCCGTTATAAGCAAGTCCACTCTAACGGGATTTTACTGTATGTATTTTAATCATATTTCATCAGATATTTCATCAAAATTAGAGAACGATTTGTTATACTTGGCAATTTTTGGACCTAATCTGAAATATCTGGTAACCCAGTTCTATTTGGCAACGTTTGGCAGGCATTTTGCATGATGGTGGACCTCTCCAGGTTGACAAAACCCTGTATTGTCAGGCTGGTCAGATGAAGGCTGATGGGATGATTCTCTTAGCCACTGGATGAAAAGTTAGTTGTTCAAATATTGAAGCTATATAACACGGTTATTCAAATCGAGGTCTGAGCACTGCTGGTTTTCCAGCCTTCCTTTACCTGTGAGCCAAGTGTGAAGCCTCTGACCAATCAGAATCAGTAATTATTAACCTAACTACCTGGGAGAACTGAAAACAAGGCCTGGATTTGGAATCGAGGTTCAGATTTGAAGAACCCTGCTGTATAATAAAGGTAAGACATTCAAGTCCAGAAAAGGCTGCTTGCCCACACATGATGAGCATGCCAGTGAACAGGATGATACGGAGAACCTCGTGGGGGTTCGGTTCTGCAGCTGGAATTGCTCGCCATGTTAGTTCTAGCCAGGGCAAGGACTTGTCTTGAGAGGGTCCCGTCATCTGGGACAATGTGGACTGGAAGCCCACTGCAGGGTGAACGAGCCACTTAGCAAGGAGAATGATAAGGCTAGACTAGCCCTTTGCAGAGGAGCATGGTCTAAAGTTAATTTCAGTGATGGAAACAGGTTTAATTTAGTTGGTTCAGGTGGGAATCATTATTTGTGACATTGAATTAAAGAAAGACTCCACCAAAAGTGTGTGAAGAAGTCAGAAAAGTTGGGAGGGCTTAGTGTCATGGTGTGGGGTATGTTCTCTGCGGCAGGAGTCTGGCCTCTCGTACGGCTATGTGGTGAATGCTAATGAGCGTCAGAACCTCCCTCAGCAACACGCGGCTCCTTCCTTAGTAGCATCCGCCAGTCATTTTGATACAAGACAGTGCCCCTTACCACACTGCAAAAGGGGTGAAGCAGCTTCTCGAAGCTGAGGACATCACGATGATGACGTGGCCAGCCCAGAGTCCTGATCTGATCCCTACCAGGAATCTCTGGAAGGTAATTGGCGGCAAAATTATGGCAAACAAACCCACTACAGTTCCCAAAATGTGGAAGAAACTGGAAGATGCAAGGAAGAAAATGGTCAGAGCAGTGTGAGAAAGTGATGATGTCCTGCGGGCGCTGATGCGGCAGTCATTTAAAGCAAGGGCCTCTATGCTTCCTATTAATTTCTGAAAGTTATAATCATTTAAAAAGGTTGACAGAATTCATTTGTAGGCTTCTTGCAGAAAAAAAAAAACTGTTCTCTAATTTTCATTGCATGCCTTTAAATTTCTTGCCTAAACTATTTATTTTGTGATGTGGCATAACTTTCACTGATGAAACAGGATTAAAATACATCTTTTCTATTCATGTTAGATATATTTGAATTCAGATAACTGTGACTTTGTATACCACAAAAACGTCTCGTTCTCTAATTTTGATCACCACAGTATACAGCTAGAAAAGCTGCATGGAAGTTTTGTAGATGTAGGAGAAGACATAGAAGTTAAAGGCATATCAAAGTCAATAAGCTTGTGATCCGAAAAATCAAACATAGATCTTCAATATTCACCGATAGGCATCCGAGAGGATAAAACAATATCCAGTATATGACCACAGCTGTGATTTGGTGCCTTGACCAAATGGGTTAAATTGAACGTCTCAATGTGAAATGAATCCTGAGCCATACCCTCCTGAGATCCCACCCATTCATGTCCATTGCAGTGGACATTTTGTTTTTGCATCTATCTTTTCACTGATGTTAGGAAACGTATTTATTCCTGTTTTACACTAAAGAGGACATGCTGTGAAATTAAAAATAAAAATAAATTTGAAAAAAATCAAAATTGTAAGATGTCTTGTTTCCTCCAAAGACAAATAACCTACAATTGAAGGACACTTTTTTCCTTGGGTCTCAGGAGGATAGGGGTTTGAAGGGCAGCATGCATGAATGTTGAAATCACCCAGGGTCTACAGATTGTCAGCCATAAGACATGAAAAAAATCATGAATAAAAACAATGAACAATGGAGCAATGAACAATGGCCCATAACCTTCAATCACTGTACTTCAAATGGATTTAAACACATCAGTTTCTAATTTAAAACATTTAAAACGTTTTTCAAAAATACTGCAACTCCCCCACCTTGGCCAGACAGTGCTTAAGAAGTTATAAGCTGGGTGGTGAAGTTTCCAATAGGGCAGAAAAATCACCAGGACACAACCACGTCTCAATAACAAGCAGAAAGTTTAGGTTTTGTATCATTTAATACAAAAGTCTTACTTGCAAGAGACCTTCTGTTCAATAATGCTATTTGTGCCAGCTGTACTGCAGACTGGAAAAATCAATGCCCAGGTGGTGAGTATGCCATCTAGGTAACAAACTATTATCAGCAGTATCAATTGGCCCCTAAAGGGAAAGACATCGGTGGAGAGCATCAGCTCCAAAGAACGACGGGAAACCTACTATCCTCTACCGATTGGGGCTTTCGACGAAGCCACAGAAACCGCTTTCACCATAAGATGGGAATCCCCATAAGGAAGACGAGACACTATGCAAGTCTTACCAGAAATTATTTTAATAATGGGTCCAAAATGTAGTACTCCCTAGTGCGTACAATAGTAAATTTGTACATAATTTAGATGGTTTGTATATTATGTTAAAAGGTCTTGATAGAAAATGACAAAGCAATTTGCCATTCAAATTTTGCAGTACTGTACTGTTTGTTGAGAAATTGGTAATCGGTAAGACTTTATATATTGTCATTCAGGCTAGCAGATTGTTATGGATTGAGGTTAAGGGCCCCAAGTATTAATTTAACTTTCACGTTCAGAGTAGATCTTCTGTCTCTAACCCTTGTAAATGTGAAGGAATGACTGTATTTTCTCATAACATTTGATTTTCGTTTTAACGTTTGATTATTCTTCATTGGTTTCAACTGTTGTTTTCGATTTAACTGATCCCATTGAAAGCCATCAATCCACTTTATTGTTGTTTTACCTTGCTATCAAGCCTCCCATTAATTAACCTACAAAAAATACACATCAGCACTTGGAGGCCCACATTCAATACCGTAATGGCCCACTAGGGGGCAACGGTCCCCAGGTTGGGAAACCCTGGTCTAAGTGAGGCTTGTGTACTAAAGGCAGCTCTTTGGTTGTCTCGAAAAGCGCTACATAAATGCAACATTCATTCATTCAAGCAAAGAAACTTTTACATATGTGCAATGGATGTTAACGAAAAGCTGTGTGCATGATTATTATACGCATTTAGTACAAAATTATTAGAAGTAATTAGATGAATATTAGATTAAATGTTTAGAAGTATTTAAGAAACTATGCAAAAGGTTTGAAAAAGAATTGGTATTGTAAAGGTGTGAAGGCCCCACCCCGAGCTCTCTGTCTATGTATTGTTGTATTGTCTGTATGGGGAGGGGAGGGGTCTTCATTCAAGCTGCAGAAGGAAAATCATGCTTGCTTACTCATAAAGAAGAAATTCTTGCACGTAATGGTCTCTGATTAATTTCGTTAAAGTGGTTGAGAGACAAAAGTTTTCTTCCAGTGTTCCCATCTTCTGCTCTATACTGCCAGAGTTAGGCTGCAGTCCCCCCCCCCCCCAAATTATTCAGGTAGATGGTGTCGCACTTTTGGATGCCTTGGTACCACGCTGGCAGCTGGTTCCCTCGGGGGTCTATTATCATTGCGGTGGGTCAGTCGAGCTCTCAGGCCTCACATGTGTGTGCCCCCCCATGTGCCCCCCCATGCCGGCCAAGCACACGGCACCCCTCATGCTCCCCAGACAAAGCAAATTCCAAAACAGCAACAGGGAGCTGAGGCTCACATATCCTCAGGAAACACAGTCACTTCCTGGCAAATCAAGTTAATCTGTTGGGCGGCTCCCACCCGACGCTCACCGACATTCCCCCAGCTTTCTGTTTGCTGGTCAGTCATCTCTACGCTGTCCTGTGATGTGGGAGACCCCCGGACCCCTGCTCAGGATGAAACCGAGACCTCTCCTCACCCTACTGATCCTCCACACCTGTAAGAGTGCCTTGTCCTCCGGCCCTCAAGTTCACGATGCCGTTTTCGAAATGCTTTAACTCGTCTCCTTCTTCAACCTCCTCCCTAGTCCTCCTGTCCACTCCTTGGGCTTTCCCCGAACCTCCAGGGCAAGGTGCTGAAAGGCAGGGAGGTGAGTGCATTTCATCCATCGAGTTTAGCTAGGTGACAGAGGTGCTTCAGAAAGTATGTGTTCTGTCGAATGCTTTTGTACCAGCGGTGGCCAATCGTATCCGCAAAGGGCCGGTGTGTATGCAGGTTTTTTGTGATAACCTGTAGGTCAGCTGTTCAAACCCAGGTGTGAGGACTCTTCTGCCAATCAGTCCTCTGATTAGTAATCTAATTAGGGAGTTGCAGTGAAAACCCGCATATACACCGGCCCTTTCTGGATAAGATTGCCCAGCCCTGTTTTATATGCTGGACACTGACACATTTCTCACTTTATGTTTCTGTATAATGCCATTATTTTGTTGCCATATATTTCTGGAAATGTCTTTTTATTATAAGGAATTGAAACGAGGAAAGGTTGGTTGATCTAAATCTGTTCAGCCTCAAGCAAAGGAGACTGAGGGGGGACATGATCCAGGTCTATAAGATTCTAACAGTTTTGGATGCTGTTCAACCGAATAGTTACTTCAGCATTAGTTCAAATACAAGAACTCGTGGCCATAGGTGGAAATTAGCGGGAGAACATTTCAAACTGGATTTAAGGAAGCACTTCTTTACGCAGCGTGTAGTCAGAGTATGGAATAGTCTTCCTGATAACGTAGTGCAAGCTGAATCATTGGGTTCCTTTAAATCAGAGCTAGATAAGATTTTAACAACTCTGAGCTATTAGTTAAGTTCTCCCCAAGCGAGCTCGATGGGCCGAATGGCCTCCTCTCGTTTGTATAGTTCTTATGTTCTTATGTTCTTAAAAAGACGGTGTATAAGACAATGAAAAGGGACTTACTTTGCTGTTTTCAGAACATGTTAGACACCCCATCAACTTGATGTAACTTGAGAATAAATGGTAAAAAATGATTTTTTTTTTACCTTAATTTCCATAGTGAGAGAGCTTGTTCTCCTAAACGTTTTAGTGCTGGCTGCAGAGTGCCGTGGTGTGACGGCTTTGAGAGGAGGCCGCTCTGTGCTGCCACATGCATCTCCTATCTCTAAAGGGCCTTTTTCACCGAACGCGGCTGCTGCGCTTACTGCGACAATGAAAACTGCGTTGTTCCAAAAAGAAAGCAGTAGCTGTCATATTTTTAAGAAGAGCAGCAGTAAAAAAAACTGTGGCTACATGATATTAATGATACATAGTTGCTTTATAATATCTCTGTAGGAGAGGTGGGATGGATTATACATTTCAGGAAAATCTGAAACTGCCAGAACTATCTTCTCTGTTTTCTTCCGCGGATTTCTTATTGGCCACACCAGCAGTATGTCAGATGGCGGCACACAGAAGTTCTACAAGTTTGAACTTCAGGCCCAAGTTCACTGAGCCATGCGATGCGGAAAGCTGGGCAAGCTATAGAAATAATGGGTCCCTGCGTGCAGGAGAGCGTGCGCCTCATTCGGTGAGAAAGGGCCTTACGGGAGACCTGCCCCATGTCATGCTTTTGTCTGGACGAGGCAGAGATTCCACAGCACCGGTAATAATGTAAACGGAAGCGGACATGCTCATGTGTGTCGATGTAGCATAGTCTCACGTTGGGGGCTGGTGTCTCGCTCGCTGGCCCAGCTCATCCCGCCCTTGTGAGCATTTCCCAGCTTCAGCTCATTGTGTGATGGAATGCTGAGCAATACCAGGTGGAACAAAGTCCTAGAATAGAGCCGGCCCGGTTCTGATGGGACGGCCTATTCTTTATTCCTGATCAAAAATTAAGGACTTTCTGTCCTCTGTTGTGTTCATTGCCTGTTCAATGAAGCTAAAATGATGACATCATTAGCTTTAATACACTTCTTATCATGCGTCTCCTGAAGCTTGGTTTGCTTGATTTAGTTTCAGTAATTATTAGTGTTACTGTGTTGCTCTTCATGGAGTGCCTGTGATCTGCGTGGCTCTTCATGGAGTGCCTGTGATGTTCTTCAGTCATCTACATATCTCCAGTGAAGATGACACTGGACCCCCGAAGCAGTGTGAAGAGGGGGGAGCACGTTGCTGTCGTCTGCGAGGGTCGGGTCAGCTACTCGTCACAAGTTACTCGCAGTCACAAGGTCACCTTCTTTAAGGATGGTGAAGCCTTGGACACCAGGGAGACGCAAGATATCACAGTGTCATTTAATATAATGAGTGCCAGAGTTTCACACTCGGGGAGATACAAGTGTCGCGTTGAAGCAGAAGACAAGAACAGCGACAGTTCAGAGGTACTGCTAACTGTCACAGGTATGTGGTGCCTTGATCGTGTCCTCTTTGCTCTCGCCTGAGCTGTCGTACGCAGTGAAGGCCTGCACTGCCGCTATCTGCTCCACCCCAGGGCTGCGCCGCATGCTGATGCTGTCCTGTGCTCCCAGGTCTGCAGACCCCTGAACTTAGCATCAGCGAAAGCCGCATTCCCGAGGACCGGGGGGTGACGGCCACCTGCCATGCCCGTGACGAGCTCGGCGCCTCCTTTGCTTTCTACTTCTACGAGAACGGTGAAGAAATCAAATACTCTCCGAGTGATAAAAATGAGTTTAAAGTCCAGTTGAACTTCACGCCGGGAAGGAAGACCCTGCGGTGTCAGTATGCCGTGCGGCTGGCGGACAATATCGTGAAATCGGAAATGAGTGAGAACATCACCATAGATGTGGAAGGTGAGGTTACAATCATCCACATCTTTGTGGAAGCCCTGCAGTCCTGTTGTTTTTGTTAGCAGGCACCCAGGTAGCCTGAGGAGGGCGCTGTAGTGCACTTTTTTTCATTTTGGCACATGTCTCTTAAACTGAATTGTACCATTAAGCTGCACCCCATAGACTTATCTGCTAATCTGCAAAGTTTACTTCATAAATAGACAAAGTTTATTTCAGAAGCCATTTTAGAGGCTTAACAATGGCCAATAAGGATCAAACTTTAATGGTAGGTATCTCTGTATGAATTTTGTGTGTCTTTAACCTGCTGATAGTCATCCCCCCACCTGTTATGGTGCTTGGACCCCCGCTAATCATGGATATAATAACCTTTTGTTTGTTTCTTCTTTGCCCGTAGCGCTGTCTATTAAAGCAGACATTTCAGTTTGGCCTAACAGAAATGTTGTTGAAGGAGACCATTTGGAGGTGAACTGTACTGTCAGTGGGAGCAACTCAAGTGTACATATGCGCCTATTGACGAACAAGTGGCATCAGGAAGGAAATAACACAGTCAGCAGAGGGCTGACTGCCAAACCCCAAGATTCTGGTCGTTATGAATGTATATTAACGACGGGAAACGTGAGGAAGACCGCTTCAGCCAATGTAAGTGTAACAGGTGAGGATGACATTTTTTTTAATGAATTTTTAAGGGGCCCTCATACATTTCATGTGCACCCTCCAGTGCTAATTTCCATCCAGTATGTTTTTAATGAACAGCAATTGCACAGCGCCTGTGTGTTTCAAGTTGTAGGCAGTCAAAGAAAATGTTTATGGCTCTTTATCTCGGTAGAAGTGGTATATTTGCTCAGGAAAAAAAAACTATTTGACATTTTAACATATGCAAATTAACAGTAACACCATAAAAACTAACTGAGAGTTTCATCTGTTCTCATCAAGCTATTAATATGTTTCATTAAGTTATTAATATTTTGTTGGATGGCTAGACAAACTTTGGTTCCTAAACCTCGTCATAAGGGCACCTCAGCCGTTCTACGTATTCATTGAACTTCTCTACCAGCTCAATTAATTGACTTTATTTGTTACATAACTCAATGGGGTGTTGATTAGTCAAACAACGCGGGTTAGTGGTCGAGTCAAAAAATACATAGTGTATTGGACGGTTACTCCATGTACTGTGGTGATTTTAGAAGACATTTTGAAATGGTTAAGCTGACACACTTTGACAGGCATAATATCATAGTGAGATGAAGATCATTTAAAAATCATTTTCTTTGTCTGCATAAGATATTTGCACGGTACTGTATATATAATTTGTGATAGTGGTATAGTTACCCAATACTTAGCAGTTAAAACCAACACAGGGCTCTTACACACATTCTGAGGCATAAGCTTGTGTTAGGTAACTGTTTCTTTTTCTTCCCTGACAGAGCTGTTCTCAGAGCCAGTGATGACCATGAATCCGCCACTGGTGTTTGAGGGGATGCAGTTCAATTTCAGCTGCTCCAGCAAGACCATAATGACAAGCAGAATCAGCCACGGAGATGTAATGTACACGATATCTAAAGACGGCCGGTCCTTCAAGGCCGATAGCATGATGACGGCAGCAAAATCCTTTGATGGCAATTACAGCTGCCTCGCTGAAGCCAGAGGAATTTCCAAAAGCAGCAGAGATTTCATATTCAAAGCAAAAGGTGTGACATGCTTATATTTGTCCTGCCTGACCAAAAAGGTTTCTTAAATGCATGTAAATATAACTGACGACCTTCTCCATCTCGTTCCCGTTCTCCTCATTTTTGTGTCAGAGCTGGTGTCGACCCCTAAGTTAGAGGTCTTGGATAAGGTGGTCTTGGGGAAGACATTACGAATTCGCTGCCGCTCTGAGCGGGGCTCCCTTCCCATCCGCTACACCCTGAAGCACGGCCAGCAGTGGGTGGCCAGTGAGACAGTGAGCCAACCCGTAGGCTATGCTGTCTTCAATGTCACCATCAAGGATGAAGTGGATAATCTGGAGTTCTCCTGCCACGCCCAAAATGACGGCCCTCAGGGAGAGAATTCGAAACAAAGCCACAGAGTCATAGGTGAGCTCCTCAGCTTCTTGCAACAGAGCAGCCACGGGAGCTGAGTGAGATCTTTTTGGTTTGTCTGTTAGCGACTCATTGGATTGAGTCTTCACCTGTGCTGGGCTTTGTTTGCAACAATCCCCTTAATTAGAATGTATTGCTTATTTGATTGGAGTTGTTTTGCTGAACGTCCGTGCCCCTTACAATCAAAAAAAATCAGTCCACACAATCAGAGGAAACCTCCCCCAGTGTATAAACTGATAAGTCCTCTTCTGCCTCCCAATAGTGCCCCCAAGAAAAGTCACAATTTCACTCCGGGACACCAGGGTGGTACACATTGAAAGTCACGAAATTGAGGAGGGGAACATCGAGGAAGGCGACACGCTGAAAATTTACTGCAGCGTCCAGAAGGGCAGCCCCCCCATCACTTTCTCGTGGTACCGGTATCAGCAGAAACAGGTGCTCTACACCAAGAAGGTCGACAACAAATTCGGCGTGTACATAGTGGAACGGGCTGGCAAGGAGCACGAGGGCGGTTACTACTGCAATGCTACGAACCAATCAGATATGGGTGAAGAAAGTCGCATCCTCATCATTCAAGGTGAGGTCTGCTTTGTGGCTCATTTCCATTCTCCTTTCCCTTTTCCCCTTTTCATCACTTAGCTGTGGGTCTCACTTTGCCGATTGTGATTATTTACAGCTGGGCAATGCGGCTCCTTCTTGAGCTCCATCGTTTGTATTGATCAGGATAAACGTTGGCCATAGATTTCGGGTGGGAGCGGGAGCTTGTGCTCCAGTTCTCCACCATAGGGCAGTGGGGTTGCCTTGAGTGACAGGGATTCTGACCGGCCATAGCTCATTAGCTTGAACATTCAGGAATTTGCCGTGTGAATCTGTCCTGAGAAGGGGACTTCCTCCCCCTGCCCTTGTAGCAAAGCAGTGCATGACAAATTCCCTTCTCTCTGATCCCACACAGTGAAGATGGCCAGTTGGAAGAAGGGCCTGATTGCCGTCCTCTGTCTCCTGGTCCTGGCTGGTATCATCGGTGTTGTCTGGTACAAGGTTAAGAGAGGTACAAAAGTGTCCGGTCCTGCAGCATCCCAAACCGCATGTTCCAGACCCCATATGAATCTTCTCCCATTTCCCCCCCCTTTGTTATAGGGCAAAGGAGGATGGCCACAGACCTGTCAGTGTGAGTTGACTTGTACCTTTCTTCCTGTCACAGTGATTCAGTACAGCTGTTATGGGCACATGCCAATGTGTTAGCTACACCTCCCTTATTGTACTGTGTGTTCAGATAGCAAACAGGCACTGCCCACCCCCCCCCATCTCCCAGGGACCAATAAGATCTCATTCCTCCCTGTTTGAAAATACCTATGATGACTTTACTATCACCATTCCTCAGAAAGCCTTCGAGCGCTACACCAGATGACTGTGTCACCGTGAGTCTCCGAAATAACGCCGACGACGTTTATTATTCTAAAGGTAGGACCACCCCCCCCCCAACCCTTGTCCGCTCCCTGCCTCATGCACCGGAATCCTCTCGCCCCCCTGTCCATTTTGTCTGTGTGCATGGGCATCGCCTGCACCCTGCGTCCAATTCGTGCCATCTAACACCACGGGCAGACGGGCATCCACACACGCTTATGACCCCTGCCGCTGTCACACCCCTCGGTGCCGCTACGTGTCACAGATGGAGGGCAGCAGTGTCACAGAGCACCACCAGCTCATCCCACCAGCTCTCGGGAGTAATACAGTTCCCCAGAGCATTGGGTGGCTAGCACACCTGCATTTGGCTAACCGCTAACTCCAGGTTTGCATGGTGTAGTGTGTTGTGGATGCCTGGTTTTACTGCATGTGTATCACAGGCAACACAACCCCCCCCCCCCACCCTGAATCTTATTACAGACGCAGACGTGGAGGGGACAGCGACCATTGGGACGTGCGATAGTGCAGCATCTCTTCCTGCTAACGGCAGCAACCGGAGCAGCTACAGTAGCCCAGCGACAGTTTAGAGATGAGCCAGCCTGAAGTGGAAGCGTTTCTGTAACCAAAAAAAGACCTGCCCAGTCGCACTGGGACAGCAGAGGAAATGCCCACGAGGGATCGGGCACCATACATCCTGATGAAATGAGTAGAGAGGGGCAAACATGGACTACTCCTATTTTCAACTTTAATTGGCTCTTGTTATCATGTATCTAAATTAGACACAGTGGCTACACTTTCAAAAGCTGGTATATCTCCGAGACCCTGCTGCCCCCTCCCTGCCCCCCTACCCCACCCCCCCCCCCCCCCCCCAAGCTCAAAATGTCATCTTGGGAATTCCCTGTACAGTCCGTGTGTGTCACACACACACCACCTGCAGTGGGCTTTATTTGTTTGTATTCATTCCCAGAAAGGCTGATAAAGAAACCCGTGGCCTTTTCATTGTGTCCTTTTCATTTCATGTCTGTCCATCTCCTCGCCTGTGTCTCCATGCCGACATTCCATGAGTCCATTTGCACGCACATCATGCTCTTTGTTCATGTTCTATAATATTTTGTTTGCATGGGAGAAATTTCCCTAAAATAAAAACGTATTTTTGGAACCTGCCTCCTTCCAATGTTTTTAGTTTGTTAAAGTATCGCATGGTCAAATCTTGACACTGTTAATCTTTGTAAATTGATTCTGAACAGTAAAATGATATTATGGCTTGTTCAGTATGAGTGCTTTCTGGAACAATGCTGTGCACTTAGAATTTCCTTCTGGTGCAAGTCAAGTGGCAGAAGGATGTGGGGATCAAGGGTTTCAATGGGTACAGCAGGTTGAGGAAACACAATAACCCAGCTGTGCGTGAATGTCTCTGTGCGTGAGTGTCTCTGTGCGTGAGTGTCTCTGTGTGAGTCCGTCTGTACGTGAGTGCGTCTGTGAGTGAGTCCGTCTGTGCGTGAATGTCTCTGTGCATGAGTGTGTCTGCGCGCTATCTATGACTGCAATCAAAAAAATAAAATAGCCGAAAGTCTTGTATTGTTTGGTTTGTATGGTGGGGTAGGGGTTAAGGTCATGGTTAGGATTAGGATTATGCCCATAGAAATGAATGGATGGTTCCTATAAAGATAGGAATAGGAACTGTGTGTGTGTGTATGTGTGTGTGAGTGAGTGAAAAGGGATGTATATATGACATGTTGGGCACCAAATGTCCCTACCATGTGATAAAGACCTGTTATTTTGACATTGTGTTGACATTTTTCTGGACCCCACTAGGGAAAACCCATCGCCCCCTGCCTTAGGGACCCCTAACCACAGACCCCCTCTCCCTGTGTCTTTCAGTCGATACTGATGTAGCGGAGAGCAACATCTGGTGCAAGAGCAGCTCTGACTCAGGTAGGAATATGGCAGTAAGGGGCCTTTGCTGACAAGGTCCAGGAGGTTTCCTGCAGAAAACAGCAGCAGGAGATGCAGCAGCATCAATTAATCGCGTTTTACAGTGATTTACAGGTTCTCAGGTAAGGACAGGTTAATGCCTAGGCCCTTCAGCCTAGGGCCCTGGCAAAATCAGGGGCCCCGTCCCACCAAGAAAAATGGCCAATCAATCCACAGTGTGATATCCCCCCCCCCCCCCCTGCCCTGCAGATTTTACCTCCAGCACTCCCTCCGGCTTATTAGCAAATTTTACTAACAGCAACTATACTCTCCCTTCCCTCGACTGGCTCCTCAAGTGGCTGTATCAGCCTAGGGCCCCCAGAGAAGTTAATCCACACCCCTGGAACCTCTGTTCCATCGGTACACGTTATGCTGTTGTGTTTTCTGTAGGCTCTGAGCTGAGTGCAGAGGAGGACTCCAGCGACGTGGAGTATACTGAGGTCATGCACCCCCAGCCTGCAAACACAGCTCAAGGTGACTGAGCGCACAACCCGCCATACTACCTCCATGAGCGTGCGCTCAGTACCGCATGGTCAGGGCTGGTCTCTGTGAGGAGGGGTGCGGACGATAGACTCACCGGATGCTGAGTGGGACTGTAATTGCTCAGTATTTATTCCTCTGTGAGACAGCGTCAATTCATCTCAGTCAGATGTCTTTGAAGACCCAAACTGGACTGTTTATAGAATTCATTACCAGATAAGTGGAATATCCATTTTGGCTCCCTTTTGGGAGTGGTCTATCTAAATTGCTTATAATTTGCCAGAGCTTGTTGAACAAGAAAATCACACTTTGAGAAACATCAATTTTTCCCAAATAAACAGGAAGGAATTCATTATCGTAATTAAGATGACCTTTGTAGACCCCGCCTATGTCCCCCTACAGCTGACCTTAATGTGTCTGTTGAAGTACTGTAACATAACAGTGACTTTGGTTTTTAATCATTGTGTAATATTAAAATGAATACTTTGTATATCACAGTACAGTGACGCAAAATTGTTTTTTTTTGTGGCGCAGCTCCTTGTAGGAAAGGCACTGAAACTGTGTACAGCGAGCTCCAGAATTCCTGCCAAGGTGAACCAACCACCCCCCACACCACAGGGCACCACGGTTACTGCCAAACGGTCACCATTATGTAGAACACTGAGCGGGGACAGGCTTGCTGTGTATGAGTAACAGCGTCCACTCACGAGTAGAGAACCGGCAGGTGTCCGTTTCCTCTTCCTGTTTATGCCAAGGGAATGTTTTCCTCAGCTGTTCTTTTGTGTGAGTCTGTTCTGCTACTTTGTTAGAAAACGTCGATGTGTATCACCAGTAAAATGAGATCGCTTTGCGCTCCATTTGCATCTTACGCGGTGTGCAGACTTTGGAACTTCTTGGCACATTCTGTCCGTAACTTGTCGCTAATTGTTTTCACAGGTGCCGAATGCAGCATCGACGACGTAAGTAAAACAGCGTCTCTGACCTATAAGGGACCCGCCCGGGGGTGACTATTTGGGGATGCCGTCACATATATTTACAGTGATGACGCTGGTTTAGTTATCTTTCAAAGAATGCGGAACGTGTCACTGGGGGGGCCTGACTCTGTCCAGTGGGAAGTTGTTGCTCACAGTTTCCTGAATGAGTACAAAGGCACCAAAGCACCAGTTTCCCTCCCTTATCGAGCTGCACCATCTTAGCCGTGGGGTTACAACCAGCGGCATCCAAAACATCTCAGAGACGTCTTTATGGCTGACAGGAGGGATGGGGGGGCAGGGAGGGGAGGAAGCCAGCACAATTGAATCTGGCCATTGTGGAGCTGAGCTGGGACTGTGTGTATGCTGGACGTTGATGATATTAGGGCAGGAGGAAATATGGGAGGGAGCATTAGTGAAATAATACTCACATGTGTGTTTTTTTTGGCCTCTAAGGGCCACATTTCGTGGCCTGTTATTGGTTTACATGAGGCAGAACTGCAAACATAAAGCACTTTGAACTACCACTATATTTTAAAAATGTATAATTTTTTGTTGCATTTTGCTCATGATATTGCAGCATTAGAAATGCAGTGGTCTAGATCAAAGATGACTTATGTCAGAGTTTTTCGTACTGTGAGGGATGGGAGAAATGCAGCCTTGAAGTGCAAATTAGGTGCTGTATTGTGTGCAGTGAGTCACTGGCCATTGTGATCCACATCCACCTGATTATTTGGTTTGCCACTGGATTAAACCAGGCAATGATTGATGATCCAGTTCCTCCCTTTGTGAGTTTCAAAACCCCATTTTCCATCACTCCCTCCATCCACAATATGACTTTAATTCATACAGTAGTGCTAAATTTATATGTATATACTATATACCTGATTATATAAAACGTAATTATTCTTTAAAGGTAATGTATAGGGGAAATGTAACAATGTCCAGACTACTGCTACATGCTTAGTATTTATATTACAGTTTTGATATTACTCTTAATCAGAGGTGGATAGTTCAGGTCCAAAAACTACAGAAGAGTACTGAATTGGTTGGTTGAAAAAAAATGTTGGTCTGGATTTTTACTTTCTGAACCTGAATTACCCACCTCTGTTCCTAATCACGTGTCGGCTGTATGGTCAGAGCTGAATATGAGTTCCCTGACCCGAATCTCCATGTGCTGTCTGTGTGCCGGTTTTGCGGACCCGAAGTGATATAACCTTGTCTGTCTTCTCCCTAGGAGGGGGCAGTGGAGTACATCCACCTGAACCATGATGAAGCGCCGATCATGCAGTGATGGTGGCGCCCCCACCCTGTCGTGCGAGAAACATCACTTGGCTCGGGGTGCAATTTGTTAAACCGCAACTACGGACTGTAATCGAGTACCTGCCCTTTACATAAACTTTTAGATCTCACCTGGAAGCATTTAGGAGATGGATCAGATGCAATAATACACACCATATTAATAGCCAGTAGATATGACTACAAAATGCAAGTACTCATTAGCATCTTACAGCTCTGCCACATACTGCTGCAAGTAGTACTCATTTCCCAGGTTTGCAAGTACTCTGAAAGCTGTGGGAGTAATATGGTCACAAACGGCAGGCGACTGTGTTCATGGGCCCCTAGGCTACATTTTCCATGGGCCCCTCTTCTGCCCCCCACTCCCCAAAAGGATCCAACAATTTACTATAAAACTATTACATTTTATAGTAATTATAAAATCATTTTCACTAAGTGAAGAAGAAGATGACCATGTATCAAAGGACAGCAGTCACATCAGAAGAACGACAAACCGGCAACCTTTCACATCAGTCATATGCGGCAATCAGAAAGAGCGTAAGAGAGAGCCCACAGAATAGACCTATGTCAATAGTGGTGTCCTTAAAATATTACAATCTGATCCAGTGCATGTCAACAGCACACAAGACATATCTACCATAGATAGCATAGAACACAGATACTGTAACTTTACAGAGAGGGGCAGATTCCAAAAGAATATAAAACAAGTTCTTGCCATTAGAATGCTTTCCTTTGTGCATTTTTGATAAAGACAGACTCCATGTAACGGAAACATACTACGCATTCCAGAACATACAACCAAAACGAGCACCAAAAAAGAGATACATTTAGAATTGGTCTCCCCATTCAGTTTTAATCAATCACAAACTCGCGAAAAATTAACGACCAATAAAGGATCACTTGTTAAAAAATTACTGATAAAAACTAGATGGCCCCTGATCATTTGGGGCCCTTGCTCTTCAGCCTAGAGAAGCCTGTTCCTCAGTCTGCCCCTGACTGACATTAGCTGTCCCAACCACAAAGTGCAGTCAGATTCATAAACTGTAACCTGATGGTGATGACTTTCTTACAGCCAAGCGAGAGGGAAAAAAAGGATTTTAAATGAAAATTTTGATTAAATTTTGTGGAAACAAACTACGCATCGCCGTTTTATAAAGTGCCTGTTTTGGAAATGTATCAGTTCTACTCAGTACCACTTGAGGTCAGTGTGTATATAACTCAGAATAAACGTCGTGCTCTCAGACCGAGAAACTGTCGTCACCGTTAACCGGCTAAATGCTTTTATAACATTTTATGTAGAGTGTAACTTGGAAGGTAGTTATCACCTCTCCTACAGCTGCGGTATCGCATTTTACTGGATGACTCAGAGAACATCGTTCAGGCTGCAAGCGCGCGGTGAGAAGGGAAGTGTGAGAAAATGGAAACGCAAACAGAGACTTCCTTTCCAGCGCTGTGTGTGGATGATAACTGTCACTTCGCCCCTGGCAAACAGACCCAGATGTCCTAGAGGTCTGATTCTCAAGATGGAAATATCCGTATTTGAGCAGAGGATACAGCGGTAACGGGAAGAGTCTACCTGTGTGAACGGCGAAAAACTTCAATCAGTAACTAAAATAAAGGGTTTTCAATGTCATGATACATATTCATACACTTTGAAGTGTTAAATTTTTAAATAGCTTTTTTAAGAATAAACTTTGTGTCAATATGATGGATAGTCTGCAAGGGGCAGTGTTTTTGTTTTGTTTTTTTAAGGCTGCATATATATGAATATTTTTAATATGTTGATTTCATTTAGCCATTGAACTTATTTAGCCTGTTTTGCCATACAAATAGTGTTTCCCTTTCCTTCATATTAGTCGATTTGGGGTAATCCGTTTAGATTATTCAACTTCAAACTCATTTGTATACGTTTACTTCATTTTGCATATTTTCTTATAAAACAACTTAACTGCCAAGAATTTACTCACCTAACCATTGTTGCCTTCTCCGTGTAGAAAGTTAGCGGGTCAGCCAGGACCTCTCGTTTGGCAATGCTGCCCCCTGCCTGTTTGAGTCTGAAAATGAAGTGATTTTTATTAACCATGCCTCGGTTACACAGTGCAGACTGACTGTCCTGTTTTCCGCATGTTTTTCCACATGAGTTTTGTTTACACTCTGTTCCAAATTATTATGCAAATGCCATTTTCAAATGTTTTCCCTAAACCGTCAGCTTGAATAAAGATGTATTTGTATTACAGTTGTCTTATGAATGGTTTTAAAAGCCAAACTACTGACAGTGACTATAGCTATTTTTAATATTTTATAGAAAAACCACAGATTGTTCCAAATTATGCAAAATGAAGTCTGGTAACAGTCAGTAGGTGAGAATGAGCATGAAACCAAAATTGTTTACATTTGTTATATAAAGAGGCCCTTTTACAAATATTAAACAGAATTTAAATAAAAAAGTACAGGCAAAGTTACATATTAATACCGGAAACCCTACTTTGATATGACTTTTATTCATTGAACTTGTAAGGCCATGTGTATTTTCTGCCTATATTTCATCTGAGAACTTTGATTCCTCTGCCCCAGTTCTCAGTAGGGTTGAGGTCAGGGGATGATGGGGGCCACACCATGATGATTTTCTCATTTTATCCCCATAGCACCCAAAGAGTCAATGGTATTTTTTACAGCACGTGCTGCTGCATTGTCCTGCATGAAGATGTTTTTTTCTTGAATGCATGGATCTCCGTTTCGTGCCCTGGCAGGAGATCGTCAGTAAGGAACTCCACATATTTTGCAGAAGTTTCTTGATACTTACACCTTCAAACGCCATAAAGGGACTTACCATCTTATTCTCCAATACTCCGGCCCAAATTATTACTCCCCCACCTCCTTGCTGACATCTAGTTGTAATAGGGTGGCCATTCACCAACCACCCTGAACTCCATCCATCTGGACCATGCAGTGGTGTTCAGCATTCATCTGTGAATAAAACGGTTTGGAAATTTGTCTTGATGTATTTTTTTAGCCCAATCCAAACAATTCTCCTTGTGAGCTTTTGTTAGGCGAGGTCGAAATAAAGACTTTTTGGACTGCAAGCCTCTGCAGGATCCTGCATCAAATGGCTTTTGGAACTTCAGAGACACCTGGAGGTTCTAATACCTCTTTGCTGCTTAACAATGTTTCTGAGTTGCCCTTTTTAAAGCATTCATCTGTCTGACTGAAACTATCCTCAACCTGCCTTCATCTGAACAAATCTGTTTGTGCTCTGAATCACCCACAAACCATTTAACAGTTTGATGATCTCTTGTCAGTTTTTGTGAAATATCATTTGTTATCATGCCTTTTGCAAGGCATTGCACTATTTCATGCTTTGCAACTTCAGAAAGGTCTTTCTCCTTCCCCATACTACATGAGAACTTTGGTGTGCTTAATAATGTGGAACACTCTCGTAAAGTAGATTTCCCTTTATTGATCAGCTGACAAACTAATTCACAAACCTCTCTGGGCTTGACAACAGTCATTTAAAATGACACGAAGAATAAAACAGGCAAAAACTCCGATTTACAAACTAAAAATTAAATGTTTATTTTGATTAAATTCTACTGATGTGTCATTTGCATAATACTGTAATTTGGAACATGGTTATTTCTCTGTCAGAGTAATTTTTATTTGCATTTTTGCTGAACATTGGGGTACACAAGAGGAAAGGAGTATCAGGGAAAAATTCGGCGGGCAGGGGGGGACATTTGAAATTGAAATGTGACTAAGCTTAATCAGGGCTTAACTTTCGTCTGACACGTTTAAGGGGATCACCTGCAGACTGAAGCTGTCACATCATCCATTCCTGTGGACAGTTGGTCATCTGTGTTATAATCAGGTCAAAAATCTATTAGATCTTTTTGCCATTTGTTTGCCTGGTTTTTTCATACCAGTTGCATTGCATTATCGTTATGAAATTCTTACGTTAGGAGAAACTGGATAGTTGCTGTAACCTTACATCCAGAGACCCATTTGAGTGTGAGGCACGTGTGAAGCGCAGACCATGCGGTGATATCGCCTTGGTTTCTGGCTCTTGGCGGAGCTGACCCAGCCGACAGACATCAGCAGGTGCTGTGAGCTGCCTCTATTTGCCAGCTGCCTGCTGATGGCTCGTTCCTCAAAGTCTCCTCCACACCATTTCTGTCACTGGATCCTTACGGAGCCAGCTTGCCCTCCTTCCTGCCGTCCGCAATGCCCCTGGTCATCCCTCACGTGGCAGGAGCCCTTGCCCCATGTGAAGCATACTTCGGATACGTGCATCTTAGCATGTTTCCACTGGCCTGTGCCGCTTCCAGCGTCTCCCTAGCAACAGCACAGTTTATACTTTCCCTGTAAATGAAGGCCAAGTACATACTAATCGACAGAACCCCTTCAAAGCCTGTGTGTGGCTCTCCTGGAGACATGTGCACGGTCCCGTGCTGTGGACCTGGACACTGGCTTTGTGGATGTTGTCTTCCCCATAGCAGCCTTAATATTAACCACTCAATGCTGCCACATAGTGGTCATTTCTGATAGTGACTTTTAAAGCACTGCACTTTTGAAAGAATGTAAAGGGACTCCGCCGTTTTGGCTCCGGATCAGTGTCAGCCTCAGAAAAAATGTGATGGCCGGGCCCATGACTGATTCTTTTTTGTTTTTTTGGATGGGGGGGGGGGGGCACAGGTGGTGCCAACACTGCTGTGGAAGCTAGTAAGGCTCATTCCTACATACCTGCTTGAGAGAGTCTCTGGTGTTTAGCTTGCTAACACGAAACATCCATAAACACAAAACCCAGGACTTGGAATAATGAGACCAAAAAAGATTTTAAAAATGAGGCTAAACCGTGGAGGGGGGATCAAGGTGTCGGGACCCAAGGTCATAGCTTACTGCTGCCAAATATGGACATACCCATCCATGCTATTTGTAAAAAACGAGGGTGCAGAGAACCATTGAATACCAATGAGCCTGGAAAGCCGAATTTATACTAGGATGTGTTGCAAACAGTAATACGCGGCATATACAGCAAAAAGTGGGTCATGAGAAAATGCTTTCATAAAGTATTGTTCCCTCAAGCATTGGGGGAGACAATTTATTGCAGTTAAGTTTTAGAAATGTCAGTTTATCTCTGCAGTTGAGAGTATGTTCTAGACATAAAATGACAACAGTCATGCAGTGCTCTGAAAGCTCGATGGTCTGAGCTATTGTACCGTGGGAATTTTAAGCAGTTTCCTGCCTTTTCTGAACAGCACAGTAATTTTAGTACAAGTACCTGTATAGTGCTACAAATTATAGTTTAAAAATACAAATGTCAACCAGTAAACCCATGAAATTGCTTTAAATAATATATACAGGGAATGCACAAAATAACAGAAATGCCCTACAATATATTAATATGATTGACCTAATATAGTGTAGGTACGCTGTTTGCCTTCAGAACAGCTTCAGTCGGAAAAAGTCCTTAACAGTGGGCTATTAGACTCTGGATACATCTATATAGATCTGGTGAACAGAGGAGCCCAGGAAAGTCATGTGACTTCATCCTGGTGGTCATAAAGCTCATGTTCACTTGGCTTAGTGGTGTGTGTGTGTGTGGGGGGGGTTATCACCTTACAATATGCACTAAAGGCTTCACATAGTCCTGTGAAATGCCCTCATTCCTCAGCTGTTATAAGACCATGCAGAACAGTCATAACCAGACATACTGACCCCCAAGAGATGACTGCCCATCGCGCCACAGACTCCTCGCAGGAGGGCATCCTCTGGCTTTCAGTGACTATAATCCTGTCTGGATGTAGGGAAGGGGTGAGGCATGACTCAGCAGACCATATTGCTCAGGATTTGTGCTCCTTATGCAGCATATGCCTCTGTGCATTGGCCTTGAATATAAGCAGCCCACAAATTGCATTTTGAGGAGGTCACGATATACACAGTTTTTGCTGATGCTGGTTCAAAGAGCTGTTGATTGAGTCATATGTTCATTTTTGATGCTGCATCTTTGTGAAGTTTCGCCTGTTGAGTCTATCCCTATTGGTGAGCTCTGACTCGTGCACTTTGCTGTCATGATGTTTGAGACTGTCCACTTTGACACATTGAAGTTTTGCAGTTTTGTGATCGATGTGCAGTTTGACCTCCTTGGGGTTGTTAGCTGCCTCAGGTTGCTTTGAAAACTCATACTGCTGATCGGCATTCAGCCTAATACGAATCACCTTTTAGTGGTATCTGTAATCATGATAAAGTTTCTTCAGAGTTAAAGTTTTCTGTCGCGTGATGTTTCCAGCATTTCACCCATCCGCAGTACCTGAAAGCGTGCAGCGTTTTTGTAGTTGGCTTGACTTGTCTCTACTGCTCAGTTCTCCCATTTAGGTAGCGCTTAACATTATTAAGTACATACTGTAGCACTGAGCAGCGCAGCTGGCCTAGCCTCCATTTCTAAAATGTGAACATTATTTAACAAATTATATCCTCCTGAGACCCAAGGAAAAAAGTGTCCTTCAATTGTAGGTTATTTGTCTTTGGAGGAAATAAGACATCTTACAATTTACATTTTTTTCTAATTTATTCTTATTTTAATTTCACAGCATGTCCTCTTTAGTGCACAACAAGAATAAATACGTTTCCCAACATCAGTGAAAAAATAAATGCAAAAATACAATGTCCACTACAATGGACATAAATGAATAGGTCGGGTCTCAGGAGGATGTGTTTGTGTGAGAACTGCCACCTAGAGAGGGATTGTAGTACTGCAGTTTCATTATAAAGCTGTTAACCTCAAGGAATGAACGTTCCATAGGCATCGACTAAAAAGATTAGCTTTGAGACGACTTTTTATCGACTAAAAGGATTAGATTTGAGATGACTTTTTATCGGCTAAAAAGATTATTTTTGAGATTACTTTCTTCTCTGTTTTATTTAAAACGTTCAAAACGTGTTTCCCTTTTAAAATAGCTCTAGCTGATGACGCCTTTCCATATGTCTCTCCTGTTTGCTTATAAATTACATGAAATCTGCCGGCTGCCCCGATTTCCACTCCTGCTTTGTTAAGGCAAGTGGTTATTAGTTAAATAAGTCATTTAGAGTGTGCGCCACCTTGTGGCACGTGATGTCCAATGAAATCGCCTGATTGCCACAAGATTGTTCAGTTAGCAGTTGCTGAAAATGTATTGACGGAGTAATGGGAGAAGTTGCCTTACATACTTTTCCTATTTGTGGTGGAAACATCCATAAATCCATTCATCAATTCATTCTCCGTAAATGCTTGTCCTATTCAGCGTGGCAGTTGGTCCAGAGCCTATCCCGAAAGCTACGGAAGCCAGGCTGTGGTGGAAAAATCTAATAGTATTTTGCATTCTAAGCCCGTCTTAATTCCACAGCATTCTCACATCAGAGTATTCTCACATACTTTTTTCCACTTATTTTTTGTCACAACATTCATTATTGAACTAAGCATGGCAATAAATTTAATTAGGATCTCAGTTTCAGTTGGCATCTGCTTGATGAGACATTATACAGTGAGGACTTTACTGTTCAAGGAAAGGGAATCGAAAATCATATCTGTAAGCACAAACGAAAGACAAAAAAAACACTTTAATTTTCTGGTGTCTCTGGCCCCTGCAATGTCATTGACTTTGGTAGTTGGTCATTTTACCTACATGTTTCTAAGGATGCAGTCAGCATTTATTTGTGTCTGAATGCTTCTAAGTACGTGTCACACACATCGGGCAAAATTGCTTTGAACTGTAAACAAAGGATTGATTGATCACTGTGTGGTTCTTGCATCTGCCCACAAACCGTAGGCTCCTTCAGGAACAAAACGATGGGAAATTTCTGATTGGCTAAAAAGAAAGTGCTTTTGACACAGTGTCTGGATGCATTCCTCCAATTACCTTCTCCTTCGATCCAACATTGCTTTTACCATTGCTAGTAAAGTAAGTTGATGATAATGGTGGATAAAGAAAAATGATAGATCCTGCAGTCTGGGGAAAAAAAAAGCAAATTAAATGAAGGACAAGAAAATGGTATTATTATCGTTGTCGACCTTTTTTTTATATCTACTATGGAAAATTGGAGGAAATCAAATGATCTCGTTTATTCACAGGAGCAGATAGTCTAATTACTTTTGCCTTGAATAACAACGTGGATGATTGTCCAGAGCGAAAGACAGTACGTCAGAAATCTGACTCATGACTGTATTTCGCTATTTGCAGAAAATGTAAGGGTCATCAGGTTTGACATGGCAACTGTTTTTCTTTTCTACTTAATCATATCCTCTTTACATGAGAAGGGATACGATTTGTGTCATTCGCTCATTAATTCTATAAAGAAGTATTTAGAATTATTATAACTGTCAGTAGTCGGATTTCCATAAATGGTGAAAACATATTTCTTCTGTTAGTAGAATGCTGTGCCATAAGCTATTGGCCAATCAGGGGCTGCCCCATCATACCTCCACAAGCTGAAGCTGCAGAGATGGCTGAATTATTTAGGGATGTGTTATTGTGTGCTGGTGTGTTTGTGTTTTGTACTGGGGTGTGAATGTGTCTGTCAACTGTTACCCAAATAGAATGCACTGTGTATATACGTTCAAGAGACTGCTTTAAATTTGTTCTATTTACTCTCTAAGACAATAGAAGATATATATATATTTTGAGAAGACAATAGAGAATAACCACTGGTCAGTGAATAGTCTTATTAGATTTCTGCTTTGTTAGAAGTTGTTGTGTATCTCCTGCTTCAGTACTGCTTACAGTTGTACCTGGGCATTCACTGGAAGCTGAGCCTAGCTGACACCTTGACAGCTGTATGCTTGCAATGTGCTATTTGCCTCACTTATATGTCGCTTTGCATGAAAGCATCTGCAAAATATGGAAATTAATGTAATAAAGGTAATGACCAATTGAGCTTATGAGTTTTGTTAAACAGTACTGACACATGAGACCTTTATCTAACAACACCCAGAGCCTGCTGAATGGGTGTTTCAACTGTCACAAGGAAATGTGTGATGTCCATCGCCACTTCCCCTTCACGTCTCTCTCTGTGACTGAAGCTATGCATTATCAACTTTTTAGGTGAAAGTGACTTTGACTAATTTCAAAATGCTTTCATATGTAAATGTAAGTATGGTACAAATCCACATCCTTATCTGTCAGCACTTCTTCATAGGTTTTAAAAACTGAATCATTCCACCCATCTAGTTACTTAACTTATTCAGCCTGCCCCAGCCAGCAAAGAGGATGGGGGGGGGGGAACCAATCCATCACAAGGGACACACGTATCTGAGGTCGTGTTGACCAAATATTTTCATTAAGTCATTGACTTAATATTGACAATGACAGAAAAATCTGAAGCCTGTCCGTCATTTAACAGATTAGAACACTGAAGGTAATCCGACCTACCATAACTTTAAGTAATTCACACTCCTGTCCTGGGTGCTTATTAATTAGGTATTGTCTAGTTTTCTCTTTGATCTCACATGCATCTAGCTGGCTTTAGCCGTCGCATTGGTAGGCCATATTGCTACATGCCATTACAAAACATCACAGAAATAGCACTGACCATAACCAGTACTATCAATGACTGCACCACCAACAGTAGATACATCTGGGCACTGATGGGCTCAGGGGGGAGCAAGGGGGGCAACCTGTCCACTTTGTTGGCTGTTAGGCTCTAGATGATCCTAAATTAGATAAATGGTGCCCCCATGGCTGAAGAAAACATTGGCCTGCACTGAAATTTTTCCAGAGGGCAGTTTATCCCTGTCAGTGTGTAAAGGAACCACCCAAGCTCAACTCATTGATGATGAACGACTGCCGACGTACCTGTCAGCATTTGGTCTTGGACATAGCCCTACCTCTGTACCTCTTAGTTTTTCTCAATTGCTTTGAAGCATTTCTCAAATGACAATTAACATTTGCAAAACAATACGTGTAATCCCTAAATCATAATGTCATTTCTGCACCGCAGAACGTCATTTCCCATTGTTTCACACAAACTTGCAAATATTTCAGGTCATATATGCAAATGGTTTTGTGCAATTTTCATAATTTGGCACAGTTTTCAGTTGCTTTAATCTTGTTGGTCAAAATAGATTATGTAGTTTGCCAGTGTAATAATTTTACACCCAAAACTATATACGTATGTGATCATCATGTTAGGCACCTCATGCAAAACAGTTAATCAAGCTTTCAAAATCATTTCAAAATACATTCCATAAATTGCAGTGATACAACATTGCTGTGTACTACAGAGCCTTGCAGTATTGAAACGGGTGTCTTTGACATGGAAAATCATCAGTTTTCTAAAGAAAAATTATCAGTCAGTGGCAAAATGTTAACTGACTATCATTCAGAATTGTAGAGCTTGGGAGCATGCTTACACTGACATGTTGACAATATATCTAAGCATTTTGACACTCATGGTTAAAACAATGCTGATTGTACTTTTCATTTTGGAGGCACTAGTTCATTGGAAGAATTATTAGCTTTTGAGACATGAGATAATTGTTTTGGGTAGGTTACAGGCTTTTGCAGCTAAACCATAGTGTTGTACTATATGTGTGAACTGGTTTAGAAATGCTCTTATAGTCTTGTTAAGTATGTTTCATGAAATGTGCCAAAGCAATCGAGAAAAACCGCAAATATTTCTCGGAATAGTCTTCGCCCTTAAGTTTTTATGGATGTTAACAGTTAGTAGAATAGGAAAATGTATTTAAGCCTTACTAAGTATAGCCACAGTTAAGTAAATGTTTGTTTGTTCTAGTGATGTCACAATAGCCTGTCATACTTGCGCTCCTGTTCATTTTAATGAGGCTGAATGACGTGTCCTTTGATTCGGCGAGGTCATTGTACTATAATCCAGCTGCGATACAGATATGAAACGTAATGCAGAAATTTAAATGCTTCTACTACGGAAAAATACTACTTCGATATAATAAAAAAACACCAAGGAGTGAATGCAAAGATAAAATCAAGGGACTAAAAAGTTAATTCGTATCCCTAGATTAACTGATGATGGTCCATCGAACGTTACATTACAGTGCTCATTAATGTACTGCCGTTAGAATTCACGCACTACTCCACTTTTTAGGGGCTTGTTTCCGGCACATCAATGTCTCTCTTACGAGTATGTAAGGCCAGCACCCTAAAAAAAAAAAAGTCGTGGCCGGTTCCTGGTTGCCAAGCACAAGCAGGAGCCCGACAAACACGAAGCAGTTCCATTTACTTCCAGGTGCCTCGTGCTGCGGTCCAGTCACAATTCAACACGAACGGCGTAGAGGCTAATAAAAGCGCATGCGCAGTGCGCCCGGCCTCTCCGGTTCCTGCGCGCAGTGCCACGTTAGTAGCGGCAGACACAAAATAGAGGCGCTCCAACCAAGCGAAATACGCGAAATCCCGCAGCTACGCGGCTTCCCTTAGCATCTCCCTTGTCCGTGTGTAGCTCTCATCGTCTGCGATCTCCGGGTCTCTCCTTTTTTTTTAAGTCATCGAAGATCGGTGGAAGTATGTATAAGATTTTAATTTTGTGTACTCTGGCCGTGGCTAGCAGGGCTGAAATCGCCGAAGAGGATGACGTCCTGGTCTTGAAGAAAAGTAACTTCGACGAGGCGCTGAAAGCTCACCCTAACTTACTTGTTGAGTTTTGTAAGTAGCGCTTTGGCAGACTGTGATGTGCGCGGAGCTAGTGGCTGGCGTCTCGCTTCGCTTGTACGGATGAAGGAGCGCGGTAGCCTGGCGCTTCGCCTCACCTTTACGCGGAATCGCGGTAGCTACATGAGTTTACCGAAGTTCAGATTGCTTTGTGCTGACTGCATCCCTCCATGCACTTGAACTCTCTGAACAGTGTCTGCCTGGCGACTGTGGTCCGTGTAGACATTTGACATTGACAGTGAAGGCGTTATAACTAACTGGCAAATGTATAAATAAACTTCGGAGCTGTCCAGCCGAATACATGTCCGTGCTCGTCTCTGATTCAGAGTTATTTTCTGAGACTTTCTTAATATAGCTTCATACTGAAGCTTACTATTTATTAGATAATATCCCATTTGTGATTACTCTGCAATATACGTGGATATTTTGGTAGTGTTGTTCGTTTATGGATTATTTTCCTGTCTCATTGTATTCTTCTGTACTCTAGTGACATGTAAGATTAGTTGTCTTGAGTCGTTGACCAGATCATCTTGAGAGATGCATGCTATACAGACACGTTTGTTTTGTCTAACCTTATCATGCTTGATGTACTGCTCTTTTAACACGCCGGCCTTTCTCCCCATAGCTACTGTAGGTGTGTATGATCGGATCACTTCGGCAAGCCCCTAAGACGGAAGTGTTTATTCCTCGCTGAACACCTTTTGCTATATTTCCTCTTTTGACATCATGGTGAAACTGTAGGTGCATTGATCTTCGTTTAGATTCCGGGAATTTCAGGCCAAGAGCCCCATTGCGGATGCAGTTCGCCAGCGCTGCTTATAAAGAGTCGTGCAGGTTTCGCGTCTGGCTGTTCGGTGTTCGGACTTAACTGGAAAAATCCCCCCCGCTCCATTTTGTCGGTTTCGTGGGGCATCCAGCGATGCCTCCGCCGGACACGGTCAGCGCTAAATCTGGGGGAAGCTGACTGGTCCGACGGCCAGTCAAAGAGCTCCGCGGTTCCGGTCCCCCAATGAGCTCCCCGGGGGGGGGGCGGGCACAAGCGCTGTTTGCTCTCCGTGTTTGCGAGACGGGCGGGACCGTCGGTGGAATGGTAGGTTGACGTGTACTTCTAGATCTGCGATAACTACCCCCCCCCAAGTTTTGTGGGACGTGAGTTCCCCCACGTATGGGAATTGCAGAGTGGAAGTGGATCAGTTTTAGGTCTGATCTGACCCGCGCCTCGTCACTTCGCTTTGCATAGATTTTCTCGTTAATAGAACTTTTTTGCAAACTTTTCTATGACTAAATGTTAATCAATGGGGAAGTGGACATTGGACTTGCTGATTTGGCAGTGCTGATTTGTGACCATTGGGATATCGTAACACGTTGCAAAGCATATTCCACTTTTGGTGTGTGCGCCTCATGTTATTGACTGAAAATTAATAATGTGGAAAGATATATTTTTGTAATGAACCCGAAGAGCTGACATTTCTTGCACCACTGAATAGATGCTTGCTGATTCGGCATGTTTGGGAACTTCCTCGTTTGTTCTATACCCCCCAGAACAGTGATGCCCGTGAGACTGGCTGAATGCCCATGTTTTATTTTCAAAAGCAGCAAATTCAAAACTTTTTATATTTGTGGATGAAATGGTCTGCTGTAATGCTTCAGGGTTATGCCCAGTGGAGCTGCTTGATCTCTGCATTGCCCCTGCACTGATGGCCTTTCTGTGCTGGTCCCCTCTTAGATGCCCCCTGGTGTGGCCACTGCAAGGCGCTGGCCCCAGAATACGCCAAAGCGGCCGGCTCTCTGAAGGCGGAAGGCTCAGACATCCGGCTGGCCAAGGTCGATGCCACCGAGGAGACTGAACTGGCACAGGAGTTTGGCGTGCGGGGATACCCCACCATAAAGTTCTTTAAAGGGGGAGAGAAACAGTCTCCCAAGGAATATTCTGGTAAGTCTTTTAAAATCAGCTGAATTATTTAACTGGTAGTCTCATACCTTTACCAACATGATGCTTTATAACAGTTTGTTCTTTTAATCTGTTAGATATTTGCTTTTGTATAAAGTTTCCATTTATTCCATTGAAAGAAGTAATCTGATTTAACAATCAATAACACAACTTGCTGTTTTTATTAAATTGGCAGTAATACATTCATGTTAGATTTGGTGCACATGCTGGTGCGCCCTGCCTGCGGTGGCTTTTGTTTGCGGGTCAGCGTTTCTCTCATTCATTCTGGCCGGCCGTGTGGCTGGAGCTGACGCGCCCCCAGCCAGCTCCGTGATGTGCAGCTCCTCACGTTGACTTCTGGCCACGTGTGTGTGGGGAGGAGTGATCTGTGGGAAGGTCCAGAACAGCTGCCAGGTTCCTCAAGACTGTAGTCTTAAAATACGCGCCTCGTCGCTTCGCTTTGCAGATTTATGGTTTTAGTTACCGGGCTGTTTCGTGATGACTTCCTGTTATGTGGCGGTCATTCTTACAACCCGATGCATACAGACTGTCAAAGTAGCTTCATTTTTTGTTTTGTTTTTTAAATGTACTATTGGAAGTTAATGTTTGGTTCCCTGAGCTAGATCTATATGTAGCACTCAATGCTCTGTGGTAGAATTAATGGATAGGTAGTGAAGCACCTATCCGTCCTCATCACCCTGTCCCCCCTTGCAGCCGGCAGACAGGCCGATGACATTGTGAGCTGGCTGAAGAAACGCACGGGTCCTGCCGCCACCATCCTCGCTGATGTCACCCTGGCGGAGTCTCTGATAGCGGACAGTGAAGTCGTGGTGATCGGCTTCTTCAAGGTCAGCCTGTCTTCCCCTTTTGAGCGAGTGGGTTTGGGAATCGTCGGCTGGCTGGTTCTACTGGAGACTTAGCCTAGATCTGGGGAAGAGTGTCTCATCACCCCATTAGAATTGTATGCTGTTTGATAGTGCTTCATTTAAAATTTGCAGAGGGATGATTTCAGAGTTGAGAAACTGGATAGAAAACCATTCTTGCAAAATTAATGAAGAGGAAAATAAAGTTTTTGTTTTGTTTTGGTTGACTAGGACGCAGAGTCTGAAGGCGCCAAGGCCTTTCTGAAGGCTGCTGAAGCTGTAGATGATATTCCCTTCGGCATTACCTCAGAAGATGCCCTCTTCTCCAAGTTTGAGCTGTCCAAAGATGGCGTCGTCCTCTTCAAGAAGGTAACGCCTGACTGGTGCTGAGTGTCTGTTAAAGGCCAGTGTCTTTTCTGCCTTGTGTTGCATGTTTTGGAAGTTTACACATCATCCCTAGCAACAGACCTTTTCGTGTGTGTCATAGTATTTGTGTACCAAGACTCTTCAACAGCCATGCACAGGTTGATAGAGAAATTTACAGAATCGACTTATCCTGCTTAATAACCTGGTAAATATCCTGGAAACAACCTCAGGGAATTCCCCCATATTTATCTTGTAAGCATGGTGAAATCTCTTCCCGTATTTAGATTCTGTCTTATTGACGGCTGCTAAAATAGGCAGGTTGAGTGCCAAGGGAATGCCTCTTCCCGTCTGCTTATTGGGGACGTGACCCTGTCCTGTGGTGGGAGGCTGTGTCATTACACCTGGGCTGCATTTCCTGGCTCTTGTACTTGGACATGTGATTCAAGAAAACTCTCACTGGTGACTGTCTCAAAGGAAAAACGCGCTTTAGCGTCCGATGATTTGCCCTGTCCGCCGGGCGCTAGTTCACATTGAGATGTCTAGCCAATTTCTAGCATTTTCCAGACCTGTTGGGTGTGTTTTTGTTTTTTTTTTTTTGTTTTTTTAAGTCTGGATTTATTTGAAACTGAAGGAAAATTGTCTCGTTCTGTTTTTGCTGAATCTCTTTCAGTGCTGTTCCCTTAATGTCCTTGCCACCATTCAAATTTCCATTTACTTGGCTTTTTTTTTTTTTTTTGCTTTTGTCCAAAGCGGCGTATGAATGAATGTATGTTCTGCCGCACTAATGAGCAGACGAGAGCTCTTCCCTGTGTGGGCGCTCAAGGTGAAATTTGTCCATTTTGGTTTGTGATTATTACTGTGTCACTTAGGAGCTGAATGGTTATTTTATGGATAGACATTTTTCTAGATAAAGGGCAATGTTGTGATTGCTGAAAAGGGCAGGCGCTCATATCATTAATGGTCTTGGTAGCTTGCGGCAGGACCTGGACAGTGAAATCAAACCTGATTGGACAGGCCCGTGTACTCAGGTGGGCGTGTGCACAAGGGTGCAATATAAGGCAGTGTGATGCTATAATAATGTGGTGCTAGAAATGCTGTCTGCTGCCCTTTTAACTTTGCTTAAAAACCTGAACAGTGTTAATGGTTTTATTGCTGGTTTTAAGAGCTTCAGTTAAATGTATCCCATGTCTAGACCACCGGCCTTCTGTTTTATATCACAGCATGCCCTGGTCTGCCAGTAAATAGCCGCAACGTTTATTAACAGCTGTGCCCTTCAGAATAGTTTCTCTCCAGGTCAGTGTCAGCAATTCTGATCAGCCCCCTGTTATATTCACACGTTACGGCCTTCCGGTTAATCGCCGATGTGAATACTGCGTGCACTTTTGGAGTGACTTTCTGCAACAGGGCCTTCTGATGATATCAACCACGTATTTCTTTTAACTTTGCAGATAGGTTGGCCATCTGTTTTTGGAAGCTCTGCCCAAACTTTTCATGTTTCCCTTCATAGTTTGATGAGGGCCGGAACAACTTTGATGGGGAGATGAACAAGGAGAATCTCCTGAGCTTCATCAAGGCCAACCAGCTGCCCCTGGTCATAGAATTCACTGAGCAGGTAATTTAAAAAAATTTTTATTTAATTTTTTTTTTCTCCCTTGTATCCATACCTTGCATCCTTCAGTTTTGCAGTTCATCGTTTCACCTTGTATTAAGTGGGTAAACTCTTTGCAGACGGCCCCCAGGATCTTCGGGGGAGACATAAAATCCCACATCCTGATGTTTGTGCCGAAGGCCGCCTCGGACTTCCAGGAAAAGATGGACGAGTTTAAAAAAGCTGCTCAGAATTTCAAGGGCAAGGTGGGTGCGTGCGAGTTCCTCCGTGTCCCGAGAGCAGTTTCAGTGTGTAGCCCTTCCGTCACCTCGTTTGGATGCCTGCAGTAGCTGTCAAACCTGGCTGCTGACCTTTTTCTCTCTAATAATTTTAGTTTTGCTCTTTGGTCACCTGTACTGAAAGCCAAGCTTCTGCAATGTCTTTGCTCCAGTTTGTTGCTTAGCTGAATCATTTGTATATAATGATTGTATATAATTTATTTGAATACATCTCTGTTTGATGCGTTAGCTTTGCGGTCCATACATCTCATGCTTTTAACTCTCCTTCTGTCCTCCTAGATCCTCTTCATCTACATTGACAGCGACCTGGATGACAACCAGCGCATCCTGGAGTTCTTCGGCCTGAAGAAGGAGGAATGCCCAGCGGTCCGCCTCATCACCCTAGAAGATGAGATGACCAAGTACAAGCCTGATAATGAGGCCCTCACTGCAGAGAACATCGTCTCTTTCTGCATGCAATTCCTGGGAGGGAAACTGAAGGTATGAATTTGGTGGAACAGTTGCCGTTTTGGTAATGAGTGCTGGTCTTCATTACATTTATTAGCTTTTATTAATCACATGAAACGAATCAAGCCAGTTTTTCTTAGTGATTTTTTTTTTAAAAGTGATTTTGCATGAACAGTCAAAAATCCATGTGAAGTTGGTTTCTGTTTTAACTACTGTAGATCATCAAGCAGTCGGTAGGATTTTTTATTATTTGGTGTTGACACAGTTAATCTGCTGGGTGTTTACTGCATATGAAAGTGAATTCAGAATCAGACGTGCATGAAAATGTCTCTTCAGGCTCACCTCATGAGCCAGGATATTCCTGAGGACTGGGACAAGAGCCCCGTCAAGGTGCTGGTTGGGAAGAACTTTGAAGAAGTTGCCTTTGATCCCACCAAAAACGTTTTCATCGAATTCTGTAAGTGTGGTTCCATGTTAACGATGGAACTTAACTGTCGCAGGAGTAACAGTGAGAACTAGATGATGTCTTTTTCTGCTGCAGAGTCGGTCACCTATGTAGTAGAACATCTGTTGCTTGGGACAGAACCCCCCCCCCCCCCCTAGGTGTCTCACTTAAAAGGGTCTCCCTGGTCTGTTGATGCACCCTAAATACTCGCGCTAAGCTGTGATGGATGCTTGGAGGTAGTTGGGAGAAATCCCATGTCTTCTGCTTTCGTATGCGAGTAACCTGAGCTGCAGGTCAAGATACTTGGTTTTAGGCTCCTTTTAGATCGTCTGCAACTTGCGGCTCTCAAAGCGGCCTCTGAACGGCTGAGATCTTCCTTCATGTTACTGAATGGGGCTTTGGTGACTTGTCTTGTGGTCCGAGTCTGTAATAGTCCATTAGACCATTAAATGGCTAATGAAGACCCAGGCTTCATTTGGGAAAACTGTCAAGCTCTGGTTTGCTGGTGCATTTATTAAGTTTGTATTAAGCCCAAACTATAAACGTGGCATCTAATTGAAATTGTTGCCCTTTTGCCTTGTAAAATTTGCAGCCCACAGTAGGTAAATGAAGGTCTTAAGTGTTGGGGGGGGGGGGGAGGTGTGGTAGATGGGGAACTTTTATGTTGCTATACTGAACTTCTCAGTGGAATTAATGTTAATTTTAATGTCTAGTGGAGGCTTTACGAGAATTTTCCCTCACTTCCATTTTTACAGGAAGTTCTTGGTTTCGCAAAGTTCAAAGTTGGCTGACTTCCTCTCTCTCGCTTTGTCACACAGATGCACCCTGGTGTGGACACTGCAAACAGCTCGCGCCCATCTGGGATAAGCTGGGTGAGAAGTATAAGGACAGTGACAACATTGTGGTGGCAAAGATGGACTCCACCGCCAATGAGATCGAAGCTGTTAAAGTTCACAGCTTCCCCACGTTGAAGTTCTTCCCTGCGGGAGATGATCACAAGGTTAATTCCTTTCACCTTTTGTCACGTCGGCAGGTTTCTCTTGAGCCGTGGAGGCCGTCGAGGGTTTAGTCTCAGCAGGCGCATTTTAGATTGTTCCCCAAGCTGACGACAAAACAGTTTAATGGGAGAGTCCCGCTTATGAATAGATAAACTCGAGGCTGGGTTAATTGGCATGGAATCTCATTCCGTTGGCTGTCACAGCTTAAAGTGCTGCGGCAAGCTTCACGTTTGGCCCCTCTGTTATTTCAGTCTGCACGGTGGTAATCCTCTCCTGCAGGCACCCTCAATTACATGGACCTAATATAGAAATGCTCTGTTGGTGATCTTGTGTGAGAACTAGAAGCCAAGCCCAGTGGCTGAAATGTTTGCAGGTGATGACTGCAGCAATTCTGCTTGAAGGCAGCGGACAGAGCTTTTTCATATCGTCCAGTTTCTGCCGACTTTCTAGCCATCTCTGTTGTGCTGCCCTGCCTCCCTTTTTGTCAAAATTCCTGTGGAGGGTCTGTTAGTTTTGAAGGGGGTAGCAGCTGCAGCATTTGCCGGATGAGGTGATCCAAGGGTCATTGTTCCTGTCTGTTGCTGTTTTATTTGGTGAGTGATTGATTGGACCTGATGTAGTGTAGGATCATAGTGTAGAGCAGGGGTCTCCAACTCCGGTCCTGGAGAGCTACCGTCCAGTAGGTTTTCCATCCTACCCGGCTTCTGATGAGCCACACCTGTTCTCAGGTAAATACCAGGAGTAGCTGTGGCTCATCAGAAGCCAAGTAGGACAGAAAACCTACTGGATAGTAGCTCTCCAGGACCGGAGTTGGAGACCCCTGGTGTAGTGATTTACTTTTACCAAGTTGAGACTTAATCTTACCCTGAAGGGTTGTACTGGTTGGTATGGCTGCTTTGGTTATGAGTCTGAGTAACTTTTACATGGTTTCTAATTTCCTTGAATTATGGATTCTTTGATATTTTTGCTTGGGGCTTTGTCATGCTTTCTGAAGTTTATTGTAATTCAACTTTTTTTTTTTTTTCTTCATACGTAGCACTTGAAATGCAGTTTGTCAGTAATTTTTTTTTTTTTTTTTTTTTGTTTGGATAGGCTTTTGAAAGCTATTTCTATTGGGCTTCTAATGCAAAAGTCTCATCTTAGATATGAAATCCTGCCTCGTCTATTTTGCTTCTGGCACTCTGAAGTAACTTGTTTGCCAATTATTTTTTTTTTAACAGGTGATTGACTACAACGGTGAGAGGACTCTCGAGGGCTTCACCAAGTTCTTGGAGAGTGGAGGCACAGATGGTGGTGCACCAGCTGGAGAAGATGAGGATGAAGAGGAAGATGTATGTGATAAGGATTTTTTTTTTGTGGGGGGTAATTCTTTAATGGGTTTTGGATGATGTTGCCCATTCTGCAGTCGTCTTGAATCCATGAAATATTAAAAACAGATCTGGTGTTTATCTGCATGCAAAGTTAGTTTGCACACTTACTGTTAATGTACCACTCGTGTGGACACATGCATCAAAGTTGAAATTGCTTTTAAGAAATGCAGTTGGAAAAGACTTAGGCATTGCAGTTTGTTCATTAACATTTTTCTGTAGCACCATTCATAGAAATATCTCATAGCGTTCTTGGACATAGCACTTCTCGGTCTGTCTGGGAGGATTGGACACCATAGCGGATAGATACTTTTTTGCATTTTGCAGCCCTGGCTTGTAGGATGACTGCTAACATTCTGAGATTTGCAAGAGCTGGAACTTCAGAAGTGGCTCTGTAAAGGCATCCAGAAAAACAGGTTTCATAAGAACTACAGCGTAGTCGTCTTCCTTTTTCTTTTAATTTCAAATGTAAACTCATTTGATAACATTTGGAATGCATTTAGTAATGCAGTTGACTTGCTGGCTAAACAAGTGCTTTGCAAATGGTTGGGTTTGCTAGTAACGACGCTGCTGGAAAGTCACGTGTAGGTGCCGGGTGCATTAGCCGTAAAAGTTGGCAGGGCTGTGATCCAGGTTTCCTCAGCCACTCAGCGGCGTTGACAGGACTGACCACGTAGGAAGGGTCTGCATAGTGTCGGCAGCTTGGGAACAGGTCCAAGACCCCGAAAAAGCCAGTTCAAACTAGACGGGCTTCAAAGAAGACTAATTACAGAACCTGACTCCCGCAGCTGTTGCTAATGTTTACCATGCTTCCAGTCAAAAGCTCTTGCCACAGCAAACATACATCTACCCAAGGAGGTCAGCCCCAGATAACCTTGTTTTGGGAAATGTTTGGCTATGGTGGCCTATTTCTAAGTCTACATTAGGTTTGGCACGTTCAAGAGAGGTCGGTACCCTCTAGGTGCTAAAACTTGATATTTGTTGGGGTGTTGGCCAGTGTATTACACTGACCCATCTTGAAATGGTAGTTACATACACCCAAAATGTTAAATGATTTGCTGATTTTATTAGTTTGGTTAAATTCTGCTTTACATGTACATCAGTTAAGGTCCTGCTATGGTTGGTAAATATGCTATGATTGTTTTTCCTTAGGATCTGGGGGATCTTGATGATCAGCAAGATGACGATGACGAATCAGATGGTGATGAAGCACATGACGAGTTGTAAGAGATGGCTCGGAGGAACACCACCCCACCGTCTCAGCCTCCATCCCAGTCGCCCTGGCCCTATACACACCCCACAGATGAACATTAGCCCATACCTTTGCAACTACTGCTCGAATTGTCAGGTCACAGGGACCCTCAATTGCCCCCAACTGCCATCACTCCAGCACCCATACTTTTTGGCCCAGTCAGATCAATCTGCCCCCAAGGAACCCAGCACTGGAATAGTTCCTGGGGGGGGGAGGGTCTTTGTAAAATTTCTGCAATTTATATCCTCTATTGTACATGCATCAACCAGTGTCAGTTCTAGACCTTTATTGCTTCCTTTCAAAGCTTCCTTTGTGTAACCATTCTGCACCCTTACTTACATGGGTTGTGAATGGGACATGTTGACTATTTAATGTGGAGAAGTCGTAATTCTCCTGAAAGACAGTTCGAAGGCCGAGGAACTCCCTCGTTCACTCGCTCTCTCTCTCAGGGCTATGATCATTTCATTTGTAAAATATGGGCGCCCTGGATGTGCAGTGCTTCAGTGGGTTTAGTGAATCCAAACCATTTCCATGGGCATATGTGAATGCGCTCCTCAGAGGCCGTGGTCTGGGGCAGTGCTTCCCAACTCTGTCCTTGGGGACTGCCAGACAGTTCATGTTCTTGCTCTCTCCCAGCTGGGAGGGAACAAAAATGTAGACCGTCTGGGGAGGGGTCTCTGCAGACCCAGTGGAGAAATATCGGTCTAGGGGCATGATTTTCTTCTGAACCAAATGTATTTTTTTCATTAGTTTCAGTTTCAGTTTCATAATTTAGTGTTCGGTTTTGGTTTTAAAACTAAACTCTGATCAGTTTATTGTAATATTTTTTTTTTATTCATTTTAATTGGTCTGCTTGTGTACCAGTGTACATGGCAGGAATTATGCCTGCAAGGGGCACCTTTGGCCTCCATTACTTGGAAACAGGAAACATGGAACTCGTGTAACTCGGTGCCATCGGAGATGGGATCGTTACTTCAAGCTCGGGCAGCTCCTGGGTGTTTAGAAAAGGCCTCTCCGGCATTGGGCCAGGACCATGTCACCCCTGCCCATCCATCCCTCAGTCTTTTGCTCTACCTGACACTTGTCCTCGTCTGTCTGGGCTGTACTGTGTTCCTATGTGGTTGGGGTGACAGGAAGAGTGCAGATGAATTAAGCTGTTCTCGTGTTCTGGGGCAGGGTATTGAATGTGATTTTATTTTATTTTTTTCTTATTTTGTGAATTTCTTGTGGGAGTTGGGGTGGGTAGGGGACTCTGCAAGGCTGGGGGATGATTGGGGGATGAAAGATAAAGCATTCCATCCCAAATTAGCATTAACAAACCGGTGGCCAAATAATAAAATAAAAAATAAAACCAGTGGGCTTTGTTGCTCTTTCTTTCACCTCCTTCACTTTGTATTGGCATGTAAGTATGGTCTTGCGGCGCTTAACAGGGATACATTCTGAGAAATGCGTCATTAGGCGATATCGCCATTGTGTGAACATCAGAGTACTTACACGATGCTAGATGGTATAGCCTACTACACACAGAGGCTACAGTAAAGCTCCATAAGTAGAATACACTAAGTACAGTATAGTAAATTCATAACCATGTTTTTATGCAGCATTATGGCCTGTACTTAACTAGGTGCTATTTTGTATGATTGGCAGCCCAGTAGGTTTGTTTACACCAGCATCACCACTAACACGTAATGCAATGCGCTGTGACAGCACTAGGCGATGGGAATTTCTCATCTTCATTAGTCTAATCTTATGGGACCTCTATTGTTGGCCAAAACGTTATGCGGTACATGACCGTAGTTAAACCTGCCTACCTGAGAAAAGGCAGTTTAAAGAACAGTTGCAATTCTTCTGCATGTGTAAAAACACTTGCTGACCTGTCTTAGTCCTTATGTTCAATGTTCCTTGGCGTGTGGGATGTGTGTCCCACAAGTGACGCGTTGCATGTCGTACTCCCCACAAGTACAGCCAAATGCTCTGTAAATGAATTCATCATGAATTAACCAGAAATTAATAGCATTCTTTATGTGAGGTATGTTCATTTATGACTGCTGATTTGTATGTTTTATGCAGGATACCTTTGTACACGTCGATTCTGAATACAGTCTCTGCATGTGCGTAAGTGTGATGCTTTTTTGTGTACTTATCCTCCCAGACCTGCAACTAATACATAAATGCAGACTAATTACCTGAAATATGTTCCAACTATAACATGATTGACTACAAATTCTAACCAAACTATTCAGTTAATGATTTTAGATGACAAACCTGTTAGATGCTCACAGGTGCTATGATAGTGTCCTTAATGTACACCAACAAAGAGATGCTCAAATAGTCATGCAGTCCAGTAAGGCCTTTGTCAAATTTCTCCATTGTGTTGAGAAGTGCTGTATTAAAGTGAATTGAGAAAGTGAGCATAACGTGCCTGCTTTTATGCACTATACAATACCCGCGAAACATGTAACTCCTACAAACGTTACACTATACAATACCCGCGAAACATGTAACTCCTACAAACGTTACACTATACAATACCCGCGAATCATGTAACTCCTACAAACGTTACACTATACAATACCCGTGAAACATGTAACTCCTGCAAATGTTACACTATACAATACCTGTGAAACATGTAACTCATACAAAACTCCTTAACTTCTAAAACTCTTGACATCTATTTTGAATTTTCAAATGTCACATTTAAATACGAAACGTCAATGCAAATACGATATTGATTATAAGCTTTGTCTACAAAATTAAATAAGACAAAGTTTATGGTAGTGATAAACCAGAAAAGCACTATATGTGTTACTTTAAAGTAAAAGTACAGAGATACCAAAAGCCAGGGGGCAACGTGTGGCTCAGTGGGCTAAGCCTCTGTGTCTGTGATGAGAAGGTTACTGGTTTGAGCCCAGCCTCAGCACATCTGTGGGTCCTTGAGCCCCAGCTCCCTGGGTGCTGCTGTGGGCAGCTACCTTCACAGCCAGCTTGTGCTCTCCTACAGAGAGCAAGTTGGGGGAGGCATAAAGAAAGTTTCCCCATGATGATCAACAAAGTATCAATTAAAATTGGTTATCAATTAAACCCACAACCCATGTTTTATCTCAATGTTTATCAATCTGAGGAGCTTCTCTGACATCAGACTGCATGAATTGTCACAGCCAACTCAAACAAATAGAATGTTCTGGAAGCTTGAGTACCAGTATGACCCATGGATGGTTGTTGATCTTTACCAGCAACGTAAAACACGTCCGAAGTTCTAGAATTGCACACGAGTGACATGTAGGAAGGCTTCCCCTGTCCCCCTCACCCAGTGCTATTTACTAGAAGTTTACGTTGTGTCAGTGCACTACGTGAGCCCTGCCTGTAATGGATCTTGATGCTATAGATGATGAATGTGCTCACGGGCCAAGATGAAAACAGACGCTGAGGCTGCTCTCTCATTGCTTTATGAGGCGTGAGCAAGCAGAGGGCGTGATGTGGGAAGGACCCAGTCATGCAGAAGCCATCTGATAAGTAAGGTGACAGCCCCCAAAAATAGCTCCACAGAGAGTATATAGAGACTTGCTTCCCCCGTGCAATCTAGAACCTGCACTGCGTTCTGACCACAAAGGAGGCAAATCACTGCGCCAATACTGAAGTCTTAGGTTTTGATTCCTTTTTCTTTTTACTTCAGCGAGTCTTAAGAGAGCTAGACACTAACAAGAGGAACTTAAAGGATACGGGAATTAGAGGATTTTACCTTTGCTGCTGAAGCACCTGACATTTTTGAGGTTTTTTTTCCCCAGCAGGCTTGATTCCCACTTTGTTTTCCGCTCCTTTACCGCAGAAATGAAGTATTTCAGCCAGTGTGCCGTTATGAAGAATACACAGTACAACCGCTGCATCCCAGTCGATGGCAGCATTACGACTTGTAAGCGTACTGCTGTCTCACTCAAGCCACCCCGATCTGTACACTTTCCCAATGACATCGTCTTCCAAGATCACATTCGGGAGGGAGACCTGGAGCAAGTAGGCCGCTTCATCAGGACTAAAAAAATCTGCTTGGGAACCATTTTCCAGACAGGTAAGAGAATTAGCCGCCGCTGGAACTGCTTGTTTAGTGTGGCTTCACATCTACAGGTTGTACCGAAAATAAGACAGGGACTTATATTTTTGCTCCAAAAGACGCATTAGGGCTTATTTTCAGTGGATGTCTTATTTTCCCATGTACAACAAACTACAGTACATTTACCGGTATTCATGAACAAATATCCACATTTATTCAAATACAGACACCATGTCATCTTCTAACCGTATCTTTCCATGTAAAATCAAACATGCCCTTTATGCCCAAAGATCCAGGTTGTATAAGAAGTACTTTCTGCCATATGAATGATGAAGTGACTAGTGTCACTTTTCTGCAAAGGCTTGTCCAGCATGCTTTCATCAACTGTATCATAACCAATACAATGGCCATCGCTGATTCCACAGGCATGTGCGCCCTCCACGAAGCCGTCCTCTCAGGCAATCTGGAATGTGTGAAGCTGCTGGTGAAATATGGGGCGGACATCCAGCAGGAGGACGAGGAAGGCTGGACGCCCTTGCACATGGCCTGCAGCGACAGCTATCCGCACATTGCCAAGTAAGCTGCTGGAAGATGCAAATATGCACCTTGCCATGGTAACATGGTCAGCACTATTTTAACAGCGTGCTCACCGGAAAGGTCTGCTAGTTTCCAACATGCATAGATGTAGACAGAACCACATCCAGGCTACACAAGAGAGTCACAAAATTAACTGGAATAGAGCATTGTCCTTTCCAAGGACTCAAACACAATGGTCAAACAACAGTTTGTCTCTCGTGCAACTGAATCTATGACCTTCAGAGATCTCCAAGCCATTGTCACTTGGTCAGTGCAGATGTCCCCACTTTGATCCATATTCATCTGCCACTGGTGCTCTCCTCAGATACCTGCTGTCTCTTGGTGCTGATGCCAACGCTGCGAACAAATGTGGGGAGAAGCCAGTGGACCTCATAGATCCCGACTGCAAGGAGCTGCTCAAGCTGTTCAAGGTGGGCTGTGACTGACCCAGAGGAATGTTTTCACTGAAACTCAAGTGCGCCCTCTTCCACGCCTACGCTGACGGTAACAGAACGAATCGGCAAGGTCAGCCGGATGTCCTGATTTCCAGTCACATCTCTGGAGCGGGAGGACAGGTCTGGCCCAGTGAAAGGAGTCAAATAGCTGCATTCAGACACTTTGTGGGAACTGGAAAGTGCTGAGACTGGCCAACATTTCTGATCTCAGCTGGCAGACAAGTTCAATGAAGAAGCATTTTACTGCACTGAATACAAGCACACTGTTTCGCAGAACTGAAAATGATACTTTTGTTACGTTTTGTCTTATATTTTTATTTTTGCATTTATGTTTTATTACATTGTTCTTCTCTTTTACACATGAACGAGACAGTGTTGCATCTGAACATTACAGCAAGATTCCTAAAATAGTGTATTAAAAGTGCTTTTCTCTGAATGTTAATTCGACCTCAAACTAAGTGCGTTCTTTATCTTGAGATTACGTTTAACATTTTTATATCAGTTTCCCATCTCCAAAAGTAAAAGACAATTTAACTTAATCTTAGAATGAAAAATGTTAAAGGGAACACACACACGCACACACACACACGTACAGTATATATGGACTGACATCATACTGTATGTCATATTGTGTTTATTGTTTATAACAAAAGGCACACGGCATTTATGTAACCTGTTTATTCTCCTGTAGAAAATAGTGAAAGTTGTGAATATTTGAAAACAGTGAACTCTGATTTGCACTTAAAACACGTTCACAACACCGTGGAATGAATGTTTTGCTGCTCTTTGCACAAAGATCTTTTCAAGCTGAAGCTATGTAACTGCTTTTACATATTATGTCTTTTTATTAGTGTTAAATGGTAACATTCTTACTAGAAAACTGTACGTTATTCTTTACTATTAACATTGTTTTTATATACACATCAATTTAACAATAAAATTCTTTTTGTAAAACTTTATTTTTGTATTTGTCATTCTGGAGATACGGTGTATCAAGTACGACTTCTCGAGAACAAAAAGAACAAACGAAACCATTAAATATCGACGTGAAGAGAGAAAACAAAGTTAACTTGGGGTGCAAGTAAGTATACGACTCTGGTTTAATTTATCGGGTTGCCGGTAAACGAAAGCTGATGGTTATGGGGACGTAAGTAGGGAGTTTCATTTTCACAACTGTAATTCGTGAATTTGCTCGTTTTAGGGCAGGACACGACTTTCGGTAGGAGCTGTAATCGTAGGGATTTCAGTACGGCTGTGAAGGCTGCTTTTGCCGGGGTCTCAGCGCGGTCCTGAGAGGCGCTTTTTGCCGGGGTCTCGGCGCACTCGTACGGACTGCCTCTTTCGGGTTTCCGCCTGCTGCCCGGAAGGGATCGGAAAGCAGGGGCAGCGTCACGGCCTTCGGAGGCCCGAAACACAGCGGGGAAGGAGGGGAAGAAAAGAAAAGAAAGAAGACAGAAAGAAAGGGCCCGCTGGTTGCCAAACCGGAGAATTTACCGAAGAACTTGAGCACCTCGTCGCCTTTCTTCGATACCCGCGATCCGCTTTGTCTTAAGTTACTAGAACCAGCCTAGGTCGGACCGATGATCGCTAGCCGGTACTGATAACTGGGTCAGCTTGCACAATTATCATTAACCAGGCTGGTAAGTGTCTTTTTTAGGTTGCATGCACACTGACTTCTACCGGCGTTGCATGGACCGCACATCGAATTTCGCACATATCTTCATGTAGTCACAAATTTTATCACTGAGTCGGTGACATTATTAGCCACATAGAGTCTGCTGTCGTTTTCGTTTCTCTTCAATTGCAGAGTAATAGTGAACAGAAATCTGAATCCTTTCAAATATGGCAGTGTTCATATCTTGTACATGGGCGATTCCTCTCGCTTCACACATTACACGTGTAATTTAACCTATAGCATGTGTAATCTAGGATGTGTTTGTTTTAGTGGAGGTGCACAGATAACCCCCTGTAATTGTGCAATCTGAAACGTACACTCGCCGGGTAACAACGTGGGCCACTCACAACCTCACTGTAATTTGGCCATTGGCAGAAAGCTTTCCTATTTATATTTAGATAACCTGATACTGGTTAAACGCATGGAGACACATGCATGCATGCATAAGCACCACATTTGTAATTTGCAACCATACGTGTCCTAATTACATAAGAATTCCGGTATACTGAAAGTATTTTTTACTAGTTACAAAAAAACGAGTTAATTATCCTAAGGTATTTGCATGGGACATAGACACGTTTCGACAATAATAGGTGGCATGTTGGACATCTGTCTTATACAATCTCTCTAGATGCATTTTTCCTGCCAACTGGATACACTGGAAAGTCTCGGCTATTTTTGTTGCCAGATATGAAACCGAATCCATTAATGTTTCTGTTTCGGCAGAATGAACCACGACAAACGGCCGGTTTCCTAGGTTCCCAGGGCTCTGCCAGTAACAACAGGGGTGAAGAGGAGAAGGTCAACTAAAGTCAGACGCCAAAATGACTAGGTGGGCGGATGTGCTCCTGGCCGAAAGGGTGCAAAAGATTTCTGAATGTAGTTGTGAAACTGGAAGCCACTCTCAACTTTAGAAATTATTTGGCCGTTAATAATGGCTGCCATACCATGTCTCCATATCTAATGCTTGTGAAAATCCTTGTAAAAGCATTTTTTTTACTTATTTATAAAACTGGCCTATGCCTGGACTTTACACTTGATATTTTGTTTTGCTCACCATGTCCATGAAAAGCCTGTTAGCATCTGGCACCAGTTTTTAACTCTTGATTTTTTTTTCTTGTGAGATTTTATATATTTTCCTGCTCCTCCGCTCCCTGTAATTCCTATGGTGTGACGGGCTGTGCTGTTTTCTCTTCCAGCTCACCAGCTGCTAGGATAGTTCACAACTACAAACGGACCTCCAGTCCTCGATCTCCTACTAACACAGGGGAGCTCTTCACGCCAGCGCATGAGGAGAACGTGCGTTTCATCCATGACAGTGAGTCAATGGCGGAATGTTCCGGGGAGCAGACACTGGGGTACAACTCAGCATCCTCTGCAGTTTCTTTTCTTTGCTCTGCCTGACTTGCCTACCTCTCTGAAACTTTGTCCTTGCTGTCTCTGTAGCACCAGGAGAAGAAAAAAAACAGACAATCTCCTCTGTTGCATGTAATGCATCCTTTGTAAAGAATTAGAAAATTGTAATAAGTCCCTTACTTTCATTTATCTCAAAGTCACACTAGTACACTCTAGTCTGAATTTTTTTTTAATTGCTTCTTCATAATGTGATATACACTCCCCGACCAAAAAAAAAAAGTCGCCATTTGAATTTATATCTGCAAATACTTAAGAGCCAGTGACTGGATCATTATTACAGCTCAGCTACGTTATGCAGCAATAAAGTGAAGTCAGCTGAGTACCTGAATCTACTGGCCAGGTTACACCTCCATCCATCCATCAGCAATGGATTTTTTCTTCCCTGTTGGCATGGGCATATTCCAGCACAAGAATGCCAAGATTCATTGGGTTCGAATTGTCAAAGAGCGGTTCAGGGAGCATGAGGAATCATTTTCACGTATGACTTGGACACCACAGAGTTGCGACCTTAACCTCGTTGAAGGTCTTTGGGATGTGCTGAAGGAGGCTTTATGGAGGTTCAACTCACTTGTCAATACAGGATCTCAGTGAGAAATGAATGCAAATCTGGATGAAAATAAAGGGTGAGATGTTGCATAAGCCCGTGGAAACAATGCCATGACAAATGTGCGCCATAATCAAAGCTAAAGGCTGTCCAACGAAAAATTCAAATGGCGACTTTTTTTTTTGGCCGGGCAGCGTAAATGTCACAATCCGATATAAGACAAATCGTCATGTTAATAATCTAAATGTAATCAATGCTTAAACACTGTTTCCATCAGCCTGGCAGTGTGTCATGAGAGACATCAAGTCCTCCCAGAACAGTGATCGAGGGCCTCAGGAATATGTGGAAAAAACCCCAAACCCTGCCCTGCATTGTAAGTCACTTTACACGTTTTTCTGCACTTGGGTTTCAGATTAAAAGCACAAGTGCCACATTGTATTGTTCCGTTTGTTTATTTAAAAAATTCTGAATTGCTACTTTAATGCATGGCAGTCTTCAGTATATTTGAATTTTGTTATAAAAGTATTTGTATAAAATCCATTGTCTCACCCCGCAGTTACATAAATTGAGATAATATTTTGATTTATTGGGCATGCAGTCTTGTTTTGCCAATGCCCATTGTTGATGCTGTTTCTGTCCTGTCTGCAGCTTTCACACCAGTCGACCTCAGTGACATCAAAAGGCGAAGCACACAGGACTCCAAAAAGTCTTAGATGTCTGTCCTAACATGTCTGGCTTTTCCATTGTTCCCGAGACTCTCTTCCAACGATCCTTTTTATCAGCTGACCAGCCATTTGACCAGTCCCAGGATGGCCTGTGTTCTGGGCTCCCAGCACTGCTTACTGGCCCTTCTACAGCTACAGTACAGTGACTGACCCCATTTCCTGGCCCTGCTGCATGGGAAGTCGCGTTGACATCTCGCTGACATCCTCAGAGCTTTGCTCTGTTTGACTTCTGATTTTTTGGCGTCCCTGTTGGGGAGGTGAGAGATCAATGGAGTTAGCATTGTGTTTCTCACTGTGGTTTTTCTTTCCACTTGATTCCTGGATACTGGAAATATTCTGGCAGTGGGAAAAATGACACTTGTTGGAATTGGGTTATTTAAAATTGTTTTTCATACAAAATGTATTATTGGAGCTAAAGCAGACTATCATGGTGGTAGTGCTGATTAGCCGATTTTAAAGGTCAATCCACTTATTTTCTCTTGGCAGGTTTACAGTCTTTCTTTTTGCTCTACTGATTTTCCTGACTACATGATTGGCAGAATGTGAGGATTTCTAATGGCTGGTGACATTTTTAGGTGAAACTAGTATGATAGAATAATGGTGATGAGGTTGAGTTACGCTAAGCAGACATTTTAGGATAATTTCTGACTTTCTGACCAGCTCCTTGCAAAATGACTGTCTGGTCATATTTCAGGCAATTCATTGTCCTACAAAATGTATTTATTTTAAAGTAATTGCAGATGCAGATACTAGTTACACAATGCTGATGTAACAGTATCTTGCTAAAGATCAGTTATGATGAAGAGCTTCACTTGCAGGTATTGTGAATTGTTTACCTTGGTTAAGCAGATAATTATGTTATATTCAAACTCTTCCCTGTAATATGCTGACAAGTTATTGTTTCCTCCTAAAATCATGTTTTTAACATTTAGAACCCTTTTGTTATTATATTATAAACAATTAATATATACCCCATCCACCTGAGGGAGATTTGTGAGCAGACCTGATAAAACTGGAAGCACTGTTTAACATTGGCAGATAGTGAATACAGCTTGTAGAAGCTTGACATGCTAGGTTTCTTTTGATGTACACTGACTGCATTGGTCTTACATGTGTCCATTCCCTGCAAATCTTTTGCAAGGTAATTTTTGGGATTTGTCCTGTCCACTCAGCCCCATTTTGTTGACTGGTTAAGCTGCTTTACGTGCTTCTGCACTAAACAGGTTTTCCAGGGTCTGTCCTGCAATGCTGAAGCTGTCATGTAGTGGCATTTTTATTTTTCTGCGCCTGCAAGAATCCTCATAATCCTGTGGAATACAAACTACCAAAGCCAGGTACAAATGGTGTTTCTGCTGTGTTCGCTTAAGATCTGCACCATGGCAAACATGGTGTCATGGAAAGTCTTGTGGATCCGAACAGAATTGGACTGAATGTCGCTTAAACTATGTTCCATCGTTAGGATTCTGATTCTTCCTCAATGCCAACTCAGGAAGGCATGTTTTTTTCTTGTTAATTTTAATTCTTTTCCCTACGATTCACTAAAATGGAGTGCAAAGCAATTAATGGCGTTTGCAAATGGAGAGAAACCACAAGTCCCAAGAAGTTCAAAACGCCGTATCTGCTGAAGAATTATGTAAATAAAGCTTTCTTAAGACATACATAAAATAGTTGGTTTCTTTAATGGAGGAAAAAAAAAAACATGTAACAAAGTCTGAAGTCTGCTTCAGAGCCTTTGCAGTGGACTCTGTGTGCAGGGGACTGCTGTCACTCAAGCTTTGTCGTATAATTACCAAATCGCTCTACCACTGAAATACATAATACTGTACTGTTAAAACAAGTTGCAGCCTTGATTAACATAAGGCAGGAAATTGAATTTAAATAAGCAGCACTGATTGCCTGGAATGGAGTCACACCCCAGGGGATGACAGATTGATGGTCATAACCGCTTCTGACTTGTCTGAGCACGCCAGTGTGCACTGCGGACAAGGCATAAGATTTCAGGGAACCATAGTGAAGTACATCACTTGTAACACAGTCAAATAATATCAACTCAGTCCTGTTGCCATCATTAGTACATTATCTGTCAAATTCACACTTTTTCCCCATTTCATATATGTTTGATAATTGCAATATGATTTATTTTTTCGAACAACACGCAAATAACAAAATGGTACAAAGCATTATGATGAAATGAAAAGCTTGAAATTCAATTACCAGATTAAGAAAATTCCCTTTTCTCAGAGACACAGATACTCATAACTGATGTTAATATAAGCAGACGGATCTCTAGATTAGGGTAAAGAGGCACCTGCAAGTAACACAAATAAATAAATAAAATGCATGGACAATGAGTGTGTTGGGGTTTAAAGCATCCAAGTTCCTTGTGTTGCATTTTGACTTCCTGAAACAGTTCAAAGACAGGTGTGGCGATGTCATTCTTTGAACTTCCATTCCTGGCGGCACATAGGACATTGCTGCTGCACCTGCTGTGAGTTCAGCCACTTCAAGATGCAATGCATGTGGAAACAATGAGAACACTGGCCCCAGACCAATGGGCAGTCGTCACCGGGCACCTTACCTGAAAAAGATATCTTCCTTTTAGACTGGAATTGATTATAACTGGTATTCAAACACATAAATGGACATAGCTCAACAGCGCATATCAACCGTCTTGGCACTTACAGTCCGGACAGCAACCATTAAAGGACATCCTGCAGATGCCACAATTCTCGTCGTTGGCCACCCACAGCCAAGACGCCACGCCGTTCCATTGCTTGATTTTCACCTTCATCTTCGACTTATAGGCACTGTCGATCAAAACACTGCGCGTTAATAGTCAGTCACAGCGGAAGCCTACATACTTAGTATATGAAAACCACAATCTAGTTACTTCTTATTAAAACCTTGAATAAACTTTAATTTCGCCATCAAACTGTTCTGAATCAACAATTGAAAGTATTACATTACGTATAGTTATTTAATGCACCAGCAAGTCACCCAGTGCAATTGGTGTCTCTCCGCCGCAGTAAAATTATTTCGAAAGATTTTTTTTAATTTAATTTACTTGTTGAACAACTACAGTCAAATCTCTACAGCCACATAGCCGAATGTAAGCATGCTTGCTACAGCTCATTTTATGAGATCTAAAATGTTTGCTATAAACAAAAGTGAAAACAGCAAAGGAACAAATTACTACATATCTTCATACCTAACGATTTAATTAAAAACGCGATTTCAACAGCGCTGGATTCATCCGTCAGAGCCATACGAATACGGTTAATAATAAGTAGTTCCGTTTACATCTACACCCCCCCAGTTCGGCTTAAGGGATAAAAATATTATACTGCGCCCCCTTGCGAAGTGGAGGAAGACTTCATCTTACTCTTATGTGAACGTTTCCCCGCAGTATTATAGTAGTCACAGTAGTCTAAAGTGTAGTAATTTTAGATAATTTTGCCTACCTCTCTGAAACATATATACATTACAAGAAACATATATACATTACATTTCGCGAATGTGAAACCTACAATGTAATGTAAATGGCAATGTAAAGAGTTCGGTTTTCGTATGGCAAAATACCGAAACTAGACGTTGTTATTTGTTTACTGTACGATACTTTATATTAATAAACGGAATAACAGGGGAAACTATAAATACAGTACACTAGCAGCACTTATATTACAGTCTCAATGATGAATGCCTGTTTACTAGCAACACCGTGCATACAAAAGATGCACCCATACTACTCCAATTCCCAAAACGATATTAAACGGAAGTTGCGCATTAAGAAAACGTCATTTCCTGGGAATCATTAGAGAAGCCCGAGAGCGTTGTTCTTGCATTAGTTTAGTGGTAGCTAGCTGCAGCGAGTCTGTTAGTGCTGAGTTGTTTGGTGTGTACGGTGTAAAGATACGTGACTTCAGTGGCGCCATGGCTGACAAAATGGATATGTCGCTGGATGATATTATTAAGATAAACAAGCAGCAGCGAGGGGGCGGCGGGGCGCGTGGCGGTAGAGGCCGTGGTAGGGGAGGGTTGGGCGGAGGACGAGGCGGTAACGTCGGCCGGCTTGGAGGCACCGGAGGAGGCGGCTTTGGGGGCCGAGGCGGCGGATCGGGCCCTTTTCGGAATCGACAAACCCTAAGCCGGGGTAGAAGCAGACCTACGCCGTACAGCAGGGTAGGAGAAAGAAAAAGAGATTGGCTCAGAAATCGGATAAGATCGTGGCATCAGAGTCCTCAGTCTTTTTTTAATATTATATACTTAGCTAACGTTGCTAGCTAGCATGGGAACCCTCTGGAGTTTTAATTTGGAGCAGAATGTTAATTGGGCACTACTAAAGTGGCCATCGTTAAAGGAAGTGTAATTCATGATGTTTTCATTTCCCCCAAACAGTAACCTTAAATTTTGGTTTCATAACGCTATCCAACTCGCCGTGTCGAGTGTATAAATTGCCTTGCAGCGCCATCTTGAATAAGATGAAGAGGCCGGTGTTCAGCTCCAGTCTTCGGATGAGTGCAAGTTTCATTGAAAGGTTTTTTTTCGACGAGCCACAGTGGATCAAGTGAAATGAAAATGTAATCTGTAAGAAGTCGGCCAGGATCGTTTAGGGAATCTTCTCCAAGTGAATGAATGAACGAGCTTACTTTGATGCTCGAATCCAGGAGACCTTTGTCGGATCTACTCTAATATAGAAATCAGTGAATTTTGAAGAACCTGCAATTTAGTCAACGAGAAGAGGAACCAGAGACTTTTGTTAATTTAAACGAAATGCAGCCACACGATCGGCTCCATTGTTGTTCTGACAAAATGGCGTAAGGACAAAATGGACGCTTAAATAACTGACCGCCATTTCTACTCCTTGGCATGATGCTCAGTACTTTAACCTATACTTACTCATGGACTTAAGATGCCAAAAGCCAGCGAATGATTGGACTCTCCTGGTCGTGACGAAGAGCACTCTGCGGGTTTAAGCAGGAAATGGAGCCCAGCGCTAGACGAACCAAGTCGCAGCGTTTCCTCGAACCGAGAGCGGATTTTTCTTCGAGAAGGATTAATTTCACCTCCGATGTGACGATGCAGCGACGGGGATTGTCGAAGCAGATCGGCCCTGGCTTTCACTGTTGGGGAGGGGTGTCAGGGGTACTGATTAAAAGTGAGGCTTGGAATATGCATTCTCTCAGTGGGGCACTTAATTGATATGCTCCAGGGCCACAAATTCTGAATCAGTAGAGAGCTCTTTAGATGAGTTTTTGTAAACCACCCCATTGTCCAGTTAATTTAATGTATTTAATTCATCATGTTGAAGCATGCTTGTGATTGTGAATGATTGTTCCGCCCATTTAGTTTTATTTAAAACCCCACTATTGTACTTGTAAATGTCTTGAGCTGGTGTGTTTGGAACATGTCTGGTCATAGTATCCTGGTGATATATTTATGTAGTGTGCATTTTCACCATTACCTTAAAGTGTAATGGAAGATGAATTTGAACAGGACAGCGGGTCCCTGGGCTGGTTGGTGTTCCCTGGAGGAGCGGGAGTTGCCTCTGGCCACCTGGGATCTGTGTGATTGGCAGGGACAGGGGCCTCCGAAGTTAGCAGGTGCGTTCTTTGTCTTTGTCCTTGCAGCCCAAGCAGCTCCCTGACAAATGGCAGCACGACCTGTTTGATAGCGGCTATGGTACAAGTGCCGGCGGAGGTGCAGCTGGTGTGGAGACAGGCGGCAAACTGCTTGTGTCAAACCTTGACTTTGGGGTCTCTGATGCAGACATCCAGGTATCGTCTTAACTGTGGATTTTTCCCTCTTTGCTTGCCCCTTTTCTGCCTTAATTCCTGTGACATTCGTGTAATTAAGCTTGCATTTTCTCCCAGAGGCCATGCAAGTGGGGGATTTCGTTATGCTGGCAGTCCTGATGCCCCGTGTATTTTGCAGGAGCTGTTTGCAGAGTTCGGGACACTAAAGAAAGCCGCGGTGCACTATGACAGGTCAGGCCGCAGCCTGGGGACGGCGGATGTCCACTTCGAAAGGAAGGCCGATGCGCTGAAGGCCATGAAGCAGTACGACGGGGTTCCGCTCGATGGTGAGTGGTGCTTGGTGTTGGGTTTTCTGAAGTGCTACGGATGCACGTGTTCCTGAATTTTGTTTCAATTAAAACAGGTCGCCCAATGAACATCCAGTTGGTCACATCGCAGATCGACACACAGAGGAGGCCTGCCATGCAGGGGTAAGTGGCATTTTGTGGTTGATGATCCTCCACAGCCTGTGATTGGAATGCCGGCCTAATCCTGTCGTTTTGTCGTGCAGTTTGAATCCAGTAGGTGGCCTCAACAGGAATCGAATCGGTGGCAGTTTCGGAGGGATGACGAAGCGGGGCGGCAGGGGTAGCGGGACCAGGGGCAGGGGACGGGGAAGAGGTGGCCGTGGTGGTAACAGGCAGCAGCTGTCTGCTGAAGAGCTGGATGCGCAGCTTGATGCATACAATGCAAGGGTGAGAACTGGCAAAGCGTCCAGCATATGCAGTGAAAATGCAGCACGGGTGAAGTCTAACCTTTCCCCTCTCTCTCTGTCTGCAGATGGATACCAGCTAGATGTGAAGCACTCTGAACCATATCTGTCAGCTACTCTCAGCCTTGGCAGTAAATCGCTTGCCGACTTTGAGCAGTAGTCATGGGATGTTTTACTTCAGCTCTCATGCATTTTAAATTTTTCCTGAGGGGCTTTTTTTTTCACGTTCTACTTTTGTTTGTACCTTTTGGACTGTAGGATATAAAAGGATGTAGTTGCTTTGATATGTTTTGTCTTGATCCCTTTTTGCATCATTGTAATAAACCTGCAGTGTCTGTTAATGCCGCAATGACTGCCTGTTCATTTGTGATGCCAGTACAAGTGAAGGGGGTTTAATTCGTGTGGATTTTTAAATGTTTCTACTGAGATTTGAATTTAGCCATTGGAGTTTTGGCTGGGAACAGCAGCCTTTTATTCTAGCCAGGTTTAACCTTTGTAATGCTCTTATTTTTTACTTGGTTGCTGGACAGTGTTACTCTTTGTATTTGTAACAGCCTGGTTGTGTTTTAGCGGTTCTGTTCAGTGACTGAAGGGCTGGTCCATGGTGACCAATCATGAACATATATCTTCCAAACCATCACCATTGGCTGTAGAGAAGAGGTGATACCATGACCAAATAAATAGCCGTATGTTTAAGCAGTGTGATATCCTGTACATATTTGCTTCTGTCTGCTTTGGTCATTCCTTTGCATTTTATCAATTAAATGTTTCTCTGCAGTGTCCACCTTTCAGTTCTGTTTTTGACAGTGATGTGGCAGTAGTCTGTGTTCACTGAAACACTTGAAAGCTGTTGGTTTAAGGATTTTGCGTTTGTTCAAATTGATTCATTGGCATTTTTTTATGGGGTCATAAATCGGAATGGGGGGTACTGGTCACTCTTACCTCCTTACCATCACATCTGCACAACACTGGCTGATATTTCATGGGAGTTTTGATTCAAATGTGCTTGCGAGAATCCTCTGCCCTAAAAGAAGGTGTATTCTCTTTAATATTGAGGGCTAGTCTTAGTGCCTTAGTGATAATCCATTTGGTAGCGTTGTGAAGTAGCTGTGCAACATTGTATTTACAATTCATGGTTTGCGTGTTCAAAATTCAAGTGTATAAGTAGTCCTGAAAAGTACTTATGAATTAATTATGTGATGTATTAAATATTCAGCTGTATGAATTGGTAAAACTATCGAGCCTTCTGGTAATACAATTTAAATAATGAAAAGCAGCTGTACTTCTGGAGAAGTGATGCTTTGCCATCAGAGTGCGCTTCCCCAACCAAGTGTGCACACAAACTTTGCATGGAAAAGCCTTGTCAGGTTTACAATCCTCGGAGTGCTAATACTTCATAAGAGTATCTTATATTTCCAGGGATAATAAATCAGCATTAGTGACAACATGCTTTATTTGCCATTTGCACAGGTACAAGTACATTGTGATGCTTCTCTTAGCTGACCCCATCTTGCTCTCCATTGCTTGGAAGAATCATCTGAAGTACGCTTCAGTTCCTGAAAGACTCATCCAGCCCAAAACTGTTCCCACACATATCGCGCATAAATATTTACTTGTGCCCCATAATACATTTTGTATGAAAGTATGTAATGATGAAAATGGTAAAAATTCTTAGGAGTACATGAGAAAATGCACAAAAAATAAACAGGTGCCACAAAATCAACACATCCTGCAAACCTCCCCTATATTATACGCTGAAACAGTTGACAAATAGTTCCTGTGATGTATCAAGTTCCTGGGGACCCACATTTCGCAGGACCTATCCTGGACCACCAACACCTCTAGCCTGGTCAAGAAGGCTCACCAGCGCCTCTTCTTCTTAAGAACACTTAAGAAGAACCAGCTGTCCTCAGCCACCCTGGTGAACTTCTATCACTGTACAATAGAAAGTATCCTAACCAACTGTGTAACAGTTTGGTACGGAAACTGCTCTGTTGCTGAGCGTAAGGCACTGCAGCGGGTGGTGAAAACTGCCCAGCGCATTATAGGGACTCCACTTCCAGCCATTGAGGACATCCAGAAGAAACACTGTATGCGTCGAGCACGCAGTATTCTTAAGGATTACTCTCATCCCGCCCACAAACTGTTTTCTCTCCTGCCTTCCGGTAGGCGCTTCAGGTGTCCCAGGTCAAGAACCAGTAGACTAAGGAACAGCTTCTTTCCCAGAGCGGTCTCCTTATTGAACTCTGCCCCCCACTGACACCTGCCCCCTCTAACACACTCCCATACTCTCTCCATTATCATTGCACTATTTAATTTTTAATGCACTACACTGTATATACATATTCGGAAAGCAATATCCATTGCACAATACAGTTGTAAATTTCTTATTATATATATCTGTAAATGTCTATTTGTAAATTCCTGTTCTTAGCAATCTGTATATTATGCTCACAGTATATCCATCTGTAAATATTACCCTTACTTTCTCCCTGCACATATCCCATTTAAGTGCACTTATAACTTATACCTTATCCTGCACTTACTGCTTATTGCACTCCTGGTTAGACCTAAACTGCATTTCGTTGCCTTGTACTTGTACATGTGTAATGACAATAAAGTTGAATCTAATCTAATCTAAAATAGCCCAAAGAAACTTGATTTTACAATAAGGAGAAATCGTAGGATCAGGCCATGTGAGGATAGGGGTGTAAGATAACTGAAATGTAATTTATTTTCAAAAATGTAACCTCGGGGATTATCTCTATATAGAGCACTACTCTGGACGAAGGTCTTCAGATTCCTGGGCCTTGTTCCCAAGCATATCTCTGTATACATTTCTCCAACCATTCAGTGCTAAAACGGGCTACCAACTTGAGTAAGCTACAGTAAAATGCTTTGCATGTGGCCTATGAAAATACCTTCATCATTAACGTCATTTTCCTGTTGAAAACGTTTTAATAAAATCATTCAGCAAAGTTATCAAAAGAAGCTGCCCAGGAAGCACATACAGGGCATGACTACTGACATCAAACAATCATGATTCACCAATGTCACAGAACTATTCTTATTAATTCTTACAGATTTCACCCTTACTTGGCATCTGATTCGTATTCAAACACGTAAACATTAAATACAACTTAGTATCAGTATAATTATCAGCATTACTATCCGTAAGGCTTTAAGTTTATTGCTCGCTTTAGCCACGTCTATTAAACATTCCGACTTTGCATAACTAATTACCTTTTGTAATGAATTACAATGTTGCAAGTTTGCCAACTTTGGTCAGCTGGAAGGCGTGAAATTTTCAGTTCGAGACAAGTCCGCACACTCATTTACATGTATACAGTAGTTTTATCACCTTAAAAATAGCAGGGTTTGCAACTATCCCAACGCTTTTGATATAGCCAGTTTCCGGTTTATAATGGAATAATATAGATTTGCCGTAAGATTTCTTGCGTGAGGCCGAAAGCGTGTGTGGCAACACTGATGTTGCTGTTATACAGTTTTGTATGGCTTTACATGATAAATTTGCACATCACATACTGAATTTATCTTCGCAGTTAATTTTAGACAGTTATCTTCACCAATGGGTAGGTATGTCACAAAAAAATTCAAAGTTGTTGGAGTTGCTTGATAAGACCTTTCCAATGATACCAAGAACTTCTTTCTGTGATGAATGACAAGAAAGTTATAGGATATTTTGTAACGCCAATTAAGGCTTATTAACGTCCACTTAGTAACAGATAAAACAATGGAGAACCATACTTGACTTTGTGACCTGTTTATGGTGTTCAGAAAAATGAGCATAACTCTGTTATTGCTTATCAGATTTTAATAAACTAGGTATCATTAGAAAGCTTATTCCTTGCCTAACAGTCTCAGATACACTGAAAATAAAACAAATAATTATTTAATTTATTTGTCTGTCAATTAATACTCACCGGAGAATGTATGTAGTGAATAATACAAAGAATGTCTTTTCAAAGAGTCCACACTTTGTGTTATCATACTTTGTGTTATCATTATAATCCATTCAATAATAATACATTTGAAAAGCATTGTCCATAGTAAAGTATCAAAAGGTACAGGTAAATATGCAGTATGTGCCTGTAAAGAACTGTCTGATCTCCGGGAGTTGAAGAAAAGAAGTCTTTGAGATGCTGCCTTGCTATGCCAGCCCGTGCTGGTTGTGGAGGATTACGTTTTCTCTTCATGTTAAAGGTAACTGCAAAGACAATATGCAACTATTTCTAGCCTTTCCAACCCATTCAAAATTATCAATCATCTGTGTTACAAAAGCAAGCGATGGGTATCTACTCCATTTTATTACAAGAATATATATTCATAAACACATATAACCTAATTTAAAAGCCTTCACATCATTTTAAAGCTGTAAATTCCATGCTGAAAATCATGCTATTTTCGGCTCTTGCTGCACTGTTCACCACAAAACATGACCGGCTCTCGCGGCGGATCCAAAAAAGTGAACTGCTGATCGATACATTTTGCTCAAAATACGCCTAAATACAATAAACTAACTAAGAAATATAATTATCATAATTTGAAGAATAATTCTGCTTACGTTTATTGTCCCAACGAAGGTTTTAACGAGTGAAATTTTCGGTAAGATCGGGAGGAAATTTCGAAGTTATCAGAAAGTCAGATTACCGTGTTTTGAATGGAAATCCCCAGATGAAGGTGTGTTTTACGTTATCAGAACGGGTTACCCTAATAGACACAAAAATAACACAACAAAAAGGCAAAAACTATTGGGATACCCTGGTGCTCCGTGGAATGGCGACCAAATTGAAAACGAGGCTGCCTGCCAAAGCCCCTATGGCGCAGAACTGGTGATTGTGACATACCTACAATGGGACAACATTAGTGCGCTGATAGTGAAATAACCTTCATACTTAAATTGATCGCCGAGATATAATATGTAGCGCAAATGAATATTTAAAAACATGAATAAAAACGATTTACTAGCAAGTGTCACTCGTCACTTTCGCTCACACTAAATTACCAAATTCGTCACTGAAATTACAGTGAAACCTGTTATAAACCGCAAATGCTATGTCTATATCGCATCGCATTTACTAGAGCCATAGCAGTAAATCAGGATATCACTGGATCACTAAAGCATGTGTTGTGACTATACGCAGGGCAAGATCCACACATGCACTGCAGTATATTAACATGTATGTAGGTGTTTCAGCTCAGTCTTCGTCACACTTGCACACCAGTGAACATAAGATAACTTAATGATGGTCAATCTATTTATTTTCACCAAATGTATGCCGTATTTCATCCACAGGCATAACATTTATTATTAAATATTTATATGGGAGCAGTAAAACGGATCGTTTGCTAATCTTTCACCGGTGGACGCAAAGAGCCACAGTCAGTGAAAAGTTGTGACTTGGACAAATTCCGGCTAACAGGATCATGTACGGGCAAACTGAAATATTTGAACCCGAAACGTGTAAAATTATAAAGCGCGGACGACGGATCACCCCCATATTCAACTTGGCGCCTAAATTCTTCGGCGAGACGCCCGTTTGGGGCGCGTTCACGGAGCCGTTCCCAGCGATGCGCGGTCCCGCTTCCGGAAGCGTATAGTGCGGGCGGCTCCGCTCTCCGATCGCCATTCTAGTCCCACGGAGTGCAGCGGTAGGAGCACTTTGCGCTTAGAGCTCAGGTAAATCCGCGTTATTACGGTAAGGAGTGGTTCACTGGGGCGCTAGCAAAACGACATTTTAAATACTTACACGTTCGATAGCTTAGACAATAGCAGATAATCACGTCGACGGTTCATTTCGGTAATATCGCTCTACTGCGATCAAATTCCAAGATTTTAAAAAAGCTTCATTATTGTTAGTAAGGTACTTCCAATCTCAGTATTGTTTTATTTTTATTTCTTTAACTGACCCGCGTTGCATGATCCTACTCAGTAGTTGTATCGACTGATTCAATTTCCTATGTTCAGTTTTAGATAGCTAGCTACACCCAACTAAGGATAAGTTAAACTAACTTATTCACTTAATCTTTCCCATTCAGTTTAACTATATGTATTGATCGCCGCACTTAACTTTTTCGTCGATTATGTTAATAACTGAATATAATGTAATTTTGCAAGAAAAATATCCGTGGTAAGCTAGCTGGAGTAGCCAGTCTGCATGTTTCCGAAGGGCTGAAGTTGACTTCATATATCCGGCGTTACGGGGCCTTTAGGTCCCAGGGCCGCCCGGTGCGTGCAAACTCACAGCGGGAATTAACGCAATAGAAATGACTACTTTGTCCGAAACTCTGTCCCATCACCACGCGAAACGTAGCAGCTCTCCTTCCGCCTTCCAATTCGGATCCACTTTTCCCAGCTTACTCGTGCCGTCGGGTTACTCGTATTTCCTGTTGCCAGTTATCGCGCCGCAGGAGCAGAAACGGCTTCAGGTAGTTCGAAGTTGCATGAAACTCGGGCAATTTTTTTTCCAGCTGGGACACATGGACGCATCAGTACAGATGATACTTTTAGAAGAAGCGCGTCATTTGCGACATTAAATGAAATATGCAACACTTAGGTGTCGAAGACTTAAACCACGCAGTGCTGCTGTATTAGTGTTTGGCGGACCTGCCCGCTTTGGGTTTAAAGCGCGTCGTTGCTGTTTGCTGGCAGCCAGACTAAGCGCCCCCCCCCCGCCGAGAGGCGACCTGAGGCGGTCCTGCTGCCCGGTGAGGAAACGCTGCATAGCGCCAACTTGGTTCTAGAAACCAGAAATGCGTGTGACTAATGTGTGGGTGGGTCTTGGTCTCTCCCTCGGTCGGCGCCCGACTGCAGCCGGGCCGATTTGAAGAGCCGCGGCTTCCTGTCTGCCCTGGTTCTAGGTCTTTCTCTCGGGGAGGGGGCGGTGTCGCTAATCCCCCCCACCTTCAAACTGCAAACTCCGTCCAATACAACAGGTTAACTGACACGTATAATATATTTTACCGCATATAACCGTTTTTTTCTCACCGCACTTTTCCCCCTTTGGCCCTTATGGCAAATCACGTTTTACGGTTTACTTTCCTTTCGGTTGGCAAACTTGAAATTAGTGGCGATGTAATGGGCGTTACGCAAATTGTGACGGAGGGACAATAACAAGGAAGTTTGGCAGATATTTTGACCTATTTATGCTTTACAGTAAATGAGAAGATGGTTTATATTCTGCGACATTCCCATGTCATCAAGCTTAAATGCTTTACAAGCTTTTTTCGCTCCCATTTACTGACTCTCTCAAGTCGGATATCGGTGATTATAAAGCTGCAAAGGGGAAATTACCAGTGGAAATTTAGACACCTAGGGAGCTTTAATGATTTGGTTAATTATTTTCTGAAATGCAGTCAAAGGACTAAAGCGCCCATCAGCTGATCTTTAAAAAATGTGTTGACACTGTTTGAGTGTGTGTTGGGATGGTTGTCTGGGTCAGACCTATAGGACGCTGTGGGTCTGCTTAGGTATTATTCTAAAGGAAGCAGGTGTCCTTGGGAGGCAAAGTGGACACAGTTAACTGATTTTCATGACCCAGAAATGTCACAGTCCTAGTTTTGTACATAGAGGCTTTTTCACATAGTTTTATTTTGGTAAAGGAACATACATGCAACTTTAAAGTGCTTTATCTTGATAAAATTTGGCAGTGCGTTGTTCCAGTTAAGGTTCGATGTATCTTCCTTCCACCTTCCCAGAAGGTTATTCCTTTGGATGGTTAGGTTATGTGTTCTGCAAGTAAACATGCTCGTAGAACAATTTTGCAAATCTATCTATGCTGCCTCAGCTGTTCAGCAGTGTGGGGAGCCTGTGGATTCTATCTGAAATTCATGTGTTAACTGCTGGCTTTCTGTTGTAGAACTTGATCTTGATATTAGTGCGCTGGCATGAGGAAGTTCAGCTGTTTGTGTGTGTGTGCCATCCTGCTTTGGTGTTTTGTTATGCAATTCACGCAATTGACATCTGACAGCCAGAATAGAGTCACTTTAATAATAATCACTTTAAATTCTGTTAGTGTTTTTTTTTGCATTTTTTAATTAAAAAGGAAATCACAACTTTTTGTTAGCGAAAAAAGTGAAACAGGATAATGGTCTACTTACTATTTTTACTATTTTTAACCTTGAATTTTCCCAGTCGCTGATTTTATTCTCATTCTGTTTCCAGCTGTCCTATGATGGTCCATCCCAGTTACATCTTCACAGTATTAGCAGACTGGTTATAGCCCAAATGTCTTTGGCACTCTTACCAAGGGCAGTTATTCGGTTCATAGTGATTTTGAATGAATTTGCCCAGTATTCCAGATGGTTGTTAGACAGCCGTGTGTGGTATGTATTTTTTTATTTATTTCCTTTCCTTCCCACCTGCAGGGTTGCAGCTGTGGAGCAGGCCATGAATGTTATTAATGCAGCACAGTGTTAATATAAACACTGCTGTTATCTTTGAAATCTCCTTTCCCACTCAGAGATTTGGTAGCTGAGTTTCCCAGCTGGTGGATTTTGGTCATCTGGAAGTTGATGACATTTAGCGTGTCAGATTACAAGTTTTACCTTGGGAGAGCTGCTCTTAATGGCACATGTTTTTGGAAGTGCGTCTTTAGGCAGTGTTTCAGTAGTCTGTTTTTTTTTTTTTTTTTTTTTTTTTTTTTTTTTTTTTTTTTTTTTTATATTCCCTCCTCAACGTAAAATCAGTGTGTTTGTCAAGAGCAGATAGTTTCAGCTCTTTTTTTTTTTTTGGTCCTTTTAATAACTTTTGGTTAAAGGGAACGTTGGGAAAGAAACGTTTTAGTTTCTGAAAAGAAGTTGGTATCTAAGACCATTATTTTGCTCAGTGTACTGCTGACAAAATTGCAATGTAATTTTAATCCATGCACATGTAGAGATGAAGTAAACATCTGACATTTAGCGTAAAATCTGTTAGCTAATATTACATAACTTTTACCCTTTTAAATCCTTTTGCTGTTTCTCCTCATGATTGGAGGCGTTTCATAGCCATTTTCCTGCTGATCCGCTACACTGTCTCATTATGTGGAGTAACTTTGGTGCATGGTGTTATTTTGGATATCCATCGATACGGCTCCATGCTCTTAACAAGACCCAGATTTTCAGCAGTGATCTTTCCAGGTCAGACAGGGAAGCAGTTGCTCGCCCCATTCCACTGTGTCCTCCTCTACCTCGAGGGAGGTTTCTGTGGGCCCGGAGAAGATGGCAGTGTGAGAAGGAGGGAGAGGGAGAAGGGGCGATGTGCTTTTGCAAACGGCCTGTTTTGATTGCTGTTTAAGTGATCTGTGAGGTTATGATGCTCCTAGTTTTCTCATGTTCTAACATGGTGAAGAAATACATCATCAGATAAGATCTGGCATTTGCTGCCTTTGTGATGCTGTCGGGATTGAAGCTACCCTGTGCTTCCAGCAGACTGGGATGGTGTTGACTGGGTCCCCAATTTTCACAGAACAGGCATGATGGTGTTTCAGTTGCCATTGCAATTTTTGTTTAATTTTTACTTCTGTGCTATCCTTTTCCGGCATGCTGTTTGAATGACTGAGGGCTGTAATGTTAAACTGTGGCTTTTTTGAAGCATAGTGGTGTACAGTTTTCTCATGTAATGTTAGTCACAGGTGGCTGACTTGTAATGTACTATTTCTGAATGTGCTTTGACATTCATTGTCTGAGTTGTATGGCTGTTGCCGCAGACTCAACTCTCCAAGGAAAAGAGAGCAAGACAATGAACTTTGCTTGGTCTCAGTGACACAAATGTATCTTGAGTTAATCAGTTCAGCTCCAGACCTAGAATCGCAAAAAAGTACACTTCTCAAAATGTATGTTTGCCTTGCTGGAAGCAAGCTGCTTCTCCCGCTCTTTCATAACACGCGCGCCAGCCCTCCCCGTATTGCTTAGCCTGTTTTTTCAGAAGTTACTTTTACTTTTAGCTTTATGTTTTTCATTAGCTGTTTTGGATCCTTTTGCCCCCTAGGAATAATTAGCGGGTGTCTTCCAAGTCGTCAGAAGGCTGACTTTGGCCTACTTCAGAATGAGTGTAACATTCTCACATACGGGCCACATATCTGCCATGACTTCCTGTGATGCTGCTTCAGACTGCAGTGTGAGGCTGCACTCTTACCAGGTGATTGCGACAGGAGATCCAATAGTGGGTCAGTGTAACTGGTATGGTTTGTTCAGGAGGAAGATGCCTTAAATATAGTTGTCATTATCTTTTTTTTATCAGCATACCAGTGCCTCCTTAGATGCTGTGGGGCTCCAGACCAGTCCACGCTGTCTTTACAGGCAGGTGAAGTGCTCGGATGATTTATATTTGTCTAGACCAGGGGTCGGCAACCCTAGGCACGCGTGCCACAACTGGCACACGGAGGAATTTCCGGTGGCACGCTGACGATGATCACAATAGAGACCTGCACAAGACAAGATTTGATGGGTGAATGCGTGTGCGGGCGGCAAGGTCCTCATGTATGTGTGGGTTGCGGGAGAATAGAATTAATCGCGGGACTCCCGCAAAATGGAATTATCTTAATTAATTTAATAAAAACAAGTACTTTTATTATCTACTGCACAAAAGCAACAAGAACGACTAAATTAAAGGCTAACGCTCTGAAGCAGTATTAAGCCAAATGCTTTTCTGTTTGACCACTTGAGAAATCAACGTTTTATTATTATTTTGTTTCATTGCAATATTATTAGCCTATTTCTAACTGTTCTGAGTGTATTCCTATGTTCTGAAAAGCTCCTCGTTCGTGTCCATGTTCATCATTCCATTTAATTAAACTCAAATAAAACTAAACATATTTGTTTGTTTTCCATTTCTTTTTTATATACACTCAAAAGGGAAGCAAGTGAAACAAATAACAGAGTAGCGGGAAGAAGCGGTAAAAATAAAACTACTTGTATGTTTACCTGCGGGATTTTGCGGGCGTGAGCGGGACAAAACTTGAATACTGCGGATGGGAGCTGGAGAAAATAATATACATTTTTTTTGCGGGAGCGGGACTGAAAAATTCCTCCCGCGCAGGCCTCTAGATCACAACCCTAATTATTAAACACATTAAAATTTGTCAGACGTCTCCTATGATGTTGAAATGTCTTTGGCTGTTGCTTGGCGCGCCTGCTGCTTTGGTTTGACTACTCGATGGTAGCCCCCCCCCCCCCAATCGTTAACATGGCACGCGGACTAACAAGAAAATATATAATTGGCACTCCATGTCAAAAAGGTTGCCGACCCCTGGTCTAGACTGAACACTCGGAAAAACATTTCTGCTAAAGTCCGATGTGCAGGAGTCACGCTTAGGTCAGTGGTGAAAGATATCGATGAAATGACCCTGGCTATTAACGACTGACGTTTACCCTTGCTGAGGTTCCCAGATATGTTTTGGTATCAGATCCTTAGATTTTGATAAACATCTTTATGAGCGAATTATCACTTAAGTGTCAGCCTGCCAAGAGACACGCAAGTAAGAATTTTATTGTATTTTAGTACATCTTGTACATCTTTGACAAATCTTGAATCTTGAGATGTCATTAGTATGCAGACTAATTTGTATGAAGTGAGAATGAGTATGAGAACATTCATTCTGTCTGTGCTAACAGCTGCTGTTGTAGACAAATACCGGGAGCATTTTTCTGAATGAGTATTGTACTTTGCTAGCGTGTATCCCGTTAATGCTATTTGAGGCATTGTTAATCATATAAATAGATGTGACACTGATAATGGGCTTTATTAGAAAAGCATAACATTCGCTATGTCTGAATTCATGCATCATTTGGTCAACAGCTTCCTAATGACTTGTTCTAATACTTAGCTGTTATTGCTAATGCAAAAGAATAGCATTCACTGTTTTAATTGGGCTGGTTTAACCGTTTAGTACTAATGTGCTGAAGTGTGTGTGTGTGTGTGTGTGTGTGTGTGTGTGTGTTTCCCCCCCAGAGTTTGAGTATTCACCTTAGTCTTGAAGATTTGAGTGAAGAGAGAATTTGTAGTGAGGACTAGATGGGTCGTACTTAATGGTCAGATGTGTTTGTTTGCCTGGCCTTGGCTAGTGCCGGTATTTTGTCTTGATCCACCTCGTTCCGGTTGGCAAGGAAGAGGAAATCGTAGTTTTGTCATTTCCTGCGTGATTCATAGTTAGCTTTTTTTCCTTTGACAAGCCAGAAGTAGTACGGTGAACAAACTCCAGTTTATATTGCTGTCATGTTTAAACAGTATAACTTTATTATAACGCACTTTTTTTGGTTTATTAATGTTTGCTTTCCCCCAAAGCCCCCATTGGACAGCCTGGTGCCGTAAGCTTCTGCGGATTGGAGGCCAGTTCTTGGCCAAGGCTTCCTTGAGACGGGATCAGCGTGTTTTCCTGAGGAGGCATGGTGCATGTTAATGGTGCTGTGGCAGCTGCTGGAGGGACATGGGGCAGCGTATCGGCCCTGCCTACTCCCTGGCGTCCTAGTTATGTCACAGGCTGGCACTGTGAAAGTGGAGCGTGCTCCTGGAAGCTCGACGCGCTGCGGTGCCGCTCTGTTTGCTGCATCTCCATACTGCTGCACTTTTTGTTCTGACTCGCCGACCTCTCTCCTGTCCCCCTCCTTACCCTCCCGCTCCCGACCATAACACATATATTGCAGTTGACATTAATAATTATCTGTTTATGTAAGGAAGAAGAAATGGAAACCTGTGTCCTTCGGTGCACCTGAGTGTTTTATAACGTTTTTTTATTTTTTGGTTTTATAAAATCTGTTCTAGCGAAACCGTTTACGCCGTCATCATTCATCTGAAGAGTGTAATGTATTCTGTGCATTCTGATTCAGATGAATGCAAGCCGCTGGACTTTCCTCAATGTCTTGGCCACAGCCTAAGGCGCAGATTTATGGCCCAGCGGAAAATACAGGCTTGATATTGTGCAGGGGCTGTGCATGTCTGTGTGTCCCTTGTGAAGAGCACTTCCTGCTTCTGTGACACCGCCAGGTCACACGTCGCGTTTAAGTGCCTGAGGATTATGAGTGTAAATGGATCCCGGAGTGATGCAGAGTTTTATGTAATGGGCGTTACATTTGGTGTGAGTGAATAGAATGAAGTGGTGTGAAGCCAACTTTTCTTTTTTTTTTAAAAAAAAAATTGATTTTCTTCAAGCAGGATTTCCTTTAAATTAGCCGTGGTGTAATACTGGTGGATTTGGATACCTGTGTGCATAAATGTGTGTGAATGTAACTCTTTGAGGGGAGTGTGTGCTGGTAGCTTTAGAGCCCTCTCCCTGTCTCTGCCCTAGTTGCATTTAACCACTATACTCTCGCATATTTGTTTAAGAGCCACCTGCTTCTGTTGTGAGCAGTTTGTAACATTACACCTATTTAAATTCTGTATTAATTATTTGTCATTCATTTTCTTAAGCCTTGACGTGACTTATGCTGCAGCAAACCCCTGCCTTTATTCCTTTGGAAGACATAAACTAGGTGACAGCAGGTCTCATAAGCAAATACCGATTGCAGCCCAAAGGGGGACGGTTGATATTCTTCCCCTGTAAGCGACCTGCTTGTCCAGGCATCATGGCTCTCGATCTTCACTGTGTGCCTCCCAAAGGACATTTCTTAGACACCCTAGAAGAGTGAGAAGGCAGGGTGACCTGAACTCCAGCTGTCATTTGTAAATATTGCCCCCCCCTCCCCCCCTCCCCAGAACATGGCTGAACACGAGCCCACCCCAGAGCAGCTAGCCGCCATTGCTGCGGAGAACGAAGACACGGAGTCTGTGAACTACCGGGCTCCGGCCCAGAAGTCCCTGCAGGAGATCCAGGAGCTGGATAAGGACGATGAGAGCCTGCGGAAGTACAAAGAGGCCCTGCTCGGCTCGGCGCCTAAGGCTGCAGGTACCTGTCTGTGTCTGTGGGCGTGTGCGGCTGCCCGGGCTCCTGGTGCACCGAGCTGGGCTGCACGCCGCTCCCCTGGGTCCCTGCTCCAGAATAGGAGTGCTGTGATTAAGGCTGGCTGTGTCTGCAGCACCTCCCAGGGACTGACCTGATTGTAGCTGTGAGCGAAGTTGTCGGGCAGCTTCTGATGAACTGGCAGACTTTTCTGACTATGAACCTATGAACTGCTTGGGTGCGAACAATAGCATTGCGTCCGTAGGGTAAACTGTAATGCCATTGGTATGAATTAGCCATTAAACAACCTATGTGACAATTAACAATAGTGTCAGATTACTGCAGAGAACCTCATTTAAGGTTCTGCCCTCTTACTTGGATGTAGTGCAGCTGACATCACTAACCAGCAGACTTTGTGGAGCGTCCAAGAAAAAGTAAAATCCTTTAAAAAAAAAAAAATTTTGGTCCAAATAAATTCTCATAAACCGTATGCAAGGCGTTCCTGCCCGTTCATTTTCTCCCGAGAGGCGTATTCATTCCCACATCACCCTAATGCTAGATTCTTGAGATTGTAGATGCTGAAACACTGCATGTCTATCTCCTGCACTCCTAATAAAAATTGCCTGATTTTATGTAGCTGTTGCTGTATTTTCCTTCTCTCTCAGATCCCAGTGTCCCTAATGTGCAGGTGACACGGCTGACCTTGGTTTGTGACGCTTCCCCTGCTCCCCTGACACTTGACTTGCAGGGTGAGTAAAACCCAGTGAGCCCTGGCAGTGGCCTGACATTTCAGCTGTGTACGGTATAGATCCTTAAATCTGAAAACTGCTTCCTACGGTTTTGATTTTTGCTGCTTTTCAGTTTCACAGTTTAACGTGGCAAAGGATGAACGTGTCTTGACTTTGAATTTCCCATATCTTGTTTCACTTGGCAGATCAAATGATCACTCTAGTTTTTTTCACATGGTGGGTCAGCTTAGTGATTTAGCAACTTGGTGACCCAGCTCTTTAGAAAAATCAAATACAGAGCAGTTTGAGTGTGTCACCCTTTAGCAGCATCAGCTATTTTGTTTACTGATAACTTAAGACCTGGGTAAGCTGCAGTCTTCTCAAGACTGATTTCATAGGTTCGTTCTGTCTTCCATTGTTTAAAATGCCTTAGGTTTTCTGATTTCTTACAACAGGTGAACTTGATGCATTGAAAAAGCAGTCCTTTGTGTTGAAGGAGGGAGTGGAGTACAAGATAAAAATTAATTTTAAGGTGAGTAGTGTTTATATTTCTTCTAAACATTTGGGATAGCCTTCTACTGTAATATCTGATTCTCTTCCATTCTTTGACAGAGCAAGAATGAGTTAGGATGCAAAGCATACTTAATCTTTTGTAGTATCTATGCAACCTTTAAATCTTTATTCTTGCAGGTGAACAAAGAGATTGTCTCTGGGCTCAAGTATGTTCAGCAGACCTTCAGGAAAGGAGTAAAGAGTGAGTTCCTTGTACCCCTTAATAAATTGTTGCCCTGCTCTCTGCCTGATTGGAAAAGTTCAGTAAAAGCCATGTGACCCACTGTAACATTATTCTGAAGTCGACATAAAGCATTAGCGTCACATTGCCTTTACCTCGGAACAGGTCCTCTTGTATTTTGTGGTTTTTAAAGCATGCAAGAGCATACCCATTATTATCAGATTCATCACCTCCAGTTTTTTTGTGCTTTGCCATAGTTTAAAATGATATTAATATCAGCCTATAGCCTTATCATTAATGTATAGATTGACTCGTGTCACGGCCTGCCTGTGCTCTGACTGCTCTCCCGTTATTCCTTCCAGTTGACAAGTCTGACTACATGGTGGGAAGCTACGGGCCGCGAGACACCGAGTATGAGTTTCTAACTCCCATGGAGGAGGCGCCGAAGGGCATGCTCACCCGCGGTACCTACAACATCAAATCCAAGTTCACTGACGACGACAAGCACGACCACCTCTCTTGGGAGTGGAACCTAAACATCAAGAAGGACTGGAAAGATTGAGCTGCCCTCAGAATCATCATCTTCCCTCTTGTTTCCTAGTCCCACCCCCAACACATGCACACTTGCTTAACTTCAGTAACCACCAAGTTTCCTTCTCTCTCTCTCTCTCTTCCCCTCCCCCCATTTTATACCTTGCTCTTATGTGCCCCAAAGCATCCAGTGCTTCTCAGCTGTTGTCCATGCTACTTGAAGGAAAAACCATTCCTTTCCCCTCCCAACAAAAAAAAAAAATGGCGTCTTCCACAGAAAACATGGAAGCTTTTTTTGATAGGTTTGTGTAGGAGAAAATACTGGCCTACCCCAGCCTTTGTGTTTTGGTGGGTGTTTGTTTAAAGGATATGAAGACACATGAACAGATGGTGATTTTTTTTTTAACCATTGCACTCATTCACTCATTTTAACATGACGATGTTTTTCTGTTTCCCTAATCATTCCCTGCCTCCAAACCCCTCCCCAATCCTTTTTTCCACATTCCTATTTCATGCTGGATGTATTTTTTTTTTCTCTAAATCAAGAACTGCCTTCCTTAGTATTTAATGATTGCGAGGGATGTGCTGTATTGGTTACACTGTTCCTTAACATGTATTTTCACTTTTTCCTTGTGGTCTGGGGATCACAGGAGTTTTAAACAGGCTCCTTCTCTGCCTTATACTGAATGATTGAAACAGGGACAGACATGCTTGAGAAGTGTAAATGTTCATGTACACGGGGTTCAAGATTTTTACACAGCTGTCCAGCCAAGATATCGAGGTTTGAGTCGTGCTGAGGACCGCAGATGCCTCTTTGATGTTCAGTCCATTCATTTCTTTTGAAATCTGTTAAAGGCTGCTGCAAGAACCAACTGACAACTGATCCCAGCTCTGTTCAAATTAATTTCATGCAGTGAGGGGCAGTGAAATACAAAGGCCTCTTGCTGCCTTCCTCCTTTTCTGCCTCTTACAGGACAAACACACCACCCTGTAAAGTGTAGTCAAGCCTCTAGGTATCTCGTCCCACAATTACAGCTGAAAGATATGATCAGCAATGATTTAGCGTGGTAGTCAGTACTCTGCTGTCATGTGGCCTTAATGGAGACTCGAGTTGCTAAACAATGAGAGATTACATGTAATGAGATTACCTTTGCCTTAGCACTGCACCTCATTACCCAGATGGTGGGCTCTCAGACCCTTAGGGTAAAAAGGGCAAAATGTGGAAGATCTGGCAAGATCACCATCTGCTGCTGACAACCATGATGGTGATTGCCTCGATCTGTTATAGCAGTCTTTCCCAACCCTACCCTCGGGCACCCCCTAGCCGCTCCACATTTTTGCCCCCTCCCAGCTCCCTACTGGTTTCGGAAACACTGCATTATAGAAACCGGTGCAAGAGAATCCATACTTTAAAGATGTGGGTTGAAGACCTTTTGCCCTCTGCGCATGAGAAGTGACCGTTTAAAAGTGACTTTTGCACAGCCTGGAAGGTGTTTGTTAATGACTGACTAGTAGATGAGTATGCAAGCTTTCTGAATTGCCAGAACTGCTATAGAAAGGGTTAGGGCTACCAGTGATGACCAGACTTGTTTGGCATAATTGTTGTGCTACCTCAGCGTGTATTAATGAAAGTAGAGGCTGTATTTAGCGGGTTGCATGTATCACACACCCAGAAATGCAGATAGAAATGCTTATCGTTTGTGATCCTTTTATCATTGTTTTTGTGAGACATCTGGTGTGAAGCTTTCATCTTTCGGAGTGCTCTGAGATGCTGTATGCTGAAGTATTTGTTGTAGGTTGGAGGCTTACTTTGTTAATATCACCTATACAAAAGCTGCACTGTAAATGTCCTGGGATGGACGAGTTGGTTAACCAAAGGTGCTTTATTTTGAGTACTGATTCTGTGGAGTATTTAGGTGTCAGTGAAACCCTCCTGCACCTTTCATCCCCAAAAATGTCCAAGTTTCTCCTCTTGGATCCACACTAGGACTAGTTATTGTGACTGGCTTTCAGGGACTAGACATGTCGTGGCTTGTAGCTGTGTAATTTTCTTTAACCCCATTTTTATACTCCATTTACCTTATGTTTGATGATACGATTGTATTTTGTGTGCTATTTCTGTGACGCCTCGATTATTCAGATTGTGTCATTCTGGACCAGCTGTTCATCAGTCACCATTAAAGTGTTCAGACTCAAAATGGCTGACTTCCTCTTGCTTCCCCTGTCTGCTAACAAATCGGATCTGACCAACACTGTCTCCAGGAATGTGAATGAGTGATCCAGCTCTCCTGTCAGTCTGGTATTTTTGAGCCAGCAGTCTGTAAAAGATGACAGTGACTTGAACTAAGATATAATTATTTGTCTTCAACAAGTGATTTGATAACAAAGGGTATTGTAATTGCCAGTGTTTTTAAAACAGATGTTTGCCTATAGAAATGCAAGGAAATGTGCTCTTTTTAGTTTGTCAGGCAGTCTTAGGAGTCACCGCAATAGGCAAAGGGGTTCATATTAACAGGGAAAGAATTAGCATTGCTGTTCTGTGATTTTATTTTTTTTCTGAAATGGATTTTTTGACTGTTAAAGATCGATATACACCATGATTAAAAATCATTCATGGAGAAGTGGCATATCCAATAATGTAACCTGCCTTATTGAATGCGTAGAGATCAGTAAACTGCCACGTTTCAGATTTTCTCATTACTGTTTTACCTGCTGCAAATGAGACATGTAACAGTTTTGCAAAGATAGGAAATGACACGGCTCCAAAAAATGAGGTTTTCTTTTTTTTATTTGTCTATCTGCAATATTTCACATGAGTTAAGTGCATCGGTAACATTCACCTTGTTACTGATATGTGCACTTGAGATTTAATTTGTATTTGTCATGAAAAATTGAAATATTGTAACATTACATACAAAGGCTGTTACAATACATTGTTAAATGCATTGTGCATCTCCTATGAACAGGATGCGGTGTGTTTTGGGTTGGTTGCAGGAAATCACGCAAAGCTTGAAGATGAGCAAAACCTGAATGTGGTGCACATTTGGCACCATAATTTTATATGCAGTCGAAATTGGCACCTTTATAAATGAGAATACTTATCAAGTGTATTACTATGTCCTTGAAGAGAAACACTCAACTACAGGACTTCATTTGAAATGCATCTGTACAGATTGGGGAGCTCTGTAGCAGTAAAGATCATTACATTTATAAATATATTACACTGAATGTTACTTTAATTGTTTTAGTTGTATTTCATGGATGTGACTCTTGTCCCATTTAACAATCAGTCTTCCTATATTTAGGATTTAAATAACCGTATTAGGCATATGTTTAGCATGACTTTCCATCTGGCTTTTCTCAGGTGTCTAAATTGAAAAGTGCAATCACGACCTTGCAATGAAGGTAGCAAAAGCCAGCATGGTAACTGGGTTAGAAATTAACAGCAATTTGACAGCTGTAAAGACTAATCCGATATGTTCTCGTTTTCTGTTGTGTTGGCATTGTTCTGCTGTTGAAGTCTCGAAGATTACGATTTTATAATATCTCAATATTGATCTGTTGACCTTGATTTTAAAAGTCAACTTTATGAGCAGATGATGCTTCATTAAACTAGTTATTATATTTAGGCAATATGAAGACAACATTCAAAAGAAGTCCTCCTTCGAGCCGGATTCGAACCAGCGACCTAAGGATATCTACATTCATTGCCTACAGTCCTCCGCTCTACCAACTGAGCTATCGAAGGGAGACACGTGGGATCTTCGGTTACGCACTCTTTTCAGTAACTAAATTCAAAATCAGATGAACTCTAATGTACTTTTAAGCCTGTTTTCCTTTTATGTGGAGTATTTGTGATCGCCAACGACATAGCTTATATATCAGTTTTGGAATAAGTACTGGCTGATATAGTTGTGGGACTATGGTGTTTTACATAAAATTATACTATTATAAATGACTACATTTATATTATTAAATATCACAACTCAAAAATCCAGTATCAATATACTATCATTCTCAATCCATAATTTGGCGTGGTTCATAATTTATTCATATATAATGTAAGACTGTAGGTCAATTAAATTACCCCCAAAAAATTGTCGTAAACATCGAAGAGTTGCCGTGTCAACCAGAAACCCGTAAAATGATACTGCAAAATGGCGTCTACTATCCTGAAGATGTTGCGTTTGTTTGGGTTAAAACCATGTGTTGTCCCCACTCAGATTAAGGCTGTTTTACACCATCAGTATATGAACGCAGAACTGGATGCAACCAATATATTCGTGCGATATTTCTCCTCGAGTCTTAATTATGGCAACAAGGCTGACGATTATAACTGGGTAAATTAGTTATGAACTAGGATGTGGTGATACTTTTGGTTAATCATTAATCTATGTAATTGTAACATGTCAATGAATTCGATTAAGCTGTGATCAAAAGTTGAGTTTTAGTTAACATGTATTTTACATTGTTGTAGGGCGGGAGATTGGCTATCCCCATGGGTACGTACGTAGTTCTCTTAACATTTCAAAGTAGCACTACAAAGTTTGTTGTCTGAATTTTTGATATACGCGTTATGTTGGTTTCCTTTAATTAGCCAGACTTAGTGGTAAAATCTATGATACACGTAACCTGTATGCCGATAGGACTGTAGTCTGCGTCTTCTGCATCACAGAGCCTCCCAAAGAGCCCTAGACTTCTATTAGAAAAAGAACTCCAATTGTTATTGCTTTCATCTGTCCAGATCGCCTGACAGTGACGTACAGCAGGAGCAGCGGACCGGGCGGGCAGCACGTGAACAAAGGTTTAAATGTTATAAAATGTACTTCCGGAACGACGGCATTAATATCTCAATATTTTATACAAGTACTTCTTATGGTGATGCCATATTTGACGGTATTTTTTATTTTATTTTGATCAAATAACAGCATAGTACACTATATATAAATATTTCATGCCTATATGGACGCTAATGGATAATAATGGATAAAGTACATCACTGCTGATTATTTTTTTGCTAGTCAACACAAAGGCAGAAATCCGGTTTCATGTACAGACAGCAGACTGGATTCCGGATGATGTTAGGAATAAGATCATCATCCAGGTAAGTGAATTTTGTTCTTGCAATGTAACTGTATAGCTATGTATAGGTCTTGCTCCAGTGCTAACTAGCATTATTGCTACCATTACTGGTTGAATTAAGTTTCAGCAATTCAGTGACCTCTTAAAATGCTGCCTTATGCTGGTGGATTGCTAAGTCATTAACATCTTATTAGTAATGTGCTCTGTCTTGTGGTCAGGTGGAAGGTTCATAACAGGTCAAATTTGGATATAGCAAGAATCTGAAAGTTTTATGATCTGTTGATTACCACTGTTACATGTTTATCTTCTCTCTTGGCCACAATAGAATAAAAATCGCATCAACAAAGTGGGCGAGTTGTTGGTTACATCCGAGGCAAGTAGAAGTCAACAGCAAAACCTGAATGACTGTTTGCAGAAAATCCAAGACATAATTGCAGAAGCCAGCCAGAAGCCACATGAACCCACTGAAGAGGATATTGCCATAAGGAGGGCAAGGTAGTAGAAAAATGCACTCAACTGTCCTCTGTCATATATTAAAATCAATTTTTATATTTAAATATTGCCATTCCATTCACTGTCGATAATGACAATCATCAGATTTGAAAAATACAAGGCCCTACTTAAATATGTAGACTTGGATTACATCACTGCAATGTGTGATTCTGCACATAATTAAGGCCTTTATATAATTCACACATATATAAAAATCTCTCTTAGGCTGGATTATATGAACAAGGAAAGGCTAAAACAGAAGAAGATTCACTCAGTCATAAAGCAGAGCCGGAAAGTGGATTTTGACTGAAGGAGAGTTCCACAGATAGCCATTGCACTCTACCTCATTGCATTCTGCAGTAAGGTGCACCTGGACTAATGCCATTGTAGCTGAAAATATATATTGCGGAATTGTGATTTTTAATGGTATGTTTTTTTCTGAAATAAAGAATATGTGCATCATTAAAACTGTTTTATTCATGGGCATTTAACCATGTTGTACATAATCATTGTCAAAAAATTGTCTTTAATCATAATTCTAAGGCCCCTTTTAAAAAACAACAGCATTTGTTCAGAAGACTAACACAGCGTTTTTATTGAAACAAGGATTCAAGGATTTCATTTGTCATATATGTGTAAACCAGACAAATGTGTAAACCAGTATTTTATTCTTTACTTATCTGGGTAGTAAACAATATGAAATGCGATATTTCTGAGTAGAAAAATCATATAATTTGAATGAAGAGCTAAACAGGCAGTAAATGTGAGAAAAATTACATTATTTAGAAATAAGAAAATAATTTTAGCAGAGGATGGTTTCGATCCATCGACCTCTGGGTTATGGGCCCAGCACGCTTCCGCTGCGCCACTCTGCTACTTGAAATTCCTGTTTTTGTATAGCTATTGATGTCTATATCAATTCGTGCATTAGTCGCTAGGGAGTTACCTGGAAACTTTTTCATGAAATTTAATTCTATATGCACCTTATCGTAATGTATAAGACTGGTTAATATTAAATCGAGTTATTTATATTTACAGAGGGCTGGAATGAATTTTATCGCTACCTTGAGCACAATTATAGTTAACACGTAAAATTTCGTGGTCACTGAATAATATTTCAAATGTCGATCCATGGGCACTGCTTTAGAAAAATCTAAAACATACATTGATCTTTTAGGGCAAAACAATTTTACAAATAAAATAAAACAAAACAAAACATCGACCACGAAGGGACTCGAACCCTCAATCTTCTGATCCGAAGTCAGACGCCTTATCCATTAGGCCACGCGGTCAACACAAGAAACGGACTCTTTTCGACTTAGTTGTCCAAGCCTGTTACCTAATATTGGCATCTAAATTGGGATAAACTTTTTCTGAAACAACAAAAAATTGGAATTACATCTCACAAACTATATATTAAAGAAAACAGCTACCATTTCATATTTCAGTCTACCTACGAGCAAATTGGAACATTAGATGAACAACAAATTTACAAAACATATCACTTTAATTTGTTGCATTGCTGTTTTAGTCATTATCTTGAATGCTATTGCGTTAAATCACACTCCTTGTTCAATGAACCCTTTTCTGCAGACGTTAGAAGAGGCTCAACGACCCCGATTTACAACAGTCCGGACGAACTTTACTAGTGGGTAAATGGGCAGCCCGTGTGGATTTTCAATCGCTATGCAAACAGTGCCATCTATTGAACGACTGGCGAATCTGCGTTCGATTCAGAATCAGAATTCACTTCATTGGCCAGGTACAACTGCATGTACTAGGAATTTGTTTCTGTAGTATTCCTGCTTACGTTCACAGACAACATAGAACATAAATTATGAAACATAGAATAAGTAGAAATAAAACAGAAAAAAATAACACAAACAGTGCAAAGTTGTACAAAATTATATCGATAAATATAAACATATGCAGCAGTTAAAATTATTTTTTTAATGATAAAACCATAATGATGTGACAGTTTTCCCCCTCCTGATATCTTGCTTTTTGCATAATATGATGACACACACAAGAAACTTATGTAAACATTTTTAAATCGATACTTAATATACTTAAGCAATAAAGTTACCCAACTCCAATATTGCTCATGTGACACAACAATTATTCCCTTACTTACATAGCCTGCTGTCCAAATTGATAGACTTGGACACAGCCAGACGTAATTGCAGCCAGCCCTGTTGAATCTATGCCTTGCCATATACTGATCGACCATTTTCCTGAGGGCGAAGTCACCACAAGGGTCTGCAAAAACAGAAAGAGAAAAAAGAAATTCTAGAAGAGGTTAGGAGGGGGAAAACTTGCCTATCAGGAAAGGGTTACAAAACCTTCTCCGAAGCTCTGAGACTCCACAGCACCACAGTGAGAGCTATTATCTTCAAATGGAGAATATTTGGAACAGTGGTGAATCTTCCCAGGAAAGGCTAGCCTGCCAAAATTTCTCCTGGGGGATAATAACTTACTCAAGAAGTTGTAACAGATCCCTTAAGAATGTCCAAAGAGCTGCAGGCTTGTCAAGGTCAGTGTTTATGACTCCACAATAAGAGATTGAGCAAATATGGGATTCATGGGAGAGCAACAAACTAGAGAGCAATGCTATTTACCTTACGCAGACGCCGTAGTAAAAAATGGAATACATCAACACAGCCCAGATCTTCGGCTGCTCTCTGCCCTCAGTGCAAGACTTGCATACCTCCTGCAGCATTCTGAAGAACCCCTCACATCCTGGTTTTCACCTGTTAGACATCTGGTAGGTGCTAGAGATCCACCAAACCAAGGACAGACTCAGGGACAGCTTTTCCCCCAGAGCCATAACCTCTGAACCTTACCATGCACTGACCATCTCTCTCTAGGTCTCTGTCTCTCTCTGGATGAGCAATAATTATCTTGCGTAAAAACTACAGCCAAGTGCAATATATGCTACCTGTGTAATATACATACTATCTACACATATTTATATACTTTTTATTCAGTAGTATTTATTTGTAGTACTTTCTATAATCTCTGTGCGAATGATTGAATGTTTGTTCTTCGTTATATCCGAAGGGGTAGACGCTTTGCAATTTCGTTGCACATGGTATAATGACAATAAGACTTCTAATTCTAAAAACTAAAAGAAGCCCTCCTTCAAGCCAGATTCGTACCCATAACACCAGCATAACCTAATCTACCAACTAAGCTATACCTGGAAGCCAATCATTTACTATCATTGAAGGGATAGGCTTACCTTAAGTAGCATGAGTGCTCAGTTACATTTACAAAGAAACACTTGGGTGATCCTCAAGCCTTTGGGAATAATGTACTATGGACAGAGGAGTATATTGGAACAACACAGGTGTCGCTATGTCTGGCGTAAAGCTAATATAGCATTTCCAAAGAAAGAACGTCATACCTACAACGACACACAGGTGGCAGTGTGATGGTGAGCAGCCGCTGTTTGCTGCCTTAGGACCCGGAAGATTTGTCATTACTGATGAAATCACGAATCCTGCACTTTGCTGGAAATTTTTTAAGCAGAATGTCCGTCTGTCTGTGACCTGAAGCTGGAGACTAACTGGGTAATACAGTAAGGCGGTGGTTCCCAACCCAGTCCTCAGGCACCCCAGACAGTCCACATTTTTGCTCCCTCTCAGCCCCCAGCCAATCAAGAACACCAAACACCTGGTACAGGTGTTGGGAGCTGGGAGGGAGCAAAAATGTGGACTGTCTGGGGTGCCTGAGGACTGTGTTGGGAACCACTGCAGTAAGGCAATGATCCAAAAGTTAAACCTAATTCTAAAGCTGAATGGCTCAGAAGAAACAAAATTAAAGAGAAGCTGTGCCAGGGCCTGAAATAAGCAGTGCACGTCCAAACCTGTCAATGTGTCTGAAGTAAAGCAGTTCTGCAAAGAATAGTGGGTCTGAATTCCTCAACAACAATGCGAAAGACTGAAAAATTCTTCCCCAGGGTGACAGTGGTACTGGGTAACTTGGGATCCCTCACAATTTGTCTAATCATGTGCAGCTATTCCTTGCGGAAAAAAACATGTGACCGAGCATCTCAAAAAGGTGCAAAACTTTTTTCACAACTGTGTATCTGTAAAACATACAGAGCTTTGTAGTTTTAATAGTATGCCTGGTGATAGATTGGTACCCCATCCTGGGTTGTTCCCTGCCTTGCACCCGTAGCCTCTGGGATTTTTGTGTGTGACAACACTCGTGATTCTTGGCTAATCATGAAAGCCAAAATATCGACGACACTTTATTAACCTCCTTCATCTTTATCCCATCTTGCTCCCCATTACACGCATGTGGGTGAGAGCAAGCTTGGCAGTGAAGGGCAGTCACCTGCATATGCAGAGCTGGGGGGGGGCAAGGGCCTTTCTCATGGGCGCAGCCACATCACTATTCTGCCAAAGCTAGGCTCAAACCAGCAATCTTCCAATCACAAACACAGACACTTAACCAGGCGAGACACAGACTGTTGCTAAGCGAAATACACAAACTGTTCATTTCATATTTTGATGGACAGTGGGGCAAGATCTATGGCATATGCCCCCCTCTCAAACAGGTGTCAGTCATTCACAAAAATAAGTAAATCCACACTGAAACTTGTCTGCAATTCTTTAATGGAATATAAGATAAAGGAGATATTTAAGATGACATAGAACAGAAGTTAACATCTACATTTTTACTTTGACAGAGGAAGAACTGAGCAGGCTGGTTTATACATAATGTGTAACTCATGTTGTAACTCATGTGTAACTCTGGACAAATGCTACATTGGGGGAAAAAAGGCTAAAACTATGGTAACCAACCCAACATACAGATTCAACATGTGCAAAACAAAAACAAAGCCAGTTCGACCAAGTTAAGCTTCAAAAAGGTTTGCATTAGTTATCAAAATCTTTGATACTCCACCTCAGATTCTTCACAATGCACTTTTTCCTTCTAATAACTCAGTGATCTATTCAAAATGAAAGGTTAGTCTCTGATAGTGAGATGACACTAAAGACATGTCAATAAATATATAATAATAAATAATACGGCCAAGAGCATCTTCTAGTGCAAGTGGAGAACATCTCAGTAGGGAAGGCCAAGATGTCTCTAGAGGAGAAAAATACATAGCTTTTTAGGCTCAGCTGGGCTCCATTTTGGCAAACTTTTCCCGAACCAAAATATTCTCTCCCTTTTTCAATACCAACGTTACAATTGCTAAGTTCATTGACCTTGCAACCCTTTAAGACCCTGAGAGAAAGTTGGACCCAGCTCTGACCCAAATCTGCTCAGAAGCAATGTGATACGGAACCCTGTGGGACATTTCGTAAAGACAGGGATTCGGCAACAGAGACTAAGACACCCGGTTCAGAGCGAAAGTAGAAAAATGTCCGTAGTCTAAGGCTAAAAAGAGCTCGTTTTCGTCATTGCAAAACACGGTGACGTGACGACCGCCTCGCAGCATATTTTCCTGTAGA